CTCGAGCTGGGGCGGCCTGGCCAAGTGGCACAGACGTTTTCTAGGGCAGGGACCCAGGGGGAGAGCCCAGCTGGCTGGCACCTTTGCAAAGGACAGGGATCTAGGCTCTGCCCCAGGCCCGGCGGCCTGCCTGCCTGGGGACTCGGGACAAGTTATTTAAACGTCGTCCGCGTCAGTCTCCTTATCTGCAAAATGGGATTAGCGTCAGCTTGAAAGGATTATGTGGGTTAAATAATGTACATAAAGAGGGAGATAATGCAAAGAGGCGGGCGGGCCCGGTGCCCATCTGGCGATTCCTGGAAAAGGCGGTGGGCTTCTCGTTCTGCTCTTATCCACCTGTCTGTATACAGATAACAGGTTCAAAGCAGATCCTGGCTCCCTGAACCGGAGGTCCGAGGCTTGCCGCCTACTGTGCAGTCCGATCCCAGATGGGGAGCAGTCAGAGCACACACAGGCAGGGGGTGCCCCAGGCCACCTACCCTCGGTCATGCTCAAACTCACAGCTCAGCCGAAACCGGTGTGGCTCAGTGGATAGAGTGTCGGTCTAAGGACTGAGGGGTCCCGGGTTCGATTCTGGTCAAGGGCATGTGCCCTGGTTGTGGGCACATCCCCATTAGGGGGTGTGCGGGAGGCAGCTGATCGATGATCCTCTCTCATTGATGTTTCTAGCTCTCTGTCCCTCTCTTTTCCTCTTTGTAAAAAATCAAAATATATTTAAAACAAAACAAAACAAAACAAAAAAACCTCGCGGCTCAGGAGTGGCAAGTGGGGGGCGGGGGTATGTGAGGGCCGGTTCCCCTCACAATCCAGCCGCCTCTGGGCTCCCAGATGAACTCCTCCAGCCCTGCCCAGCCCAGGCCCAGGGTTTGCAGGTCCCGGCGCCTCCCAACCGGAGGAACTCGCGGCGCAGAGAGCGGAGCCGGGGCGCGGGGGCAGCGGGGGGCCTGGGGTCTGCCCCCGGAGCCCGCGATGGCGCGGCGATCGCCAAGCCCGTCTCCTCCCCGCCATCCCGGGGAGGCTGCAGGGCCTCGGCCGGGGGCCGGGCGGCCTGGGCGGCGGCGGGGCGGCCCGGAGCGCGGAGGTGGCGCCGCGCGGGGGGAGGGGCGCGGCGGAGGCGGCGGAGGAGGAGGAGCCGGGGCCGCCGCAGCCGCTGACAGCGGCCGGAGTAAACAAGCCGCCGCGCCGCCCGCGGCCCGGCCGCTGCTCCCCTCCCCTCCCCCGCCCTCCGCGCCGGAGCCCGAGCCCAGGCCGAGCCCTGCCCTCCTCGCCGCCGCCGGCCGCGCCGCCCGCCTCCGCGCGGTGACGCCGCTGCCGGGCGCGGGGAGCGCGGGGAGCGCGCGGAGCTCAGGCCCCGCCGCCCCGCCGGGCTCTCCGCTCGGCCGAGGGCGCCCGAGCCCGCCGCGGCGATCGCCCGGGAAAAGTTTCCCCGCCCGGGCTCCCCGAGGTAAGCGGCGATCGTGCGGGGGGCCTGGGAGCCGGGGAGCCGGGGAGCCGCGGGCCGGGCCGCGCTGGAGAGGCGTCCCCCTCCCCCGAGCGCGCGCGGGGCCCGGCCTGGACGCGTCGGTACTTTTCCGCTGGGGCCGGGCGAGCCCTCTGACCCCGGGAGCGAGCGCCGCGGGGCCGCCGGGGCGGGATGGGGAGGGGATTCCAGAGGCGCCGGCGGCCCCCCTCCTCCCGCCCCGCCGCCGGGCCCTAGGGGCCGCCCCCGGCTCGCCTCCTCCGCGCCGGGGCAGGAGGAGGAGCTGCTGTTGGGGGGCGGGGGGTGGACCCGGCTTGGCCTGGCCTCGCCCCGCCCGCCCCGCACACCTGGGCAGCCGGAGACTCAGGTGCGGGACCCGCGGCGACCGGAGGTAGGTGCTGGGCTGCCTCCCGCCGAGGCCTGGCCGCCCGGGACGGAGGGGAGGCCTGCCTGCCTGCCTGCCTGCCTGCCTACCTGCCTACCTGCCTGGCTGCGGGACAGGTCTGACAGCCGGCGGTCAGGTCGGAACCTGCTCTCCCTCCGTCCCTGCTTCCTCTTCCCCCGGCTCCCTCCGGCCCCGCTTTCCCGGGAGGAGGGAGGGAGGAGGGTGTTGGGATTCTTTGGGACGTGGACACCCGCGATGTGGCCTAGCCGGGGCCGGGCAGCTGTGGCCAGGTGTGGACACGGCCAGGGAGAGTCGTTGAGCCTGAGCCTGCTCAGCCCCAAGTGGCCCCAGGGCTACTATCTGACTTATCTGCTACACTGGGCTTCCACGTGTAAGATTTGATGATTTGATTTCTCCCCCTCCCTCCCCCCCTTCAAGGATTCTGTGGCTTTAGAAAAAAAAAGTTTGAAAAATCTCTTGGCTAGCAGTTTTTACCACCGAGGAAACTGAGGCTCAGGGAGGAAGTGACTTATCTAAGATCACACAGCACAAGAGTGAGCGGAGCAGGGCCTGGCGGTCACCATTTCAGGGGAGCCTGGCAGTGTGTGTAACAGGACCTGGCCTGGTGGGAGAGACCGGAAGGAGAGCCGGGATCAGGTTTCCCCGGGCAGCCCAGCCCACGCCAGACCCCCAGCGCCTGGCAGACAGCAGCCGGACCGGACCGGGGGCAGGTTCGGTGTGGGTGCCTCGGAGGGGCTGTCCGTTTCCAGGGATTCCCGGGGCTGGGAAAAGGGAGCACACAGCCGCCAGGAAGAGCACCCACGGCTCTCTCTCTCCGGCCACAGCCGGGAGCCGGAGTCCCATGTGAGAGGGCATCACGGGAGGCTAGAAACACAGCACAAACTGGGACTCGGGGTGAGTCAGAGTCTGGGGTGGGGGCGGGGAGAGAAGCCCATTCATTCATTGTTCTCAGCGCCTGCTCTTTCGGAAAATGGGGGGTCCCAGCTCCCTCCAGGATGCTGAGGCAGGGCTGTCTTGGGGGGGGCTCAAAAGGGGAGTGTCGGGGCTCTGTGGAAGCCGAACCCCCCCTTTCTGTGGTCCCCGCTGCGAGCACGCCCTTGCTTGGGAACTGTTCGTCAGCGCCTGTTTTCTTTCCGGGTGCTGCAAGGTAATTAAATAGTTGGTTAATCACCTCTAACGCCAAGCAGCTGCCGCTCGCTCGCTCGCTCCGTCCCCGGTCTGCCTGCCGGAACTTGGGCTCGGCCCAAATGCACCCCGTCTGAGGGTGGGGGTTCCGCAGCAGGGCTCACTGCGCTGTGGTGGGTGGGGGGTGTCTTTGCCTGACACCTGGACCCAGGAGGCAGCTATCGTGGTGGCAAGACGGGGAGAAGAGGCCTCTTTTCCACCTGTCCCCAGAACCCCAATATCTCCTGTGAATATTGGGGTCCCTTGGCCTCCTGAGGGTCTGGCTGTCCGGCCATTGCTTAGACCAGCTTTCTGGAACCGGGGCCGCCCAGGGCCTTCCTCGGCTGTGGCTCCTGAGCCTGTCCCTGGGAGCCGTTGGACTTTGACCCTCCCGGGTGAGGAGCTGGGTGGTGGACACCGCCTGCCATCAGCTGTCAGGTTATTTTGGTGTGAACTGAAAATACGCCAGGAATAGCCCGAGGCCCCCCGGCCTGGCCTGCGTGGTGGGGCTGCCACAGGGGACCACAGGGGCGGCAGCGTCCTCAGCGAGGACGGAGGCCGGTCTTGGCTGAGGGCAGCCCTGGAGAAGTGATGGGTTCTCAGGGGTAAGCCCTCGGGGAGCAGGGAGCTTCTGGCAGAGTGGCCTCCTGTGGCGCTGGGCCTTGGGAGGGCATCCTGGGCCCCGTGGGCAGGCCCTGGCACCGGGCCCTGACACCTTCAGCAGCCCCACTGGGACCTCCCCCAGCTCTCCCTCCCACCCCCAGGTGGCTGGCTTCTGGGTACTTAGGGGCCCTCTGCAGGGACAGTTATGTGGCCCTGGGCAGAGAGGTCCCCCTGTCTGTTTGCTGAAGGAGGAAAAACAACACGGGGCCTATTGATTCAGCCTCACCTTGGTGCCCCTGGCTCGGCAGCCAGTGTTTGCCCTGGCTGCCCGCTTGCCGGGATTGCGAAAGGCTGGTGGGCGTTGGAGGATCGGGGGGGAGGGGGGGGATTTGGGGAGGGGGGTTGCTGGCGACCTCCAGGCCTGGGGGGCATGGGGCTGGGCAGCCCCAGCAGCATTCCCCCAGAAAGCAGGAAGAAGGAATCTGGGCCCTTGACTTTGATGTTGGCCGAGGGTCCATGGAGATCCCTGCCCTTAGCCCAGGCCAAACCCCCCCTCCCAAGTGGCCTCATCAATATTTCTCTCTCTTTGCAAGTAACTTGGGGGCGGGGGTTGCTGTGCCGAAGCAAGAAACGCCAGTGAACTTGGTAGAAACTTTTAAAAACGCCAACATTTTATTCCTTTATAAAACATACCTGGCAATTTGGGAAAGCAAAACAGTGACACAAAGGAGAAAACACAGTTCCTCGTCGTCATCCTCCCCATTTTGAGAGGGGCATTGTTAACGTTTCAGCGTGTGTCTGCCAGACTTTGTTTTGTGGCTCTCTATAAACAAACGTGTTGCATAAATAGTTTTTTGAAGACAAAATGGAATCACTTGTGCACGCTGCTTTGTAGCCCATCCTTTTCTGCTTCGATTCTGGCGAGCGTTTATGTAGTTGCTCTCATCCCGAGTGACTCAAGCCTCGATGTTGTTGCGTGGAGAGAGGCTCGGGAGCTGCGTGTGTGTGTGTGTGTGTGTGTGTGTGTGTGTGTGTGTGGAGGGGTCCATCTGCCTGCCTTGCCAGCTGACCTTGGGGGCTGGTGTTCACGCCTCTTCCCCCAAGGCCGCGCCCGGAGGCCTGCACGTGTGAGTAAGGAGCTTGAGCCCGTGTCCGTGGGGGGCTCACTCTCACCCCCTTTCTTTCCTCCCTTGTCCCTCTCAGAGCCTGCAGCCCGCGTCCTCCCGCCACAGCCCTGCCCGTCTCGGCCCCATGCCCCCGCCAGCCAGCCCCGGGCCACAGGCAGAGCGTGGTCAGCACGTGGGAGCCGCGGCCCTGTGACCAGGCCGAGGAGGCGAGGGCTCTGCGGTCCCAGTCCCCTGTCCCCCCATGGAGCTGAGGCCCTGGTTGCTATGGGTGATAGCAGCAGCGGGACCCCTGGTCCTGCTGGCGGCTGATGCCCAGGGCCAGCAGGTCTTCACCAACACCTGGGCCGTGCACATCTCCGGAGGCCCGGCCGTGGCCGACCGCCTGGCACGCAAGCATGGCTTCCTCAACCAGGGCCAGGTAGGTATTCTTACTGCCAGGACCTTTGGGGGGCGGGAGGGGGGCGGTGAGGGCAGGGCTCTGGCACTGGGGCCTGTCTTCTCGGGGGCATGTTCCCAGCTTGCGCTGTCCCTGGGCTTCTGGCCTCTGAGGCTCAGAGAACCCGTGTGCCCCAGGCTGGGGCAGCCCCCCTCGGCCCTCTGCACCTTCTTGCTGCATCCTGGGCAGGTGCCCCGCCACGCCCTGCCAGGGTGTGCCTCCCCGGAAGCCCGGTGCCCACCCCACCCCACCCCCCACCTCCCCGGGGACTGGCAGATGGACAGCCCCGCTCCCCCTCCCCGCTTGGTTGCAGATCTTCGGAGACTATTACCACTTCTGGCACCGGGCCGTGACCAAGCGCTCCCTATCGCCTCACCGCCTGCGGCACAGCCGGCTGCAGAGGGAGCCCCAAGTGAGTGCCGCCCCGCCCTTTCCTTCCTCCCCCCCTCCACCCCCCACCCCCGCTCGGGCACCCACACCGGCTCCCTCCCCCCCTCGCAGGTCCAGTGGCTGGAGCAGCAGGTGGCAAAGCGGCGGACCAAACGCGACCTGTACCTGGAGCCCACGGACCCCAAGTTCCCCCAGCAGTGGTACCTGGTGGGTGGCTTGCTTAGGCTCTGGGTTCCCCCCTCATTCTTCCTCTTTCTGTCTGCTGAGCAGCCCCTCCCTAACCTTCCCCGCTACGCTTTGGGGTGCCCTCCCAGAGGTGTTTTTTTGTTTTTTTGTTTGTTTCTTTAAGGTAAACCATACTTTTTATTATTATTATTATTATTATTATTATTTTAATATATATTTTATTGATTTTTTACAGAGAGGAAGAGAGAGAAACATCGATGAGAGAGAAACATCGACCAGCTGCCTCTTGCACACCCCTCACTGGGGATGTGCAACCAAGTAATAATATATTTGGCAACCAAGTAATAATATATTTTATTGATTTTTTTTTTTTTTTTTTTACAGAGAGAAAGGAAGAGGGAGAGAAAGTTAGAAACATCGATCAGCTGCCTCCTGCACACCATCCACTGGGGATGTGCCCACAACCAAGGCACATGCCCCTGACCGGAATCAAACCTAGGACCTCACAGTCCTCAGGCCATCTCTCTATCCAGTGAGCCACACCGGTTTTGGCAACCATACTTTTTTTTAAAAAAAGTATGTTTTTATTGATTTCAGAGAGGAAGGGAGAGATAGAAACATCAATGATGAGCGAGAATCATTGATCGGCTACTCCCTGCACCACCCCAGCTGGGGCTCGAGCCCGCAACCCAGGCCTGTGCCCTTGACTGGGAATTGAACCCAGTGCCTTTCAGTGCTCAGGCTGACGCTCTAGCCACTGAGCCACACCGGCCAGGGCTCCCAGAGGTTGTTTTTTTGTTGTTGTTATATATTTTATTCATTTTTTTCCTTTTTTTTTTTTTTTTTTTACAGAGATGAATAGAGAGTTAGAAACATCAATGAGAGAGAATCATTGATCAGCTGCCTCCTGCACACCCCCCCACTGGGGATGTGCCTGCAACCAAGGTACACATGCCCTTGACCAGAATCGAACCCGGGACCTTTCAGTCCGCAGGCCGACGCTCTATCCACTGAGCCACACCGGCCAGGGCCCCCACAGTTCTTTTAACACTTCCATGGAACCCAGCCAGCCGGCTGTGCCATCCTTACGGGAGCAGCCGTGGGTGGAGGAGGCGGCGCTGGGATGGTGAAGGGACTCTCCCGGGTACCCTAACGTCACCCCGTTCGTTCACCACATCTCCTAAGCGCCGGGTGCCGGGGGTGGGTGTCCCCACAGTCCGGCGTCACGCAGCGGGACCTGAACGTGAAGGAGGCCTGGGCGCAGGGCTACACGGGGCGCGGCATCGTGGTCTCCATCCTGGACGACGGCATCGAGAAGAACCACCCGGACTTGGCAGGCAATTATGTGAGCAGGTGGGGGAGGGGGCCGCGCTCCCCGCGGGGGCGTCCGGGGCAGGCCTCCCCCGGCCCGCCCGGCTGGGCCGCTCCCGACGGCCGCCGTGTCTTTCCCCCCAGGACCCGGGGGCCAGTTTCGACGTCAACGACCAGGACCCTGACCCGCAGCCCCGGTACACGCAGATGAACGACAACAGGTCAGAAGCCACCGTCCTGGGCCTCGGCCTCCCTCCTCCCCTTGCAGCGAGGATGCAGGGCTGAGCCCCCTGCAGACATGTGCCCCCCTGACACGTGTGTCTCTCCTGCCGTCCGGGCCCTGGGGGAGGGTCTGGCCACAACCCAGGCGGAGGGGATGGAGGGGCTTGGTGACCTTCCTGCTCTGTCCACCACTGACGCTGCGCTTGGCCCCGGCAGGCATGGTACCCGGTGTGCGGGCGAGGTGGCCGCCGTGGCCAACAATGGCGTCTGCGGCGTGGGGGTGGCCTACAACGCCCGCATTGGAGGTGGGTGTCGGCCTTGGGGGCACCCCCCTGTCTTTGGGGGGGGTCCCTCTGGGTGGGGTTTATTTCTGTCCATTTTCCCACCTGGGTCCTTGTGGCCACATGGCTAATCCTTAGACGGCTCTTAGCGACTCAGAGAGCCGAACCCCAGTGCTGGAGGCCCTGGGCTGGGGTGGGTGAGTGTCTCTTAGCAGGAGTCTCCCTCCTTTCTCCCCATCCATTCCGAGTCCTTACACGGCGGGCTCCGACCACCACGCTCCCGATCCAGAGCCTGATCCAGAGCGCGCTCTCCCTCCCCTCTCCCCGGGTCTGGTCTTTGAGAGGGACAGGCAGGTGCGGGAGTTCGGGCTCCGGGTCCCCCTGCACAGCCTCTCTCCTCCCTGCCCATCCTCCGGGTGCAGGGTGGGGGTGCTCCGGGTGCCCCCCCCAGCAGCGGGACCCATGCAGCCTCCCTCCCTCCCCCTTGTGGCCAGGGGTGCGCATGCTGGATGGTGAGGTGACAGACGCGGTGGAGGCACGCTCGCTGGGCCTGAACCCCAACCACATCCACATCTACAGCGCCAGCTGGGGCCCCGAGGACGACGGCAAGACCGTGGACGGGCCGGCCCGCCTCGCCGAGGAGGCCTTCTTCCGGGGCGTCAGCCAGGTGAGGGCGCTCTGCTCCCCACGGCCTTCTCCCTCGTGCTTTTCCGTTTCTGTTTGTTTACTTTGGGGCTCAATTTTTTAAAAAAATATATATATTTTATTGATTTTTTTTTTACAGAGAGAAAGGGAGAGAGAGAGAGAAACATCAATCAGCTGCCTCTTGCACACCCCCCATTGGGGATGTGCCCACAACCAGAGTACGTGCCCTTGATCGGAATCAAACCCAGGACCCTTCAGTCTGCAGGCTGTCGCTCTATCCACTGAGCCAAACCAGTTTCGGCTGGGGCTCAATTTTAATTGTACACAGAGCATGTTTATTAAAATGTTAGGCGACTAGAAGGACAGAAAAAGAGAAAAAGCAAGTTAAAAATCACCCACAATGCCACCCCCCGGAACCACCGCTCTGAGCCTCTGGTGGTCCAGGTGTCCTGTTGGTCTGTGCACAGATGGACGGACAGACATCTGGGCGTGTTTACCTAACCCACCAGGGGGATCTGGGGCGGCGGGCAGGGGGTCCCTGAGAAGGAGGTCCCAGCCTTCCCCGTCTCCAGCTGCGTCTCTTCCTGCCAAGTCCCCCTCCCTCCCCCCCAAGGCCCGTTCCCCAGTGACCCCGTCCCCCACTGTCCACAGGGTCGCGGGGGGCTGGGCTCCATCTTCGTCTGGGCTTCGGGGAACGGGGGCCGGGAGCACGACAGCTGCAACTGCGACGGCTACACCAACAGCATCTACACGCTGTCCATCAGCAGCGCCACGCAGTTCGGCAACGTGCCCTGGTACAGCGAGGCCTGCTCCTCCACGCTGGCCACCACCTACAGCAGCGGCAACCAGAACGAGAAGCAGATTGTGAGTCTCGCCCGCGGGCGCCGGGAAGCAGGCCGCCTGCCAGCTCTGCCCAGACCCATCTGCCTCCCTCCCGCACGCACGCACGCACGCACGCACGGCTGGTGGCAGTGGCTCCTGCATCCTGGTGTGGGAGTCGGGGGGCTCGCTCAGACTCCTGGGGGCCGTGGAGCCCCTGAGAAGTGCAGACTCTTCCTAAAAACAGTCGGGGTTTCTTTTTGTTTATTAAGTGTATTCTTTTTTTTTTTTTTAAATATATATATATATATTTTAAATATATTTTATTGATTTTACACAGAGAGGAATTGAGAGGGACAGAGAGTTAGAAACGTCAATGAGAGAGTCATCAATCAGCTGCCTCTTGCGCACCTCCCACCAGGGATGTGCCCGCAACCAAGGTACATGCCCTTGACCGGAATCGAACCCGGGTCCCTTCAGTCCCCAAGCTGACGCTCTATCCATTGAGCCAAACCGGTCTCGGCTTTTTTAAAATATATTTTATTGATTTTTTTTACAGAGAGGAAGGTAGAGGGACAGAGAGCTAGAAACATCAATGAGAGAGAAACATCGACCAGCTGCCTTCTGCACCCCCCCCCCCTCACCGGGAATGTGTCCACGGTCAATGTACATGCCCTTGACCGGAGTCGAACCTGGGACCATTCAGTCCACAGACCGACGCTCTATCCACTGAGCCAAACCGGTTTCGGTTCATTTTCTTTTCTTTTTAAGTGTATTCTTTTCATTGATTTCAGCAAGGAAAGGAAAGGGAGAAAGAGAGAGAAACATCAGTGATGAGAGAGAATCACGGATCGGCTGCCTCCTGCACGCCCCCTCCTGGAGATGGAGGCTGCAACCTGGGCCCGTGTCCTCGATCAGAATCAAACCCGGGACCCCCCCTCAGTCCTGAGGCTGACTCTATCCACTGAACCACACCGGCCAGGGCCAATCGTTGCTCTTATGATCTCCGACCCCTGGTGCAATCCCCGTGTTCCCTGGGAGGCCGGGCAGGAGTCCAGCATTGGCCTGTCCCCAGCTGGGCAGCCCTGGGACACGGACTGGCCCTGGCTCACCACCCCCTGTGGGCTCAGGGCCTGTAGGAGAGGGAGGGCAGGCAGGCAGCCGCTCTGGCCTCCACCCACGTGCCCAACGCCCCCGTTGCCCCTGCAGGTGACCACTGACTTGCGGCAGAAGTGCACCGAGTCTCACACGGGCACCTCGGCCTCTGCCCCCCTGGCAGCTGGCATCATCGCTCTCACCCTGGAGGCCAAGTAAGCAGTGGGAGCGGAAGGGGAACGTTCGTACGGCGCCCCCTGCAGGGCAGCCCGGTGTCTCCGGCGCCAAGAGACTGAGCCCCGCCTCTCCCTCCCTCCTTTGCAGTAAGAACCTCACCTGGCGGGACATGCAGCACCTGGTGGTGCAGACCTCAAAGCCAGCACACCTCAACGCTAACGACTGGGCCACCAATGGGGTGGGCCGGAAAGGTGAGGACGAGGTGGCCCGGGGGGCCGGACCGGGGGTCGGCGGGGGGCACTCTGTGCTGACCCCACCTCCCCTCCCCCGCAGTGAGCCACTCCTACGGCTACGGGCTGCTGGACGCCGGCGCCATGGTGGCCTTGGCCCAGAACTGGACCACGGTGGCCCCCCAGCGCAAATGCACCATCGACATCCTCGCCGAGCCCCGGTGAGGCCTGGGGCTTGGCTGGGGGGCAGGGAGGGAGGCCCTCGGGCCCCTCCGGGCTCAGCTGAGGGACCCCTCCCCCCGGGCTCTCTGCTCAGGGACATCGGGAAGCGGCTGGAGGTCCGGAAGACGGTGACCGCCTGCCTGGGCGAGGCCGGCCACATCACGCGGCTGGAGCACGCGCAGGCCCGCCTCACGCTGTCCTACAACCGCCGGGGGGACCTGGCCATCCACCTGGTCAGCCCCATGGGCACCCGCTCCACCCTGCTGGCCGCCAGGTGCCTGCCCTGCCCCCTGCCCGGCCCGTCCTCCCCTCAGGCCCACACGCATTCACTCATTCATTCACTCACTCACTCATTCACTCATTCACTCACCTAGTCCTCATGGTCACCGAGTGCGCCCGCTGCTGGCATTCTGGCAGGGATGGTTTTGTCCTGTGGGACCGTCCTTATTGCAGTAATCCCCGATTCCACCCACCAAATGCCACGTCTGTGTGCCTTCCCCTGCACACACATTTCCAGAAACTTCCTGTTAAGAATATCTGGCCGAATGGGAGTCAGGGCCAGCAGGCATCGCCAGCCCTGCGGCGGGGGGAGGGTGTGCGGTGGGTTTGGGGTTTGGGGATCCTGCCTGGGATCCCCCCGGGCTTAAGACGGCTGTGTGCACCCCGCCCCGCGCCCCCCCCCCCCAGGCCACACGACTACTCGGCAGATGGGTTCAACGACTGGGCCTTCATGACAACCCACTCCTGGGACGAGGACCCCTCTGGCGAGTGGGTCCTGGAGATTGAGAACACCAGCGAAGCCAACAACTACGGTACGGGGAGCCGGGGGGAGGGGTACTTGAGGTCGGGGGGGGGGGGGTGCGGAGGGAGAGAGCCAGGGTCCCCGTGGGGTCCCCTGCCGCTCACCCTGGTCTCCCCTCCCCCCCCTGTCTGGAATAGGTACGCTGACCAAGTTCACCCTCGTGCTGTATGGCACGGCGCCCGAGGGGCCGCCCACACCGCCCGAGAGCAGCGGCTGCAAGATGCTCACGTCCAGCCAGGCCTGTGTGGGTCAGTGATGGGCGCTGCCGGGTTTGGGGCCCGAGGCTCGGGGCCCGGGGTGGGGGCCCAGGGCCAGCTGGGGGGCAGGGGAGGGCCCCCCACACACACCCTGCCGGGTTTGGGGCCCGCGGCTCGGGGACACGGGGTTGTTCTAAGAGAAAAAGGGGGTCTGAAGGAATGCTGCATCCCGTGGGGCTGGGAGCTCCGGGGGGCTGCGAGGCCAGCGCCGGGGCCCATCCCGGGCCTCACCCGCCGCCCCTCCTGCCGGCAGTGTGCGAGGAAGGCTTCTCGCTGCATGAGAAGAGCTGCGTCCAGCACTGCCCCGACGGCTTCGCCCCTCAAGTCCTCAGCACGCACTACAGCGCCGAGAACGACGTGGAGCCCATCCGCGCCAGCGTCTGCGCCCCCTGCCACCCCTCGTGCGCCACGTGCCGGGGGCCGGAGCCCACGGACTGCCTCAGCTGCCCCGGCCACTTCTTCCTGGACCCCCTGGAGCAGATCTGCTCCCGGCAGAGCCAGAGCAGCCGCGAGTCCCCGAAGCAGCCGCCGCTGCCGCCCCTGCCGCCGCCCACCCCGCCGGCCCCGGAGGAGGCGGAGGCGGAGGCGGAGCCGCGGCCCCGGGCCGGCCTGCTGCCCTCGCACCTGCCCGAGGTGGTGGCCGGCCTCAGCTGCGCCTTCATCGTCCTGGTCTTCGTCACCGTCTTCCTGGTCCTGCAGCTGCGCTCCGGCTTCAGCTTCCGGGGGGTCAAGGTGTACACCATGGACCGCGGCCTCATCTCCTACAAGGGGCTGCCCCCCGAGGCCTGGCAGGAGTGCCCGTCGGACTCGGAGGAGGACGAGGGCCGGGGCGAGAGGACCACCTTCATCAGGGACCAGAGCGTCCTCTGACGAGCGCCCTCCGCCGCCCCCGCCCCCCGCCCCGCCGCCAGGCCCATCCCCTCCTCGGGCACTTTTTAATTCACCAAAGTATTTTTGTATCTCGGACTGGGCTCGGGCCCCAGCTGGCGAGGCCCGGGGAACAGGGGTGGCTTCCCACCTCACCCTTGGGCCTCCTGGCTGCCTGAGGTGGGGACCCGGGGCCAGCTGGGGGACAGGGGAGGGCCCCCCACACACACCCTCCGCACCCTCTCCGCGAGGGGAGCAGCGACACCTTAAGGACAGCTTCCCGAGCTCGTCCAGGCCTCAGCCGGAGTCCCTGTGGGGCAGAGAGGGAGGCCCTCCCCTCGGGGATCCTGGTCCGGCCGCAGCTCTGGCTTCTTCCCTGTCCCTCTAAAGCAATAACGGTCCCCAAGCAGGCAGCAGGGAGGCTGACCCAGGGACACGAAAAGGAGGAGGCCACCTCTTCAAGGGCTTGAGCAACCCGACACCGCCCCCACCTCCGATGAGCCTCAGGCAGAAGCAGTGATGGAAGGAAGGAAGGGACCAAGGCGAGGCAGGTGCTTCCAGGGTGCGTGTGTGCACACACGTGTGTGTGTGCACGCGTGCTCGCACATGTGTGTGTGTGTGTCTGCTCACCACAGCTGGCTGCCCGCTGAGCGAGGCTGGCCCAGCCCAGCCCCCCTCGCCGGCGTCCTGACCACCCCCCTCCTCCTGCCGGGGCCCACGTCCCTGTTTTTTCTGAGCCCGGGGCTGCCCGGGCTGTGGGCACTCAGTCCCGGAGCCCCCGGGTGGGTGTCGGGGAGGGACGGTGGCCCAGCCGGCCTCCCCCCGCCCTGCCTCCCACCCAATGCTGCTTTCCCCTGTGGGGATCTCAGGGGCCGTTTGAGGATATATATATATATTTTCACTCTGTGATTATTTCACTTTAGATGCTGATTTTTTTTTTTTTTGTATTTTTTTAATGGGGGCAGCAGCCGGACCACCATCTCCCCACACCCAGTTCTCCACCCTCTGCTGTCCCCCCAGCTGCTCTGACCCAGAGGTGTGCGGGGGGGTGGGGGTGGGGGCTGCAGCAGGTTGCTGGGGAGTGCGGTGAAGCTGAGCCCCAAGTTCTGAGGAGGCTGCCCAGGGGGGTCCTTGGAAATGGGGGTTGCGGGTGGAGGGGTGACGGGTGTCCCGTTTCAGACGGGGCTTGCCGTGCCGAGCCGAGGGCTCATGGGTCACCGGTTCTCTAAGTGCCAGGGGCGGGCAGGCAGCGCCGTGCCCCCTCCCACACTGTGCCCTGATGGAGAAAGCACTGTCCCGGCCCGCCCCCCTGCCCCCCGAGTTCCGCTCTTCTGACGTGCCTTTTGCACCCCTCCCACTAGGACAATCAGTCCCCTTCTGTTCGGGAGCCCTCTTCTTTCTCACCCCGAACCCCCTCCTGGCACCCAAGCCACCGGCCCAGGGTTGCCCGCTCCCCGCCCCCCTCCCCTCGTGGCCAGCCCGGCTGGTTTTGTAAGATACTGGGTTGGTCCACAGTGATTTTTTTTTTTTTTCTTCCTTGTAATTTAAACAGGCCCAGCATTGTTGGTTCTATTTAATGGACACAGATAACGTTAGAAGTTTTAAAAAGTGATTAAACTTGCATACCTATGCAATCGAGACCTGGTCTCTGGTGTGGTGGTACCGTTCTTCCCGGGACCGCGTGGGGCGGGGGGATCAGCTGCCCAGCGTGATGTCCCGAGTGCCTCAAGGTGGGTCCATGTCGGGGCGCCAGGGCCTGTCTGCTGAGGGGTTCCAGGGCCTCTATTGGGGAGCAGAGGGGTCTCAAACAAGCCAGCACCCCATTCCACAGGCCAGGTGGCCAGCAGGGGGGCCCCGTTGCTCAGGGTCTCCCTCGGCTGGAAGAAGTGGCCTGGCCCCCAGGTGTAGGGCTGAGGTGTACGGACCAGGAAGGCCAGCGTGCTTTTACTGGGGAGATCCTGAGTCCCAAGCTGGGTGAACCCTACTCCCCTCCCAGTCCCACCCCCAGGTCTCCCTGGAACAGGAAGCTCCTGCCTGGGGCCAGGGTGTGGGCATTGGGCCATCGAGACCTGTGCTGGCAAGCAGGCCTCTCCTTGGTAGATTTCCTGGGAAGTCTTACGTATACAGAGCCTGCCCCTGAGGGCCCCTCGGGGCACCCCGGGGTGGGGAGTCCCTGGACTGCTCCCCGTTACTCTTCCTTCCGGCCACTGGGCTGCTGCTAGGACTGCCCACCTGCCCCGGGACTCCCAGGCTCAGAGGCCCAGCGCCTGCCCGCAGCCTCTCACAATGCCCGCCCCTCCTGGGTACCCTGGGGCCACCCTCCGCCCCCACCCTCAGGCCCTGGGGATCGTTGGCCCAGGCTGCCCTCTGCAGGGCTATTCTTCCCCGGCCCCTCCTCCCTTCCGTTTCCTCTGTGGCCGGCCGTGCAGGAGGGCCTGGCAGGCATGGGGGCTACTGCCCGCCCCTTCCCCTCAGCGGCCCGCCCCGGAGCCTGAGCCAACTGAAACCGGGGAAGGAGGAAGCACCGAATCAGGAACTGGCCAGTCGGCCGGGCCTAAGCCAGCCAGCCAGCCCTCGGTGCCCCCCTGGAGCAGCTGCCCAAGCCGTGAGTGAGTGGGAGCTCCCAGCCAAGGCCCAGGAGGCAGGCGGAGGGAGTGGGGTGGGGGGTGGCCGCGGAGCAGGGGCTGGGGCTCAGCAGGCAGGCAAGAGACTTGACCAGGACCGGGTGGGGCAGGAGTGGGTGCAGGGGCAGGGCCCGGGCTGTGGCTACCTGGGACACCTGCTGGGTGGGAGAGCTTGGCCCTACCAAGGGCCCAGGGTGCATGCGCCCCTATAATGGGTGCTGGGGGGGAGGGGGGGGAAGGGCCCGGGGCGGAGATCCCTCCTGGTGGCTTTGCTCCAGGATTGGGGAGCGGGTCCCTGGCCCCAGGCCTAGCCCTGGCACAGGGGAAGCAGAGAAAGCCCATCCCCAGCCAGGTGGCATTGGTACCTAGCTCCCACCTTCCTCCTGCCTGCCTGCAGCTTCTCTTGATCCTCAGCCCCCAAACCTCCCTTTCCTACTCCTCCGACAGCCTCTCCTTTCCTTCTCTGTCCCCAGACCAGCGCCATGGGCTTCTCCTCGGAGCTATGCAGCGCACAGGGCCACGGGGCCCTGCAGCAGATGCAGGAGGCTGAGCTGCGGCTGCTGGAGGGCATGAGGAAATGGATGGCCCAGCGGGTCAAGAGCGACCGGGAGTACGCGGGACTGCTGCACCACATGACCCCGCAGGACGGCGGGGCCCAGAACCGGCCCGGCTCCGACAGCCCCATCAGCCAGGTGGGCTCCAGTGGGGGCGAGGAGGCCCGAGGAATCCCTGCTCTCCCCCAAGGAATTCCTGTGGCTCCAGGGTTATCTGTTCCCCAATGCCCCTGGGGAGGGTGAGAGAGGGGCGGTCCCCTCCCGCCCTGACCCCTCCTGCCCTGTAGTCCTGGGCAGAGATCACCAGCCAGACGGAGGGCCTGAGCCGGTTGCTGAGGCAGCACGCGGAAGATTTGAACTCAGGGCCTCTGAGCAAGCTGAGCCTGCTCATCGGGGTGCGCCAGCAGCTGCGCAAGACCTACAGCGAGCAGTGGCAGCAGCTACAGCAGGAGCTCACCAAGGTGGGTGGGTGTCCGTTGCCTGGGCCTCTCTGCCAGGACTCGGAGCTGAGAGGGCCGGCTTTTGCACAACGGCCCCTGGATTCACAGGGAAGTGGAAGTCCTGACCGCAGGCCTGGCCCCCGCAGCTTCCTTTCCCGCCCGGTGTGCTGCCTCGCCGGCCTTCCTGTGTGTGTTCTGTCACTCCAGAGTGCTGGGAGTTCAAGGACCAGTGGTCCCACCGTGGCCTGGGGAGCGCTGGACACCAGCTGGCTCTGGGGCTGGGAGACGGGGAGAGGAGTGAGGGCTAGCCTGTCTGTCCTTGTCCTGGGGGAGATTCCTCCCAGGGCCCAAGAGACACCACAAGGTGAATACAGAGGGTAAAGACTGGGGCTGTGGCCCTGACTGATTTGGCTCAGTGGATAGAGCGTCGGCCTGCGGACTGAAGGGTCCCAGGTTCGATTCCAGTCAAGGGCATGTACCTTGGTTGTGGGCATATCCCCGGTGGGAGGTGTGCAGGAGGCAGCTAATTGATGGTTCTCTCACATCGATGTTTCTAATTCTCTATCCCTCTCTCTTCCTCTCTGTAAAAAAATCAATAAAATATATTTATTTAAAAAAAAAAAAAAGAAAGAAAAAAGAAAAGAAAGAAAAAGACTGGGGCTGTGAAGTCAGCCTGCCTGCATTTGAATCCAGCCCAGCTCCTCCATCTGTTGATCTCCCAGCCTCTGGCGCTATTGATCAACCTGCAACCCGGGCATGTGCCCTTGACCAGAATCGGACCCGGGACCCTTCTGTCCACAGGCCGACGCTCCATCCACTGAGCCAAACCAGCTAGGATGCCACAAGTATTTTTAGAATTGCAATACCTGACAGTTTAGTCAGGGGCACTGATCTCTTTCCCTTAGATTGTCAAGTAAAAAAAAAAAAAGACAACAACAGCTATCCGGCGTGAGTGCCTTGTCTGGAACCAAAAATATATAAGTCATGTAATGGGGTGTGTCTTGCTGGTCATGTCACATAATAAGGTTGTGTCTGACTAGTTAATTCTTGGTACAAGAAATCCTTATATACAAGTATAGACACCTGATTTTTTTCCTCCTTTTTTTGGCACCTGATTTTTTTTAAAGTCATTTTGGAGCAAGAGGGCAGGTAATTACTTTTTTAAATCCTCACCCGAGGATATTTTCCCATTCGTTTTTAGAGAGAGCAGAAGAGAGAAGGAAAGACAGAAAGAAATATCAATGGGATTGAAATACATCAATTGGTTGCCTCTGTCACATGCCCCAACCAGGGCCAGGGAGGAGCCTCTAATGAAGGTACATGCCCTTGACCGAAATCGAACCCGGCACCCTTCAGTCCGCAGGCTGATACTATCCACTGAACCACACCAGCTAGGGCAGTAATTACTACTTTTTATTATTAGTAGTAGTACTTTGTAAGTCAATCAAAATTACCCCTCTTTCTTTTGTCATACTGGCAAAAATATATTTTTCGGTGTGCCACAGAATTTTGGTCATTAGTTAATGTGTGCCACGAGATGAAAAAGGTTGAAATTGCTGTGCTAGTTCAATGTACCAGTCAGGGCCCTGTACCACCCCCTTCTAAACCAGCGCAAAAGCCAGCCTTGCTATGGACCCACAGCGGCCCCTGGTGGCCACTGTCAATCCACTTTTCTCTCTCCCCGAAAGCTTATCTAAAAAACAGGGTTAGCCAGCCCTGGCTGGTTTGGCTCAATGGCTAGAGCATCAGCCTGCAGACTGAAGGGTCCCGGCCTTAATTCCAGTCAAGGGCTCATGCCTGGGGTCGCAGACTTGATCCCCAGTAGTGGGCATGCAGGAGGTAGCCGATCAAGGATTCTCTCTCATCATTGATGTTTCTATCTCTCTCTCCCTTCTCCTTTCTCTCTGAAATCAATAAAAATATATTAACAATAATAAAATAAAATGTTCGCCAGCTGGCCCTTCCTTGAAGGAAAAGGCTGTTACAGATGGGGAAACTGAGGCTCAGAGAGGCTGGGACTGGCCCGACAGCATCGCAGTATCTCAGCAGGGGAACTGGGATGAGAACTCTAGTCTCAACCATCTACTATTCTTGCCATCTTGCAGGACTCCGTGCAAAATGAAAATGTGGGGCCGTGTCCAAGAATTATTTTTTTCCCCCCAAGAAAGTCATTTTAGTCTCATGAACTATAATAAAACTATTTAAGCTTTGCTATTTTGTTATGGCAACCTGAGCTAAGTCATTCACCCTGCCAGACTCCTTTATTTATGGTGACTGTTCTCTCTTTTTTTAGCATTTTTATAGGAATTTCTTTTCTTTTTTAAAAAAATCTTTATTGTTGCCGAGGCCGGTTTGGCTCAGTGGTAGAGCGTCGGCCTGCGGACTGAGGGGTCCCAGGTTCGATTCCAGTCAAGGGCATGTACATTGGTTGCGGGCACATCCCTGGTAGGGGGTGCGCAGGAGGCAGCTGGTCGATGTTTCTCTCTCATCGACATTTCTAGCTCTATCTCTCTCCCTTCCTCTCTGTAAAAAAAATCAATAAAATATATATTTTTTAAAAAATCTTTATTGTTGAAAGTATTACATATATCCCCCTTTTCTGCCCCATTGACCCCTTCCAACTTTCCCCCTGCCCCAGGCTCTCATCACCCCATTGTCTGTGTCCATGGGCTATGCATATATGCTTCCCAGGTCTTGTCAAAGAATTATTGTTTTTTTTAAATATATATTTTACTGATGTCTCACAGAGAAGAAGGGAGAGAGAGTTAGAAACATCGATGAGAGAGAAACATTGACCAGCTGCCTCCTGCACACCCCCTACTGGGGATGTGCCCGCAACCGAGGTACATGCCCTTGACCGGAATCGAACCTGAGACCTTTCAGTCCGCAGGCCGATGCTCTATCCACTGAGCCAAACCGGTTTCGGCTGTCTTGTCGAAAGATTACTGATCATTTCAGGATGGCATGCATCATCGGCGAACGTTCCTCAGTGTGCAGCTCTGTGTGCCTGCAGCTGGGCCTGTTGCCACCAGATACCCCTCTGGGCCTGCCCGGTCCTCTCCCTGCCTCCCCAGGGGCTGTCCTCAGCCCGGCTCCTCTGTCGTCGCCTCGGCCGCAGAGGGCAGGCCCCGGCGGCCCGCCGGCACTTCCTGGGGTTGGGGTGGGGGGCCGGCCTTAGATTTGCTGCCCTCGGGAGCTGCTGGGCCACACTGCCTCTTCTCTCTCCCCAGACCCACAGCCAGGACATCGAGAAGCTGAAGAGCCAGTACCGAGTCCTGGCGCGGGACAGCGCCCAGGCCCGGCGCAAGTACCAGGAGGCCAGCAAAGGTGTGTGTGTGTGTGTGTGTGTGTGTGTGTGTGTGTGTGTGTGTGTGTGGCTTCCCTGGGACCCACCCCCAGGTGCCCGGGGAACTGAGAGGGCTGCTCGGGCCTCTGTGCTGTCACTCACACCCTGCCCCCCCCCCCCCCCCCCCCGGCAGACAAGGACCGCGACAAGGCCAAGGACAAGTACGTGCGCAGCCTGTGGAAGCTCTTCGCGCATCACAACCGTTACGTGCTGGGCGTGCGGGCCGCGCAGCTGCACCACCAGCACCACCACCAGCTCATGCTGCCCGGCCTGCTCCAGTCGCTGCAGGACCTGCACCAGGAGATGGCGTGCATCCTGTGAGCCCCCGCCCCGCCCCGGCCCGGCCCCCTCACCCCCGTCCCGGCCCCCTCACACCCCCCCCCCCCACCGTGCTCCGGGGCAGGGTCTGGAGATGTCAGTCCTGCACAGTGATCGTTGTAGAATCACATGGGACAGGCCTCGGGCGGAGGGTTGGAGCCGTTCAATTTATATCTGAATTAACATTATCCCAGGGCCCCTCATTCCAGGGTTTGTTGTACGTACATATATATTTTTTAAATATATTTTGATTTTTTTTAAATTATTTTTTTATTGATTTTTTTTTTTACAGAGAGGAGAGAGAGGGATAGAGAGTTAGAAACATCGATCAGCTGCCTCCTGCACACCCTCTACTGGGGATGTGCCCGCAACCAAGGTACATGCTCTTGACCAGAATCGAACCCGGGACTTTTCAGTCCACAGACCGACGATCTATCCACTGAGCCAAACCGGTTTCAGCTATTATATTTTATTGATTTTTTACAGAGAGGAAGGAGGGGGGAGAGAGAGAGAGAGAAAGAGAGTTAGAAACATTGATGAGAGAGAAACATCGATCAGCTGCCTCTTGCACACCCCCTACTGGGGATGTGTCAGCAATCAAGGTTCATGCCCTTGACCGGAATCGAACCCGGGACCCTTGAGTCTGCAGGCCGATGCTCTATCCACTGAGCCAAACCGGTTTCGGCTGTAGCTCACTTTTTTAAAAAATGTATTTTTATTGATTTCAGAGAGGAAGGGAGAGGGAGAGAGATAGAAACATCAAGGATGACAGAGAATCATGGATCGGCTGCCTCCCACACGCCCCCTCCCGGGGAGTGAGTCTGTAACCCGGGCACGTGCCCTTGATTGGAATCAAACTCGGGAGGGACCCTTCAGTCTGCAGGCCGACGCTCTATCCACTGAGCCACACCGGCTAGGACCGTAGCTCACTTTGAACCAGCACGTTCCTCATCGTGTGTGCCGCACACCATGCCCAGGCTCACTGGGCCCCCATCCCCACTCCCGGCACCCCCCTTACACACAGACAGAGGGCAAAGGTCAGGAGGCGGTCCGTCATTGGCCTTGTGGACTGGTCATCAGGCTGGGAAAGGAGGAGGTGGGGGCTCAATCCCACTGTTAACTCCCAACCCGGAGTCAAGCCCCCCCCACCCCCAGCTTCCCGGCCTTGCCAGACCAGAGGCCCTGCTGACCCGAGTCCCATCGTGGGGGGGTAGGAAGGAGATCCTGCTGGAATACCTGGAGATCAGCAGCCTGGTGCAGGAAGAGGTGGCCGCCATCCACCAGGAGATGGCCGCAGCCGCCGCCCGCATCCAGCCCGAGGCCGAGTACCAGGGCTTCCTGCAGCAGTACGGGTACGCCCCTCCCTCCTCGCCCTGCCCGGCCCCGCGCCCCCGGGGGCTGCTGGCCTGTCCCCTGATGGGGCCCTGTGTCCCCTCCGCGCCCCCCGCAGGTCCCCCCCTGATGTCCCGCCCTGCGTCACCTTCGATGAGTCTCTGCTCGAGGAGGGCGAGGCGCTGGAGCCCGGGGAGCTGCAGCTGAACGAGCTGACGGTGGAGAGCGTGCAGCACGCGTGGGTGCCCGGCACGGGGCGGGCGCTGTCCACACAGCAGGGGCGGGGGGGGGGGGCCGGCCCTGCAGGGGGCATCCTGGCCCTGCAAGGGGGCATCCTGGCCCTGCAAGGGGGCATCCGAGGGGCGGCTCCCAGGCTCCAACCCTGCTCTTCCTTCTGCCACAGGCTGACCTCGGTGACCGAGGAGCTGGCCGTGGCCACCCAGCGGGTGCTCAGCCGGGAGGAGGCGGTCACACAGCTGCAGCGGGAGCTCAGGCACGAGGAGCAGGCCGTCCACCCGCGGCAGCGGTGAGCGGCCCCACCGACAGCAGCTCCCACCCCCTCCTCCCTCCCCCTGCCGCCGCTGCTGCAGGCTGAGCCCTCGCTCTCTCTCTCTCTCCCGCCCCCACCGGCCTGCCTGCAGGGTTTACCTGCTGAGCAAGCGGCAGGTGCTGCAGGAGGAGCTGCAGGGCCTGCAGGTGGCGCTGTGCGGCCAGGCCAAGCTGCAGGCCCAGCAGGAGCTGCTGCAGGCCAAGCTGGAGCGCCTGGGCCCCAGGGAGCCCCCGTGCGTCCCCCTGCTGCAGGATGACCGCCACTCCACGTCCTCCTCGGTGAGTGTGCTCCCCCTCCCTCCACCCCTCCTACCCCCACTTACCCCCACGGGGCCACCCTGCCGGCCTGCCCCGGCCGAGCTCCTCACTGTCGCCCTCCCCCTCCCTCCCCAAGCCTGGCCACCCGCTGACGTCTGTCCCTGGCCCCAGGAGCCGGAGCGGGAAGGCGGAAGGACACCCACCCTGGAGATCCTGAAGAGCCACATCTCGGGAATCTTCCGCCCCAAGTTCTCGGTGAGCGAGGGAGTGAGCGAGCGAGGCCTGGCCGGCCCCTTCTCCGAGGGGGTGGGCCAGCCAGGATCTCAGAGATGCCCCCTAAGCTAAGGTGACCAGACATCCCGCTTTTGGCGGGACAGTCCCGATTTTTAACAATTTGTGTCCTGTCCCGCGGTGTTTTAAAAAAGTCCCAATTTTTAGCCGAAACCAGTTTGGCTCAGTGGATAGAGCCCTGCGGACTGAAAGGTCCCGGGTTCGATTCCGGTCAAGGGCATGTACCTTGGTTGCGGGCACATCTCCAGTAGGGGATGTGCAAAAGGCAGCTGATCGATGATTCTCTCTCATCGATGTTTCTAACTCTCTATCCCTCTCTCTTCCTCTCTGTAAAAAAGCAATAAAATATATTTTAAAAAATAAATAAAAAATTAAAATTAAAAAGTCCCAATTTTTGGAAAGATTCTTTTAAATCTTTTGGGCTTTTTTTTTTTCAGAGAGGAAAGGAGAGGATAGAAAGCTAGAAACATCGATGAGAGAGCAACATCCATCAGCTGCCTCCTGCACACCCCACACTGGGGATGTGCCCGTAACCAGTGCACATGCCCCTCACCAGAATCGAACCCGGGACCCTACAATCCGCAGACCGACATTCCATCCACTGAGCCACATCGGTTTCAGCTCTTTTGGACTTTTTTAAAACACCGCGGGACAAATTGTTAAAAATCGGGACTGTCCCGCCAAAAGCGGGACGTCTGGTCACCTTACCCTAAGTCCCTCCCACATGGTGTCTGGGTGGTTCCTGGGCTTTGCCCAAGAAGAGAGAAGGCTCTGCCCAGGCTGCTTTTATTGGGTGTCCGGGCGTAGGTGTCTCCCTTCTGCCTTGGTTATCTCACTAGCTCTTTCTGCTTTGGGCGGGAGGTGGGGAGGGGGCTGTGGCCTGGTGGAAAAGGCAAAAGCATGCATGGTGTGGGGCCAGCAAGCCCGGCGCCAACCTCAGCAGCCTGCCCTGGGGCATGCGGACGGCTCTGCCCGCTCCCGGGGTGGTTTGGGAAGATAGAGGGGCACACACGTGAGACAGACTTCCTGCTGACCCCCAGCCGGCCTCGTGGTCACCCCCCCTCCTCGCTCTCCCTCCTCCCTGCCCCTCCCCAGCTCCCCCCGCCGCTGCAGCTGGTTCCCGAGGTGCAGAAGCCCCTGCACGAGCAGCTGTGGTACCACGGGGCCATCCCGCGGGCAGAGGTGACGGAGCTGCTGGCGCAGTCCGGCGACTTCCTGGTGCGGGAGAGCCAGGGCAAGCAGGACTACGTGCTGTCCGTGCTGTGGGAGGGCCAGCCCCGGCACTTCATCATCCAGTCCGCCGACGTGAGTGCGCCCCCCACCCGCCCGCCCGCCCCGCGCCAGGGGACGGCCTCGCCACGGCGGGAGGGGTGCCCACAGAGACCCCCACTTCCTGCCGCCAAAGAGGCTTAGACCTTCAGTGCGGGTTCCCCCCGAAGGAGGGAGCAGGCATATTGGGGACCTTGAAGTTATGCCTTCCTTCCTTTTTAAAAAAAAAAAATATTTTTTTTATTGATTTTTTACAGAGAGGAGAAGAGAGGGATAGAGAGTTAGAAACATCCATGAGAGAGAAACATCCATCAGCTGCCTCCTGCACACCCCACATTGGGGATGTGCCCGCAACCAAGGTCCATGCCCTTGACCGGAATCGAACCTGGGACCTTTCAGTCTGCAGGCCGACACTCTATCCACGGAGCCAAACCGGTTTCGGCCTCTTATTTTTATTTAACACATTTTTATTGATTTCAGCAAAGAAGGGAAAGGGGGAGAGAGAACGAAACATCCATGATGAGAGAGAATCTTGGATCGGCTGCCTCCTGCACGCCCCATCCTGGATCGGGAATCGAACCCTGACCTCCTGGTTCCTAGGTCGATGCTCAACCCCTGAGCCATGCCTTCCTGCAGTATCTCTGCCTCTTGCCCTGGGCAGACCCTTTCTCCCTGCTGCTCCCCGTCCCCAGCCCTGGGCTCAGGTCCCCTCAGCAGTGGAGGCTGCTGACCCAGGACCCCCTGCCCCCCCAGAACATGTACCGCCTGGAAGGCGACGGCTTTCCCAGCATTCCCTTGCTCATCGACCACCTGCTGCGCTCCCAGCAGCCTCTCACCAAGAAGAGCGGCGTCATCCTGAGCCGGGCTGTGCCCAAGGTAAGCTGCACCCCCCCCATGCCCACCCCGCCCACAGCAGGCCCGGGGAGCAGGGTCCAGGCCCCAGGAACCAGGGCAGGCGGGCCCTTCCAGCTCCCCCATCTCTGGTCTCCAGTACAGGGCAGCCACCTGCTGCATTTACAAGGTCAAGGCCACTCCCACCCACAAGGTGGCGCTCTCCCAGCCCATCCCTGGTCCCTGAAGTTGTCCCAGTGGGATCCTGACAGGGCCCAACCCCCAGTGTACAGACTAACACACCGAGGCGCCAGGACATGCCAGGTGGAGCCTTGGGGGGAGGTGTTCAGTCTCCACAGGGCCCAGCACGCCTCCCTTCACTAGCTGACACCCCCCCCTTCCTTCCCCAGGATAAGTGGGCGCTGAACCACGAGGACCTGGTGCTGGGCGAGCAGATTGGACGGGTGAGTTGAGCGCCCCCGTGGCCTCCTGGATGCTGGCGTTGCCCCACTTCCTTCCAGCCCCTGTCCCCCCATCCCCAGCCCCTATGAGTCATACCCAGGCCCCCCTCCCGGAGCTCCTGGCCTCCATCTCTCTCTGATCCTCAGCTTGGACCCTGCTCCCCGCCCAGCCACCACCATGCACCATTCTGCAGGAAACGAGGAAGTCCCTGCTGCTGGCACGCCCCCATACCAGCCCTTACCCCCCCACACACACCTCACAGGCCCTGCCGCCCCACCCCATAGGGCCCCTGCCGCTCCCCTCCCCTCGCCCCTCAGAGCTCTGCTGTGAAGGGAGATACATCGTGTTCTGAGAGCTGTCGAACACCTGCTTAGGAAAGAAGGCAGTTTCCTAAAGATCACAGGCTTTTCCAGCCCAAGGAAAGTGGCTTTTGCTATTTATTTTTTAAATATATATTTTTATTTATCTCAGAGAGGAAGGGAGAGGGAAAGAGAGAGAGAGACATTAATGATGAGCCTCCTGCACACCCCGCATTGGGGATGGAGCCTGCAAGCCCTGACCGGGAATCAAACCGGGACCTCCTGGTTCATAGGTCGATGCCCAACCACTGACCAACACCAGCTGGGCGGAACGTGGCTTTTGGGTGGTCCGTGTCACTTCTTTTTAGTACACATGCTAGAGGTGACATTCTCTGCCTATCCCACGTGCATTCCCTCGGTCCCCCAACTGGGGGTCAACGAGAGAGCCGGATGGGGCGCTGAGGGGAGGGCGGGCGGTGGGGGGGGGACCGAAAGGGCTGTCCCCCGAGAGGATGGCCTGGAACCCAGTGCCGTTTGTGCAGGGGAACTTCGGCGAGGTGTTCAGCGGGCGCCTGCGCGTGGACAACACCCTGGTGGCCGTGAAGTCCTGTCGAGAGACGCTGCCGCCGGACCTCAAGGCCAAGTTCCTGCAGGAAGCCAGGTAGGGGGCGACACGGCAGCCACCACGGGGCTCACGCGAGGGCTTCCTCTCCCTGCGCACGGTGGCATAGAGAGCTTGACTTCCATGGTGTCATGTCATCCTCACAGGACCCTGCAACCAGGGCAGAGGGGTTGGGGCTCGGTGACCCCCCCACCCCCAAGGTCACATGTCCAGGCCTCCCGACCTCATAAGCCACGTTCGCTCTTCTGCTGCCCTTTCCCGCCCTCCCTCGGGCTCCCTGGGGCTCCCTGGGGTTCCCTGAGTCTCCCTGGGGTTCCCTGGGGTTCCCTGAGTCTCCCTGGGGTTCTCTGAGGCTCCCTGAGGCTCCCTGGGGTTCCCTGAGTCTCCCTGGGGTTCCCTGGGGATCCCTGGGATTCCCTTGGGCTCCCTGGGGGTCCCTGAGTCTCCCTGAGGTTCCCTGAGTCTCCCTGAAGTTCCTTGGGGTTCCCTGAAGTTCCCTGGGGTTCCCTGGGGCTCCCTGAGGATCCCTGGGGTTCCCTGAGGATCCCTGGGGCTCCCTGGGGTTCCCTGAGTCTCCCTAGAGGTCCCTGGAGCTCCCTGGGGGTCCCTGAGGATCTCTGGGAGTCCCTGGGGCTCCCTCAGGCTCCCTGGGGTTCCCTCAGGCTCCCTGGGGTCCCTGGGTTCCCTGGGGCTGGGGCAGGATGGATCAGCCCCCACGGTGGGAGCCTAAGCAGCGGTGCCCCCCCAGGATCCTGAAGCAGTACAGCCACCCCAACATCGTGCGTCTCATTGGCGTGTGCACCCAGAAGCAGCCCATCTACATCGTCATGGAGCTGGTGCAGGGTGAGCCCAGGCCCCCCCCCCCCCCCCCCCGGGCGGGGACCTCCGCCCCCTGGGTCTCCCCCCCTCCCGTCCCCCATCCCCCTGCCCTGCAAGGAGGCTCAGCAAGGCTTCCCCCACCCACCCCCAGGGGGCGACTTCCTGACCTTCCTCCGGACGGAGGGAGCCCGGCTCCGGATGAAGACGCTGCTGCAGATGGTGGGGGACGCGGCCGCAGGCATGGAGTACCTGGAGAGCAAGGGCTGCATCCACCGGTGAGCGGGCGAGCGAGCGAGCGGGGCGCGCCCTCAGTACGCCCGCCGCCCCCGCAGCCCTCCGCGTAGCCCCCCCCCCCCGGGGTCCAGGCTGTGCTGCCACCCTGCACCCCTCGTTCACTGGCAGGTCCGGCTCCAGCGCTGGGGCTCGCCTTTCCCGTAGAGCATGAGTCCCAGGCCAGAGAGCAGTTTTTTTTATTTTTCGTTTTTAAAAAAATATATTTTATTGACTTTTTTACAGAGAGGAAGGGAGAAGGATAGAGAGTTAGAAATCAATGAGAGAGAATCACCAATCAACCGCCTTCTGCACACCCCCTACTGGGGGTGTGCCTGCAACTAAGGCACATGCCCTTGACTGGAATCGAACCCGGGACCTTTCAGTCCGCAGGCCGACGCTCTATCCACTGAGCCACACCGGTTTCAGTTTTTTTGTGTGTGTGTGTATTTTTTTTAAAATATATTTTACTGATCTTTTACAGAGAGAAAGGGAGAGGAATAGAAAGATAGAAACATCGATCAGCTGTCTCCTGCACACCCCCCACTGGGGATGTGCCTGCAACCCAGGCACATGCCCTTGACCGGAATCGAACCCGGGACCTTTCAGTCCGCAGGCCGACGCTCTCTCCACCGAGCCACTCCAGCTGGGGCAGAGAGCAGCCTTTGTTCCTGGGTGTGTCTCGGGGTGGGGAGGCAGGTCAGGCAGGCGCCAGGGGCAGCGAGGACGGCGGCTGAGGGAGACCCTCTCCTGCCCCCCCCAGGGACCTGGCCGCCCGGAACTGCCTGGTCACGGAGAAGAACGTCCTGAAGATCAGCGACTTCGGCATGTCCCGGGAGGAGGAGGACGGCATCTACGCCGCCTCGGGGGGCCTCAGGCAGGTCCCCGTGAAGTGGACGGCGCCCGAGGCTCTTAACTACGGTGAGCTCACGGCACGGGGGGCCCCGGTCCTCCGGCCGACGGCCGCGGGCGGCCCCCTCTCACGCCTCCCGCCCCCCTGCAGGCCGCTACTCCTCCGAGAGCGACGTGTGGAGCTTCGGCATCTTGCTCTGGGAGGCCTTCAGCCTGGGGGCCTCCCCGTACCCCAACCTCAGCAACCAGCAGACTCGCGAGTTCATAGAAAAGGGTAAGGCACCACCCTGCGTGACAGCAGCCACGCGGCCACGTTTTTGGGTGTTTTTTCAAAAGATATTTGTATTGAGTTTTTTATTTTATTTTATTTTTTTAAAAATATATTTTATTGATTTTGTATAGAGAGGGAGGGAGAGAGGGATAGAGAGTTAGAAACCTCGATGAGAGAGAGTCATCGATCAGCTGCCTCTTGCACACCCCCTACCGGGGATGTGCCCGCAACCAAGGTACATGCCCTTGACCGGAATCGAACCCGGGACCCTTCAGTCCCCAAGCCGACGCTCTATCCATTGAGCCAAACCGGTCTCGGCTGTATTGAGTTTTAGAGAGAGAAGAAGGGAGAGGGAGTGAGAGAGAAACATCAATGGCGAGAGAGAATCATGCATCAGCTGCCTCCTGCATGCCTCCTACTGGAGATGGAGCCCGCAACCCGGGCATGTGCCTGACCGGGAATTGAACGGTGACCTCTTGGTTCATAGGTCGGTGCTCAACGCCTGAGCCACACCGGCCGGGCCCAAGTTTTTGTGTCTATGCTGCAGGGGGACCCTCCCCCCACCCGGGTCCCCTCACCTTCCGTTCGTCTCACTGGGGCGGAATAAGATCAGTCCGTCCTGTAGCTGCCACTGAGCAGGCCCAGCAGGTGAGGCGGGGGACGAATATGCCCCTTTCACAGAAGGAAAAACTGAGGCTTGCAGAGGTCATACAGCTTGCACACAGTAGGGTTGCAATCAGGACCGCTGTGTCCTCGTGTGAGAGAGAGAGAGGCCCCTTTAAGAGCGGCACAGTTTACTCAGTTCTCACTGCTCACGGGTTGCCCCTGGGGGCTGCGAGGGGACCTCAGCCCCCCTCCTCACGCCCGGGTGCCGTGCTCGCCCTCACAGGGGGCCGCCTGCCCTGCCCCGAGCTGTGCCCGGACGCCGTGTTCCGGCTCATGGAGCAGTGCTGGGCCTACGAGCCGGGGGAGCGGCCCAGCTTCAGCACCATCTACCAGGAGCTGCAGAGCATCCGGAAGCGGCATCGGTGAGGCCGGCCCGGGGGCGTTGTGCCTCCTTCCCGGCTCCGGCTCACAGCGTGGGGGGCTCCTCACAGCTCTGGACTCCAGCCATTCCCCCACGCGGTGGGGATGCGGCCCCCATGTCTGCTGTGCCTCCGTGCTCCTGCCAGGGCAGCCTCCTCTTCCAAGCAGAAATAATAAACCACTTGTGCCCGTCTAGTGCTCTTGGCATGTGCGCTCCCCTGGAGGGCAGAACCCACGGGGTTCGAGGGGCCTGTGAGGATGTCGGCAGCATGGCGTCCAAGTCTGGAGACGCAGACGCAAAGAGGGGCAGGCTGGCACGGGAGGCCTGAACGTCAGGAGCTTATCGGTGTGAGAGAGCCGCTGGCACTGCTGATGTGTGCATCCGTCACGTGAGATTGGGGGCGGGGAGGAGAGGACCGGGTCGGGGGCAGTTAGAGCTTCCCTCTGAGACCATCATGGCTGCAGGGAGAGAAATTGCTTCTCGGAGTGTCTCTCACACACAAGCTTACCGAGCCGTGGGGTACAAAGCCTGCCCCGCCTCCCTTGAGTCCCCCCTGAGATCCACAAAATGATCTGAAACGGAACCAGCAGCACCAGTGAAGGCCCAGCAGAGGAGGAGTCTGAACGCACTGAGAAGCATAAACAGGAAAGATGTAAAGAAGAACCAGTCCTGACCGGTGTGGCTCAGTGGATAGAGCGTCGGCCTGCGGACTGAAAGGTCTCAGGTTCAATTCCGGTCAAGGGCGTGTACCTGGGTTGCGGGCACATCCCCAGTAGGGGGTGTGCAGGAGGCAGCTGATGGATGTTTCTCTCGCATCGATGTTTCTGACTCTATCCCTCTCCCTTCCTCTCTGTAAAAAAAATCAATAAAAATATATATTAAAAAAAAAAAAAAAAAAAAAGAACGAAGCAGAACTTTGAGGCCAAATGGCCATCCCCCAAGATGGTTTAGGAAATAGTCGACATCTCTTGTCAAAGACATAAAAGGCCTAGGACTTCTTTCAATAAGAGGAAGCGAGTTCGTGTGTGACTATGTGGAAGTGTTAAGTCAAACCCCGTCTTCGTTGGAAGTGGGAGAAAGCAGAACTGAAGAACTTCTGCTTCTGAGTCGGATGTGGCAGGTCCGTGCTGGCCACCGCGCTCATTGCAACAAGGAGGACGAGACAAGATGACAACCACCATTTCTTAAGGAGAACGGAGAGCGTTAGGAGACGTAAGAACCAGATGAACTCCAATGTCAAGGAGGAAAGGGCCCTGCCCAGGTGGTTACTCACATCCCTGAGACATTCCATGACCAGAATGGCCCCAAACAGAGAGACTGTAATGAGGAAAGGAGCTGCGAGTTGTTTCAGTGCTATGGATTGGGCCCGAGAGGAGCCTAAAACTGCAAAGCCAGTTTCCCCCCGGGTTCTGGAGCCCTTGGGGCCATTGGAAAGGGGCTGGGCTGGGTAGACAGGTCCTACAGCCTTGAAGGATGTAGAGGGGAGAACCTGAAACAAATAACTCCCCCTTAAGAGATTGGCCAGATCTTGAACCTATGGATTGGGAGGCCAAAGAGCTAACCCTAGAATCTCTGAAGAGCAGAGTTTGAAAGCCGAGAGAGATGGAAACTGGCCAGGTTTTCGACCCCAGGTCCAAGAGGGCCACTCCTAAGGGACAGAGACAATCTAGGGGAGGACTGAGACTCACAGAGCTATGACTCTGCCCCAATTTAGCTCAGTGCTTGACTGCTGACTACCACAGGAACAAGAAAAATATCTCCAGGTGGCTAGCTCCTCGGGGTTGGGAGGTGTGGGTCAGGGAGAAGAAAGGAATGACATAAGCTGAAGTTCCTAACCTTTTTCTTCTTTTAAAAAATGATTTAAATTCATTTTAGAGAGGAAAGGAGAGGGAGAGAGAGAGAAACATCAATGATGAGAATGAATCATTGATCAGCTGCCTTCTGCACTCCCCCCTATTGGGGATGGAGCCCACAACCCGGGCATTTGTCCTTGGCCAGAATCGAACCTGGGACCCTTAAGTCTGCAGGACGACGCTCTATCCACTGAGTCAAACCATCTAGGGCTCCCTACCCTTCTTTTACACCCAATATGCAACATGCAAACAAAAATTATGAAATGTGCGCCCCAAAAAAGATAAAAATGGGTCCAACACCTAAGAGGAAACATAAACAACAGAAGCAAGACCACAGATGATCTAGATATTGGAGTTGGCAGATAAAGATTTTAAAAAACTACGGTTAATTTGTTAAATTGGGAGGGGACACACAAAATAGATGGAAATATGGAGACTTTTAACAGGGTTGTAATTTACTTAGAATCGAAAGGAGCAGGTAGAACTGAAAAATGCCATCCCCCAAATTACAAACTCATTGGATGGGTTTCATAAAAAATGAAGGATAAAGTCACACTTCTAGAGACTGAAGACAGATTTAGTGAACTTGAAGATAGATTAATAGAAGGTATCTAAATTGAAGTAGAAAGAGAGGGAGAAAGAGAAATAAGAAGGGGGCAGGGAGCAGCCTAAGGCACAAATAGGACTTCATTATAAGAGTGATTGGAGTTCCAGAAGGAGAGAGAGAAGTTAGAACCAGAATAAACTGACAATGACTCCAACAGGAATAAAAAAGACCACTGACACACACACAGCAACACTGAATGAATCTCAAAGATGAGTACAGACATCATACATGTTTGAATCTCACTTCTGACTTCACACACAAAAGTCAGACATGAAGGAGTGCATACTTGCAATCCCATTTCAGGAAGCTCAAGAACAGGCAAAAACTAAGCAATAGAGAAGTCAACATAGTGGTTATGTCTGAGGGGTACTGCTGATGGGAAGGGGATGGAATTAATGAAGATATTCATTGCAGTATGATTTATTCTGCTTCAAAATTACAAAACTGCCTGGCTGGTGTGGCTCCGTGGTTGGGCATTGACCTATGAACCAGAAGGTCACGGTTAAATTCCAGGTCAGGGCTGGATCCCTAGTGGGGGTGCAGCGGGGGGACATGCAGGAGGCAACCAATCCATGATTTTCTCTCATCACTGATGTTTCTACTCTCTCTCCCTCTTCCTTCCTCTCTGAAATCAATTAAAAAATAATTTTAGCCCTAACCAGTTTGGCTCAGTGGATAGAGCGTCAGCCTACGGACTGAAAGGTCCCGGGTTCGATTCCGGGCAAGGGCATGTACCTTGGTTGCAGGCACATCCCCAGTAGGGAGTGTGCAAGAGGCAGCTGATCAATGATTCTCTCTCATGGATGTTTCTAGCTCTCAATCCTTCTCTCTTCCACTCTGTGAAAAATTAATAAAATATATTTTTAAAAATTATTTTTTAAAAAAGCAGGCAAGGATTTATTGAACTGGCCAGGACCACCGTGAGAGCACCACTCAAATGTGGAGTCCACACCCATGATTGCGCCATTCCAGGTGTAGGCAGTCCTTTTAAAGGTCTAAACCACAAAAAAATTTCCTTTGTTCTAAATAATAAATGCTGGGAACAGCCCGCAGGGTCCTTCCCAGCCACATCCTGCTGGACATTGGAATGTGGCCCTATCTTGCGAAAGCAGACAGTACAGAAGCATAACCAAGCCAAGGTGATCTCTAAAGGTTATCTGCAGCTTCAACTCCTGCAGCTACTGAGTCAGTGGGAATCCATCGCCTGCGGTCCTGGTCCACAGGCTCAGGAAAACTGCCTTAGCCTCCAGGTCTCCATCTGGAAGCTGAGATAACTACCCTATTGTTGAAGCAAGTCAGCGAGTGCCACAGCCAGAATAGCAGGGTTAAAATTCAAACAGCATGCCAAAGCCGGTTTGGCTCAGTGGATAGAACATCGGTTTGCATACTGAAGGGTCCCGGATTTGATTCTGGTCAAGGGCATGTACCTTGGTTTCGGGCACATCCCCGGTGAGGGGTGTGCAGGAGGCAGCTGGTTGATGTTTCTCTCTCATTGATGTTTCTGGCTCTCTATTCTTCTCCCTTCCTCTCTGTAAAAATCAACAAAATATATTTTAAAATAAAATAAAATTCAAACAGCAGTTTGTACCCAAGTATGGTTGCTCCCATACTTCAGGTGGCCAGCTGGGAAAGGACAGTTGTGGATGCTCCGCACCCACAGGAGGCAGCACCCCTGGGCCCTGAAAAAGTAGCATCCCCGTGGGGTTCTCTGGAGCGGAGCCGGCGGGCGGGTGCATCCAAGGAGGGATGTACCCTCTGCTCTTTGCACCTAATGGTTCCGCTCTCCTGCGCGCCCTCCGGGCCGGGCCAGGACTGCGCCTGCGCACTGCGGCCGGACTCGGGGCGGAAGGGAGACTCGGGGCGGAAGGGAGGCTCGGGGCTGTTTCCGCCCCGCACGCAGCTCCGCCTGCGGCCGCTGGAGGAAGGGCCGGGCTGGCGCTGGGGAGCGCGCCGGCGGCCCTGGCCCCGCGGGAGCGCGGCTGCGGCGCGAGGAGGAGTCGGGGTGACGGGTGGGCGGGCGGCCGCCTTCCCTGCGCCGCTGCCAGGCGCGGGGCCGCCACCCTCGGGGATGCGGGGGGCAGCGCGAGGCCCGCGGGGCCCGGAGCGGCGCGAGGCCGGCCGCGGACGGTAATGCCGCCGTGCGGACACGGGGGAGGGTCCTGCGGGCCCTTCGGGGACGGAGGCGGCCGGCGCCCCGCATCCGGGCAACTGTCTCGGACCTGGGACCGGCAGGGTTGGAGGGAGCGGGGCGGGTCAGGGACTGGCGGACCCGGCGCAGGTGCCTGCCTCCCGGGTGAACCCACCCGTGTGTCACTCTCCAGCTCCACCCCCTTTGGCCCGGAATCAGCCTCCCAAAGGCTAAAAATACTGCCCGGAGGCCTCTGAGCGGAGTCCAGTCGGCTAAGAGGGGCAGGAGGCATCGGCCACAGCGCTCCCGGGCAGCCATCGGCCTCTCTGCACGGAGCAGGCAAGTGGGGGCCTGTGGAGGGTGGGGGGCAGCCAGCGGGCGCTGGTCGCCCCAAGTTAGCCTTGCAATCCAATCCAACCTGTCCACTCCCTCCCCAGGGTGGGGGATCCCCTCAGCATCCATCACTGCCGGCCTCCCAGGGGGTCCCCTACTTGCTGCCCAAGCAGAGCGTGCAAGCGACCTCCTGCGGCATCAGAACTAACGGGGAAAGGGCTAGAGGACTCGGTCTGTGTGAGACACAGAAGCCGCTTGTTTTGAAATCCATTCTGTAATTTCAGGGAGAAAGGCTTTCCTGTAAGTCTCTCTGGGTCTTTTAAATCCAAATAGGTAGTAGCTGTTTTATTCCTCTGGCACTAGACCCACGTGGTCACGGAGCCTGGGTGCCCACTCGCTGTGCCCGCTGCCTTCCCCCATCAGCTCTCAGGGAGGCTGGTTGGTTGTCATCAGGAGGTTGCACGGTGACCTCTGGAGTCAGAGCTGGGAAGTTTGGTATCTCACGTGTTTGTTTTTTTATAGCCTCAGCCCTGGTGGAGAGAGATTCTGCTTCTCCCCAAGGGAGAGCTGCTCTCCTGAGGCGGGCGAGGCAAGACCAGCCTCGGATAACAAGTCTGTGTCTCAGCAGAGAGAGTAAGATCCCGCTGGGGTGGGTGAGAGCGCACCCTCAGCGCTGGGACTCCCTGCTCCTTGCTCTTCTTGAGAGCTGGACAAACGTAGGTGTTTCTCTCTTTTGCGAGCATCTAGTTCCTGTGTAGAGGAGCTGAGGATTAAGAAAGGAAAGAAAGAAAAGAGACCAGACACGGAGATAGAAAAAGCTGGGAGCCAGGTGGAATGCCGTTCTCTCTGATGGAGGGGACAGGGACCCAGAGCCAGACGAAGCAAGTTTATTTTATATTCTCCCAAATACCAGGGGGTTATCACCAGAACTTAGGATCAAAGGAGCTTATTTGCTATTCTTGAGTAGGCTCCAGCATTCCTGGGTGCTTGACTGGATTCTAAAAAATATATATATTTTATTGATTGTTTACAGAGAGGAAGAGAGAGGGATAGAGAGTTAGAAACATCAATCTGCTGCCTCCTGCACACCCCCTACTGAGGATTTGCCTGCAACCAAGGTTCATGCCCTTGACCAGAATCAAACCTGGAATCCTTGACTCCACAGGCCGATGCTCTAACCACTGAGCCACACCGGTTAGGGCTTGACTGGATTTACATATCAAAGTCCCACTGCCCGGGCCCCTGGGTAAAGGCAAGAGTCAGTACTGATAACACATCTGCCTTTTTGGTGAATGTGTATCTAAGACACAGCTTTTGCCTGTCTCCTCGGAATCAGCTGACAATAATTTAAGGAAACGCCCATAACAGTCTGTGTCTCAGCCAAGACAGTAAGATCCTGCCGAAACCAGTTTGGCTCAATGGATAGAGCGTCAGCTTGGGGACTTCAGGGTCCCGTGTTCGATTCCGGTCAAGGGCATGTACCTTGGTTGCGGGCACATCCCCAGTAGGGGGCGTGCAAGAGGCAGCTGATCGAGGACTCTCTCTCATCGAGGTTTCTAACTCTCTATCTCTTTCCCTTCCTCTCTGTACAAAATCAATAAAATATATTAAAAAGAGAGAGTAAGATCCCCTGGGGTGAGTCGGGCAAACAGATGTCCCTTGGGAGCAGCCCTTGGGATCTCATCGGCACATCGGGTGGCAAGATCCCCAAAGGGATGTTGGCTGGGGGAGCTGAACATGGCGCCCCTCCCTCCTCCAGGTGCGCGCGGAGGCCAGGATGAAGCTGAAGAAGCAGGTGACCGTGTGCGGGGCCGCCGTCTTCTGTGTGGCCGTCTTCTCCCTCTACCTCATGCTGGACCGCGTGCAGCACGACCCCGCCCGGCACCAGAGCGGCGGGAACTTCCCCCGGGTGAGTCACGCCCGGCGCCTGAGGTCCTCGCCGGACCGGTGTCAGGGCGCAGCGCCCATCTGACACAGGAACGTTCAGCTCAGGACGAGAACATTCCTTCCCCGGGGGCAGCGTTTCTAGAAGGAGGAGGGGGAAATGGCATGATGGACTGCTGCTCTGTCTTCGGAGTTTTTTTTTGTTGTTGTTTTTTTTTAATATATTTTATTGATTTTGTACAGAAAGGAAGGGAGAGAGATAGAGAGCTAGAAACATCGATGAGAGAGAGAGTCATCGATCAGCTGCCTCTTGCACACTCCCTACTGGGGATGTGCCCGCAACCAAGGTACATGCCCTTGACCGGAATCGAACCCGGGTCCCTTCAGTCCCCAAGCTGATGCTCTATCCATTGAGCCTAACCGGTTCGGGCTTGTTTTGTTTTTTAATAATTGCTTTTTTACAGAGAGGAAGGGAGAAGGATAGAGTCAGAAACATCGATGAGAGAGAAACATCGATCAGCTGCCTCCCACACCCCCTCCCCCCAACTGGGAATGTGCCCGCCACCGAAGTACATGCCCTTGACCGCAGTCGAACTTGGGACCCTTCAGTCCTCAGGCTGACGCTCTCTGTCCACTGAGCCAAACTGGTTTTGGCTGTCTTGAGACTTGTTTATTTTTATATATTTGTATTGATTTCAGAGAGGAAGGGAAAGAGAGAGAGAGAGAGAGAGAGAGAGAACATCGATGATGAGAGAGATTCACGGATCGGCTGCCTCCCGCACACCCTCTACTGGGAATTGAGCCCGCAACCCAGGCATGTGCCCTTGGGCGGAATTGAACCCGGGAGCTTTCGCAAGCCGGTGCTCTATCCACGGAGCCACACCGGCGAGGGCGGTCTTGGGGATTCTCGGCAGCTATTGCAAACGGATGGCACCGTGCATTCCCACGGAGCCCAGCTGCAGTCCTTGTGGGCGTGCGATAGGCATGTGAGGCGAAACCTCGGCCTCTTAAAGCTTAGAGGGCGATGGTGCTCCCAGCCCACGTGGATTGCAGTCCTCCCGGGTGTTTGTACCTCGTCCCTTACCCGGCCAGGGTCAGAGTTGGGCGTCGCGAGGCGGAGGGAGGCGCGGAGGGTGACTGCGCGCTGCTCTTCCGGCAGAGCCAGATCTCTGTGCTGCAGAACCGCATCGAGCAGCTGGAGCAGCTTCTGGAGGAGAACCATGAGATCATCAGCCACATCAAGGAGTCGGTGCTGGAGCTGACGGCCAACGCCGAGGGCGCGCCCGGCCTGCTGCCCTACTACACGGCCAACGGCTCCTGGGTGGTGCCGCCCGAGCCCCGGCCCAGCTTCTTCTCCGTCTCCCCGCAAGACTGCCAGTTTGCCCTGGGGGGCCGGGGCCAGAAGCCGGGGCTGCAGGTAAGAGCCGGAGCCGGGGGTGGGGGAGGGGACACCCTCCGCGGCCAGGGCCCCGCTGAGCCGGCCGGCGCCTGCCCCGCAGATGCAGGCCGTGGCGGAGGAGCTGCCCTTTGACAACGTGGACGGCGGCGTGTGGAAGCAGGGCTTCGACATCTCCTACGGCCCCCACGACTGGGACGCCGAGGACCTGCGGGTGTTCGTGGTGCCGCACTCCCACAACGACCCGGGTGAGGGCGGGCGCCCCCAGCCCGCGGCGGCGGGCTCGCTTATTTTTCAGAGAGGAAGGGAGAGGGATAGAGAGCTGGAAACATCCATCAGCTGCCTCCTGCACACCCCCCACCGGGGATGTGCCCGCAACCAAGGTCCATGGCCTGGACGGGAATCGAACCCGGGACCCTTCAGTCCGCAGACCGACAGTCTGTTCACTGAGCCAAACCGGTCTTGGCAACAGGCTTGCTTTAAAAAAAAAAAAAAAAAAAAAAAAAAAAATATATATATATATATATATATATTATTGATTTTTTTTACAGAGAGTAGGAGAGAAAGATAGAGACTTAGAAACATTGATGAGAGAGAGAGAGAGAATCATCCATCAACTGCCTCCTGCACACCCCGTACTGGGGATGTGCCCGCAACCAAGGTCCATGCCCTTGACCGGAATTGAACCTGGGACCCTTCAGTTCGCAGGCCGACCCTCTATCTACTGAGCCAAATCAGTTAGGGCGGACTTGCTTTTTAAAAAAATATTTTTTTATTGATTTAAGAGAGGGAGAGAGAGTGATGAGCGAGAATCATGGGTCGGCTGCCTCCTGCACCACCCCCACGCCGAGGATTGAGCCTGAAACCTGGGCCTGTGCCCTGACCGGGAATCAAGCCGTGACCTCCTGGTTCCTAGGTGGACGCTCCACCGGGGAGCCACGCCGGCGGGGCTTGGTGGGCTTTCTGGTGGCCAGGGCAGGGGGTAGGGGGGCGGTGGAAGACGGGGTGGCATCCTCAGGGCGCCCCGTGTCGCTCACTCCCCAGGCTGGATCAAGACCTTTGACAAGTACTACGCGGAGCAGACCCAGCACATCCTCAACAGCATGGTGACCAAGCTGCAGGAGGACCCGCGGCGGCGCTTCCTCTGGGCCGAGGTCTCCTTCTTCGCCAAGTGGTGGGACAACATCAGCGCCCAGAAGAAGGCCGCCGTGCGGAGGCCAGTGGCTGGCTGTCGGGAGGCGAGGGGGGGCTGTCCCCTGGGCCCAGGAGGGGTGGCCAGGTTTCCCTAAAGCTGTGGCCCCGCTGTGGCAGGAGAGGCGTGATGGTGAAAGGGCCCAGGTGAGGTGGGAGGGGCTGAGAATGAGGCGGGAGGGGCCTAGGTGAGGTGGGAGGGGCTGAGAATGAGGTGGGAGGGGCTGAGATGAGGTGGGAGGGGCTAAAATGAGGTGGGGCCATGATGAAATGGGAGGGGCTGAGATGAGGTAGGAGGGGCTGAGAGTCATGTGGGAGGGGCCTAGGTGAGGTGGGAGGGGCTGAGAATGAGATGGGAGGGACTGAGGTGAGGTGGGAGGGGCTGAGAATGATGTGGGAGGGGCCTAGGTGAGGCGGGAGGGGCCGAGATGAGATGGGAGGGGCTGAGAATGATGTGGAAGGGGCCTAGGTGAGGTGGGAGGGGCCGAGATGAGATGGGAGGGGCTGAGAATGAGATGGGAGGGGCCTGGATGAGGTGGGCGGGCCCAGGTGAGATGGGAGGAAGGGGTTGTAGGGTCTCTGTGTGAGGAGAAGTCAGAGTTCTGTGAGCACAGGGAAGAGAAAGCCAGGAGCCAGGCCCCTGGACGCTCAGGTGGCGTCCATAGGTCAGCAGAACAGGGACAGCAGGGACGTTGGCCAGGGGGAAAGGAGGCCATGTCTGTCCCCTTGGTCCCAGGTTTGTGTGAGCCGGCTCATTGAGGCCAGTGTGCTCAGGTCCCAGACTGGGCAGATTACCTCCCCCTCCCCATGCCCACCCCGCACCCCACACCCCGCTGAGTGTGAGTCCTTCCCTGCAGGCTGGTGGGCAGCGGGCAGCTGGAGATCGCGACGGGAGGCTGGGTGATGCCCGACGAGGCCAACTCCCATTACTTCGCCCTGATCGACCAGCTCATCGAGGGCCACCAGTGGCTGGAGAAGAATCTCGGTGAGGCTGGGCCCCGGAGGGTGGCTGGGGGCTGTGAGGTGCCGGGTTGGCAGATGGTGGTGCTTTGTGCGCTAATTCCCCCACCCAGGGCCAGGAAGGGAGCTGGGCCAGGCCCAGGAGGCCCGGGGGGGTGGGGTGGTGTTGAGGGCTCTGGCTTCCATTCCCCTGCCCAGGTGTGACCCCGCGCTCGGGCTGGGCCGTGGACCCCTTCGGCCACAGCCCCACCATGGCCTACCTGCTGCGCCGTGCCAACCTGACCAGCATGCTGATCCAGAGGGTGCACTACGCCATCAAGAAGCACTTCGCTGCCACCCACAGCCTGGAGTTCATGTGGAGGCAGAGCTGGGGTAAGGCCGGGGAGGGTGGGGGTGGCAGTGGGAAGGGCAGGGGCCTCAGGACGGGTCCCCGGAGGCGCTCTGTCCCTCAGGGCAGGTGGTGATCACGTTGAGCCGTGTACCTCTGAGCCTTCCCTGCGTTCTGACCCTTCACCTGCCCATCCTCTGAGCCTTCCCCGTCCTCCTCTTTTTCTTTAATCCTCCCCCGAAGATACTTTTCCATGGATTTTCAGAGAGAATGGAAGAGAGAGGGAGAGACAGAGAGAAACACACCGATGGGTTGCCTCCTGCACGTGCCACGATCAGGGCCGGGGCCGGGGAGGAGCCTGCAACCCAGGTACATGCCATTCGACCGGAATCGAACCCACGGGCCGGCGCTCTCGCCGCTGAGCCACACCGGCCAGGGCCAAGCCTCCCCTTCTTCGGGGGTGGCCCCCCCCCCCCCCCGTGCCCAAGCTCCCGACACCGACGCCGCCGGCTGGGGGCTGACTGCCCGCCGTGTCCTCCGCAGACGCGGACTCGAGCACAGACATCCTCTGCCACATGATGCCCTTCTACAGCTACGACGTGCCCCATACCTGCGGCCCGGACCCCAAGGTCTGCTGCCAGTTCGACTTCAGACGCCTGCCCGGCGGGCGCATCAGCTGCCCGTGGAAGGTGCCTCCTCGTGCCATCACGGAGGCCAACGTGGCCGAGAGGTACGGCCGCCCGCCCGCCCGCCCGCCCGGGGGGCTTCGCACGAGGGGCGCGGGCGCGGGCGCTGAGCCACGTGGGTGGTCGCTCCCCCCCCCCCCCCCGAGTCTCCCCGGGGGAGTCGGGTGGCCCGCGTGGTCGTATTTCCTAAGTGAGCACGTCCCCCTTCGTCCTCACGATCTGTCAGAGCCACGTGACTGACTCGGAGGGAAATGCTTCCCAGATTCATACAGTTCTTTCCAACCGTCGGCCTGACAGGACCTCACAGGTGCGGGAGGGTGCTGCCCAGCAGCTGCCAGCCCCTGAGAAAGCAGGCTCGTTCCCTCTGAGCCCGGCACTGGGGACCCCGAGGACGTGACTGTGGCTGAAATGGCCCCCTGGGAGCGTGCAGCTTAAGAGGGATCAGAAACGGCCGTTTAGCCAGAACCAGTCCGGCCTCACGAATCCAACAGGTTGGACTGGTTTTCAGGCTGCGGCCTCCGGTTTCCGCGATGTCCATCGGGAGGTGGACGCGCACATGACTGGAGGGAGAGAAAGGGGTGCTTTGTTTCCAGATCCAAAACACACGCCAGGGCTCGGGCTGCGGAGGCAGGACTTCCCTTTTGTTATTTCTTTTAGTTAAAGAAAAATTATTATTGCCAAAACCGGTGTGGCTCAGTGGATAGAGCGTCGGCCTGCAGACTGAAGGGTCCCAGGTTTAATTCTGGTCAAGGGCATGTACTTTGGTTGCGGGCATATCCCCAGTGGGGGTGTGCACGAGGCAGCTGGTCGATGATTCTCTCTCAAAATTGATGTTTATTTTTTAAAATATATTTTTATTGATGTTTTACAGAAAGGAAGAGAGAGGGATAGTCAGAAACGTCGATGAGAGAGAATCATCGACCAGCTGCCTCTTGCACACCCCCCATCGGGGATGTGCCCGCAACCAAGGTACATGCCCTTGACCGGAATTGAACCAGGGACCCTTCAGTCCGCAGGCCAATGCTCTATCCACTGAGCCACACCGGTTTCGACAAAATTGACGTTTCTAACTCTCTATCCCTCTCCCTTCCTCTCTGTAAAAACTCAATAAAATATATTTAAAAAAGAAAAAAAGAAACGTCGATGAGAGAGAAACATTGACCAGCCGCCTCCCACGCACCCCCTCTACTGGGGATGTGCCCGCAACCAAGGTCCATGCCCTTGACCGGAAGAATTGAACCAGGGACCCTTCAGTCCGCAGGCTGACGCTCTATCCACTGAGCCACACCGGTTTCGGGCCTTTGGTGTGTTTGAAGGTGGATCACAGGGCAGGAGGACTGGTCTGTTGTGTGTGGGGTCAGGAGACGGAAGCCATCCCTGCAGCCCAGCCCGGCCCAGGCCTCTCTCTTCCGGTCAGCACCGCGGAAAGCGCCGGGCTCCAGGCCGGATCCTACCCCGGAGGCTGGGCACCTGCGGGCCAGGCCCCCCACCCCCACCCCCACCCCCGGGCTCTGCTCAGCTCCGGGCCCTCCCCACAGGGCGGCGCTGCTCCTGGACCAGTACCGCAAGAAGTCCCGGCTCTTCCGCACCAACGTGCTGCTGGTGCCGCTGGGCGACGACTTCCGCTACGACAAGCCGCAGGAGTGGGACGCCCAGTTTCTCAACTACCAGCGGCTCTTCGACTTCCTCAACGGCCAGCCCGACCTGCACGTGCAGGTGAGCCTTTCCGTGCGGCCCCCCACCCCGCCCTCCCGGGGCTTCGCTTCTCTCTCCTTCCTTTTCATTTATTTATTTTTTATTTATTTATTTTAAATATATTTTATTGATTTTGTACAGAGAGGAAGGGAGAGAGATGGAAACATCGATGAGAGAGAGTCATCGATCAGCTGCCTCTTGCACACCCCCCTGGAGATATGCCCGCCACCAAAGTACATGCCCTTGACCGGAATCGAACCCGGGACCCTTCAGTCCCTAAGCCAACGCTCTATCCATTGAGCTAAACCGGTCTCGGCCTCTCCTTCCTTTTTAAAGGTTCATTTTTTATTCCCTTATTTGCTGTGTTTTTTAAATCCTCACCCGAGGATAGTTTTCCATCGGTTTTTTAGAGAGAGTGGAAGCGGGAGGGAGAGAAACATCGATGTGAGAGGGACACATCAGTGGGTTGCCTCCTGCACGCACCGGACCAGGGACGGGGAACCTGCCACCGAGTGCCCTTGACTGGAATTGAACCTGGGACCCTTGACTGGAATTGAAGTGCCCTTGACTGGAATTGAACCTGGGACCCTTCAGTCTGCAGGCTGATGCTCTACCCACTGAGCAAAACAGGCTAGGGCTATACTTTTTTTATTTTTTTATTTTTAATGTTAATTTTTTAAAATACATTTTTATTGATTTTGGAGAGGGAGAGAGAGATAGAAACATCAATGATGAGAGAGAATCATGGATCAGCTGCCTCCTGCACACCCCCTACTGGGGATCGAGCCCACAACTCGGGCATGTGCCCTTGACCGGAATCGAACCTGAGACCATTCAGACCGTAGGCTGATGCTCTATCCACTGAGTGACCCGGTTAGGGCCATTTTTTTTTTCTTTAAGTAAACTTTTTATTGTTGATAGTGTAATAGATATTTCCCCATTCCCCTTCTTTTTTTTTTTTTTTTTAATATATTTTATTGATTTTTTACAGAGAGAAAGAGAGAGAGATAGAGAGCTAGAAACGTCGATGAGAGAGAAACATCGACCAGCTGCCTCTTGCACACCTCCTACTGGGGATGTGCCCGCAACCAAGGTACATGCCCTTGACCGGAATCGAACCTGGGACCTTTCAGTCCGCACACCGACGCTCTATCTACTGAGCCAAACCGGTTTCGGCCTCTTTCCCCTTCTTTACCCCCATCCTCTCAACCCTTACTCACACCTCCACCCTGGTCTTCCCTACCCTATTGCCCGAGTCCATGGGCTGTGCATATAAGTGTATAAGTTCTTTGGTTTGTCTCTTCTCGTCCCCCCAACCCTTCCTCGAGCTGTGTCAGGCTGTCCCGTGCCTCCCATTTTGCTGGTTAGTTAATTCATTCTGTTCATTCGATTGCACAGATAAGCGAGGTCGTGCTGTGTTTGTCTTTCTCATCTCCCACAATCCCCTGCCAGGCCCCCAGCCAGGGCGTGGGGCCAGAGGGCGGCAGGGACAGGGCCTGCGCAGGCGCCATAGCGCTGATGGCACTGAGGGGACGGCTTTTCGGGGTCCCCGCAGGCCCAGTTTGGCACCCTCTCGGACTACTTCGACGCCCTGTACAAGAGGACGCAGGTGGAGCCGGGGGCCCAGCCCCCGGGGTTCCCCGTGCTGAGCGGAGACTTCTTCTCCTACGCCGACCGCGAGGACCATTACTGGACCGGCTACTACACCTCCCGGCCCTTCTACAAGAGCCTGGACCGCGTCCTGGAGGCCCATCTGCGGTGAGCATCCCGGGAGGGAGGCGGAGGGGGCCCTGGAGGCCTGCGGGCGGATGGGCGGACGGGCGGGCGGATGGGCGGTCGGACGGACGGACGGACGGGCGCTGACTCCCCTCTCTGCACAGCGGGGCGGAGATCCTCTACAGCCTGGCAGCCGCTCACGCCCGCCACTCCGGCCTGGCCAGCCAGTACCTGCTCTCCAACTTCGCCCTCCTGACCGAGGCCCGGCGCACCCTGGGGCTCTTCCAGCACCACGACGCCATCACCGGCACCGCCAAGGAGGCCGTGGTGGTGGACTACGGCGTCAGGTGCGGCCCCGTCCCCCCCCCCCGCCCCGCTCCGCGCCCTGCCCCCCACGATCCCGGAAAAAGGCCGTGCGGGCGGCCCGCAGACAGGCCGCCCAGAGCCGCGTCCCGCGGGCGCGTGGACAGCGCGTGTGGTCGTGTCCCCACGGTCCCTCTCCGCCCCCCAGGCTGCTGCGCTCCCTGGTCAGCCTGAAGCAGGTCATCGTCAACGCCGCCCACTACCTGGTGCTGGGGGACAAGGAGGCCTACCGCTTCGACCCCGAGGCGCCCTTCCTGCAGACGGTGAGTCCCGTCCTGCCCTGCGCGGGCCCCAAGAGCAGGAGGTGGGGTGAGGGTCTGTCCCCCCTTCCCTGCCCTGTCCGGGGGTGAGTGCAGCTGGACTCGGGTGGGGAGGCGGCAGGATGCTGCCTCAGGCCGAGCCCCATGATGGCTGTTTCCTGCCCATCATTTTTTAAATACATTTTTTTAAAATTGATTTCAAAGAGGAAGGGAGAGGGAGAGAGAGAGAAACACCCATGATGAGGGAGAATCATGGGTCGGCTGCCTCCTGCACGCCCCCCTACTGGGGATCGAGCCTGCAACCTGGGCATGTGCCCTTGACTGGGAATCGACCTGGGACCCTTCAGTCCACAGGCTGACGCTCTATCCATTGGGCCACACCAGCTAGGGCCTTCCCACCGTTTAATTCCAGGATGACACCCGCTTAAACCATGACGCCCTGCCGGAGCCCACGCTGATCCAGCTGGACGCCTCGCCCAGGTGAGCCGGACCAGGCTGTGCCCAGGGCAGAGCTGCTCCCTGACCCCCCCCCCCCCCCCGCCTCTCCTGCCCCCTCCCCCACACCTGCCCCAGGCGCCGAGGCCTGCTGGCGAGCTCCCCTTCCGCCCGCAGGTACGTGGTGCTCTTCAACCCGCTGGACCAGGAGCGGCTCAGTGTGGTGACCCTGCTGGTCAGCTCGCCCCGGGTGCGCGTCCTGTCGGACGAGGGCCAGCCCCTGGCCGTGCAGCTCAGCCCGCACTGGAGGTCCGCCACCGACATGGTCCCCGACGCCTTCCAGGTGACCCTGCCCTCCTGGCCTCTGTCCCTCAGCACCGGCCTCCCGCCCGCCTCCGCCCTCCCCGGGGTGGGGACGGGACCTGGGGGGAGGGATTGCCCAGAGGAAGGCGAGATCTGGACTAGCCCTGGAGAGAGTGGCTTTGTGTTGCCTGTCACTCGTTCTTTCAGCAAGAGATTCTGTGTTTTTTTTTTATTTATTTGTTTTAAATAGCAATATCTACTTTTTAATTTTTATTGATTTCAGAAAGGGAGAGATATATAGAAACATCAATGATGCCCTGACTGGTTTGGATCAGTGGATAGAGCGTCAGCCTGCAGACTCAGGGGTCCCAGGTTCGATTCCGGTCGAGGGCATGTACCTTGGTTGCGGGCACATCGCCAGAGGGGGGCGTGCGGGAGGCAGCTGATCGGTATTTCTATCTCCTCTGTGTTTCTAACTATCCTTCTCCCTTCCTCTCTGTAAAAAAATCAATAAAATATGTTTAAAAAAAGAAAAAGAAACATCAGTGGTGAGAGAGAATCATGGATCGGCTGCCTCCTGCACGCCCCCTTCAGGGGATTGTGCCCGAAACCCAGAAATGAGCCCTGACCGGGAATCAAACCCGAGACCCTTCAGTCTGCAGGCCAGTGCTCTATCCACTGAGCCAAACTGGCCAGGGCTCAGCAAACCTCAGCTTTGGGGTTTGCCACTTCGTAGTTTTTCCAGTGTCATTTGAGATTCATAACAGCCTGACGGGGACAGTAACACCACCTCCCCTTGCGGGGGAGGGACGGAGGCCCTGGGGCCCGAACCCCAGGCCTGTGCCCCCACTGACGCCGGCTGTGCCTTTGCCCCCCCCCCGCCCCCTGTGCCGTAGGTGTCTGTGCCCGTCCGCCTGCCGGCACTGGGCCTGGGCGTGCTGCAGCTGCAGGCCGGCCTGGATGCCCACCGCACGCTGCCCTCCTCGGTGCGCGTCTACCTGCAGGGCCGCAAGCTGGCCGTCAGCCGGCACGAGGCCTTCCCCCTCCGCGTCAGCGACTCGGGCCCCGGCGACTTCGCCCTCAGCAACCGCTACCTGCAGGCCTGGTTCTCAGGCCCCAGCGGGCTCCTCAAGGTGAGGCCCGGCCGGGGCGGGGGCGGGGGGGGTGGGGTGGGGGCCGGGGGGCCGCCATCCGGCTGACAGGGGCCTCGGGGACCGGGGCCCCCCGGGGGGAGTGGTCCGCGCCCTCCCAGGGGGCAGGCCTGACATGCCGGCGTGGGGCCAGGGGTCAGGGCTGTGTTTCTCGGCAGAGCGTCCGGAGGGCGGACGAGCAGCGGGAGCAGCGCGTGGACATGCAGTTCCTGGTCTACGGCACCCGCACGTCCAAGGACAAGAGCGGCGCCTACCTCTTCCTGCCTGACGGCGAGGCCCAGGTACCCGAGGGGCACGGAGAACCCCGGGCGGGGCCTCCCTCCCCGGGCACAGGAGACCTGGGCCCAGCTCAACAGGGTCTCAGGTCACTACCCGTTCCCGGCCGGGCCCTGGGCTGGTCCCCTCGCTTTGCTCTGTGCCGGTCTCAATGCCACCTGCTCGTTGCCAGCCCTACGTCCCCAAGGAGCCCCCCGTGCTGCGCATCACCGAGGGCCCCTTCTTCTCGGAGGTGGCGGCCTTCTACGAGCACGTCCACCAGGTGGTCCGGCTCTACAACCTGCCAGGTGCGCCCGCGGAGGAGGAGGGGGAGGGAAGGAGGAGGAGGAAGAGGAGGAGGGGAGGAGGAGGAAGAGGGGGAAGAGGGGGAGGAGGAGGGGGAAGGGAGGAGGAGAGGGGGAGGGGGAGGGGAGGAGGAGGAGGAAGAGGAGGAGAGGGAGGAGGAAGAGGAGGACGGGGAGGAGGAGGAAGAGGAGGGGGGGAGGAGGAGGAGGGGGAGGAGGAGGGGGAGAAGGAGGAAGAGGAGGAGGGGGAGGAGGAGGGGAGGAAGGGGAGGAGGAGAAGGAGGGGGAAGGAGGTGTGGGCCTGGGGCTGTGACACGCACTTCCTCGTGCCGGGGGAAGGGTTGGGGGGGAATGGGGGTGGTGGGGGGGTTGTGGCTGACCAGGGACCGTGAGAGGCAGGGCTCTGGGCAGAAAGGTCGTCCAGGGAGAGCGCCGGGGTGGCCCGGGGGGCACGGCCCACCCGCCTCGCTCGGCCTCACGCGCTGCCTGTCCCGAGCAGGCGTGGAAGGGCTGTCGCTGGACGTGTCGTCGCTGGTGGACATCCGGGACTACGTCAACAAGGAGCTGGCGCTGCGCGTCCAGACCGACATCGACAGCCAGGGCGCCTTCTTCACTGACCTCAACGGCTTCCAGGTGACGCCGGGCCCGGGTTTGGTGAGGTCAGGGGTGTCCCTGATGGAGAAGGGGAGCCAGGCGAGAGGCCAGGGACCCCTCAGACGGGGGACCCCCGGGTCCACGCCGGGCCTGGGTGCCCTTGACCGCTGGCCGTGCCCACAGGTGCAGCCGCGGCGGTACCTGCGGAAGCTGCCCCTGCAGGCCAACTTCTACCCCATGCCCGTCATGGCCTACATCCAGGACGCCCAGAACCGGCTCACGCTGCACACGGCGCAGGCCCTGGGCGTCTCCAGCCTCCGCGATGGTGAGTGGGAGCAGGAGCCGCGTGGGGGGCGAAGGGCAGGAAAGGAAGCACATCCTGCCCCCAGAGCCTCTCCGCTCCGTAGTCCCCCCTCTCCTTCCAGTTCGCACCGCTCCCCCCCCCCCCCCGCCCCGTCCTGTCCCCCATTCGCTAGGGGTGAGCCATTACAGCTGCCAGTCACAGGCGCCTCTGTCACCCCCCCCCAGTGGAGGCGCCTGGGGGTGAGTGCCCCTCAAGAGCCATCAGAATATCGAACAGTGATTTTCTTTTTAAAGAAAAAAAAATTGCCCTAACCGGTTTGGCTCAGTGGATAGAGCGTCGGTCTGCAGACTCAAGGGTCCCGGGTTCGATTCTGGTCAAGGGCATGTACATCCATGTTGCAGGTACTTCCCCAGTCGGGGGCGTGCAGGAGGCAGCTGATTGATGTTTCTTTCTTATCAATGTTTCTAACTCTATCCCTCTCCCTTCCTCTCTGTAAAAAATCAAAACGTATTTAAAAAAAAGAAAAAAAGATTTTTAATTGATGTCAGAGAAGGGAGAGGGAGAGAGAGATAGAAACATCAGTGATAAGATAGAAGCATGGATCAGCTGCCTCCTGCACACCTCCTACTCAGAATCGAGCCTGCAACGGGCATGTGTCCTGATGGGAATCGAACCCGGGACTTCTCGGTCCATGGAATGGCGTTCAATCCACTGAGCCACCACAGCAGGGCTGAACGTGGCTTCTCAGCCCGGGTGTGCAGTCCCCTCTGGCCGGGGATGGGAGAGGGACCGTTGGGAAGGGCATTGGTGTTGGAATGAATTATTTAGCAAAGGTCATTAAAAAATGAGAACGATACTTTTTAAAAAAATATATTTTATTAATTTTGTACAGAGAGGAAGGGAGAGAGAGAGTCAGAAACATGGATAAGAGAGAAACATTGATCAGCTGCTTCCTGCACGCTCTCCACTGGGGATGTGCCCGCAACCAAGGCACATGCCCTTGACGGGAATCGAACCCAGGACCTTTCAGTCCCCAAGCCGACACACTATCCATTGAGCCACACGGGTTTTGGCGAATAATACTTCTTAGGCAAAACAAGGGCAGGAGGTGCGGTCGCCTGGAGCTGGGCAGCCAGGCGAGCGAGCCTGGAGCCCGTGCCCTCGGGGCCATGTGAACAGCTTGACCTTCAGCTCTTCCTTCCGGCGGAGTGTGTGCGGGGCTGAGCTGAGGCCCATCGGGCTGTGCAGGGGCCGCGGTGAGGGCGCCCTGGGAGAGTGGGCTCTGCTGCCCCGTCCCCGCAGTCACCGGCTGTGGAACCCTCCTGTGGGCTGTCTGCCACGGGCTGTGTCCACGCGTGGTGCTCTCTGCCCTTCCGGGAAGTAGCGTGCTAAGAGATGATTGTTTTTTTTTGTTTGTTTGTTTTTTTAAAAAATATATTTTATTGATTTTTTACTGAGAAGAAGGGAGAGAGATAGAGAGCTAGAAACGTTGACGAGAGAGAAACATCAACCAGCCGCCTCCTGCACACCCCCCTACGGGGGATGTGCCCGCAACCAACGTACATGCCCTTGACCGGAATCGAACCCGGGACCTTTCAGTCCGCAGACCCACGCTCTATCCACTGAGCCAAACTGGTTTCGGCAGAAATGATTGTTTTATTTTTTATTTTTAAAAATATATTTTATTGATTTTTTTACAGAGAGGAAGAGAGAGGGATAGAGAGTTAGAAACATCGATGAGAGAGAAACATGGATCAGCTGCCTCCTGCACATCCCCCACTGGGAATGTGCCCACAACCAAAGTACATGCCCTTAGTTGGAATCAAACCTGGGACCTTTCAATCCGCAGGCTGACGCTCCATCCACTGAGCCAAACTGGTCAGGGCTGTTTTATTTATTTATTTTTATTCATTTGAGAGGGGGAAAAAGGGAGAGAGAAAAAGAAAAAACAAACAAATATTAATTCTTTCTATCACTTATTTGTGCACTCATCAATTGATTCTTGTCTGTGCCCTGACCGGGGATTGAGCCCACAAACCTGGACACGTCGGGATGACGCTCTGAACAGCCGTCCAGCCAGGGTCTAAGAAATGGCTGTTTTATATGCCAGGAGGCTGTTTTAGGCTTTTTGGCCACCTTTCTGTGACTGCCTGGGGAAGACTGCGGGACCCCCGACATCAGAACCAGGGCTGGGACGGGGGAGAGGCGGAGGGCCGTGTGTGTGTGTGTGTGTGGGAAAACCCTCCCCCCAGCAACACACGTCTGCTTTGCAGTGCGCCCCGTCCCCAGTGTATCTCAGAGAGAGAGCGAGCCCAGGCCACCTCTGCCGTCTCTCTCCCCCTGGGCGACCCCGAGGACCCCTCCTCCCAGCCTCCGCCTGGCTGTCCTCCCTCACCCCGCCTGCCCGGGAGACATGGGGCGGGGCTGAGATCTGCCAGGCCTTAACTCCGGTGCCCTCCTCTGCAAGGCCAGCCCTTCGGGGACCCCCCCCTCCCAGCTCTAGTCCCAGGGCTTCTCTCGCTCCCAGTGACTCGGCTTCCGGCCACCCCCATCCCCACCCCCACCCGGGCTTCCCCGGGCTCTGTGGCCGGGTTCCTCCGAGGTCACTGTGTGTCCGGGGGCTCGCCGTGCGCTCCCGCAGGCCAGCTGGAGGTGATCCTGGACCGGCGGCTGATGCAGGACGACAACCGGGGCCTGGGCCAGGGGCTCAAGGACAACAAGCGGACCCGCAACCACTTCCGCCTCCTCCTGGAGCGCCGCACCCTGGGCAGCGAGGTGAGCGCGGTTTGTGTTTTGTGTATTTTATTTATTTATTTATTTATTTTATGTGCTTTTTATTTATTCCAGAGAGGAAGACGGGGAGGGAAACATCCATCGTGAGAGAGAGTTATTGAACGGCTGCCTCCTGCACGCCCCACACTGGGGATCCAGCCTACAACCCGGGCATGTGCCCTGACCGGGAATCGAACCGTGGCCTCCTGGTTTGTAGGTCAGTGCTCAGCCACTGAGCCACGCTGGCCGGCAAGGAGCCCTTTCCCAGTGGTGTGCGATGGGAAGTGGCCCCGGAGCCAGAACCCCTGTATCCAGACCCATCAGGGAAGCTCTTTCCAGAGGAACTGGCCTGGTAGTATTTCTTTCTTTTTCTTTTTTTTTTTTTTTTTTTTAATATATTTTATTGATTTTTTACAGAGAGGAAGGGAGAGGGATAGAGAGTTAGAAACATCCATGAGAGAGAACCATCGATCAGCTGCCTCTTGCCACCCCCTACTGGAGATGTGCCGGCAACCAAGGTACATGCCCTTGACTGGAATCGAACCCAGGACCCTTCAGTCCGCAGGCCAATGCTCTATCCACTGAGCCAAACTGGTTTTGGCTGGCCTGGTTGTATTTCATCCTCACCTTCCCCCTCATCCTGGCTCTGTCCCCTCACCCGCATCTCGGGCCCATCTTGCAGGTGCCAAACGGCCACTCCACCAGCTACCCGTCCCTCCTCAGCCACCTCACCTCCATGTACCTCAACGCCCCGGTGCTCGCCCTGCCCGTGGCCAAGCGGCAGCCCCCGGCGCCCAGCCTGCACCCGTTCCAGCCTCTGGCTTCCTCGCTGCCCTGTGACTTCCACCTGCTCAACCTGCGCACGCTCCAGGCCGAGGTGAGGATCCGCCCAGCCCGGACCTCCGGGACCAATCCCCCCTGTCCTCACCCAGCTCCTCTGTCCCAGCACCGCCTTCAGGCAGAGGTGCTGCTGCGCCTGTGAGCTCGGGGAGCACCTGTGAGCCCCCGGGGAGCCCCTGTGAACCCGGGGAGCACCTGTGAGCCCGGGGAGCACCTGTGAGCCCCCGGGAGCACCTGTGAGCCTCCGGGGAGCCCCTGTGAGCCCGGGGAGCACCTGTGAGCCCCCGGGGAGCCCCTGTGAGCCCGGGGAGCACCTGTGAGCTCCTGGGAAGCCCCTGTGAGGAGCTGGGGAGCACCTGTGAGCCCCGGGAGCATCTGTGAGCCTGGGGAGCACCTGTGAGCCCCCGGGAGCACCTGTGAGCCCCCCGGAGAGCATCTGTGAGCCCCGGGGAGCCCCTGTGAGCCCGGGGAGCACCTGTGAGCCCCCGGGGAGCCCCTGTAAGCCCGGGGAGCACCTGTGAGCCCGGGGAGCCCCTGTGAGCCCGGGGAGCACCTGTGAGCCCCCGGGAGCACCTGTGAGCTCCCCGGAGAGCATCTGTGAGCCCCGGGGAGCACATGTGAGCCCCCGGGGAGCATCTGTGAGCCCCGGGGAGCCCCGGGGAGCCCCTGTGAGCCCCCGGGAACCCCTGGGAGCCCCGGGGAGCACCTGTGAGCCCCTGGGGAGCACCTGTGAGCCCCCGGGGAGCACCTGTGAGCCCAGGGAGCCCCTGTGAGCCCCCGGGGAGCCCCTGTGAGCCCGAGGAGCCCCTGTGTGTGAGCTCGGGGAGCCCCTGTGAGCCTGTGGGAGCATCTATGAGCTTGGGGAGCACTTGCGAGCTCAGGGAGCACCTGCCTCACTGCCTGGTGCTGTCTGTCACCAGGATGAGCCCTCCTTGCCCTCGGCAGAAGCCGCACTCATCCTGCACCGCAAAGGCTTCGACTGCGGCCTTGAGGCCAAGAACTTGGGCTTCAACTGCACCACAAGCCAAGGCAAGGTGAGCAGGGCCCCGGCGTGGGGGGGGCCCGAGGAGAGGAGGCAGGGAGGGGGCAGCTGGGAGCGGGAGGCGTGCGGGGGTGAGGCTGCAGTGAGGTCAGGCAGCGGTCGGCGGGAGGGCGGGGGCAGGGGTCACTGGGTATTTTAGAAAAGTGGAAGCTGCTGACATTTGTTTTCAAAGCTACGGAGGCCCGGTGGGGCAAGTTCCAGACGAGAACAACTGTTCTAGCTGGACCACTGCTCATGAGTAGGGATGTCCATCAGACACAGAAATTAAAAACCAACAGCACCCAGCCGGTGTGGCTCAGCGGACAGAGCGCCGGCCTGCGGACCAAAGGGTCCCTCCCGGGCTCAGTTCCGGATATCTGAATTGTAGGCTCCTCCCCAGCTCGGACCCTGTTCTGGGCTCATGCAGGAGGCAATCCATTGATGTGTTTCTCTCACATTGATGTTTCTGTCTTTCCCTTTCTTTTCTATTCTCCCTTAAAAAAAAAAAAAAAAAAAATCAATGGAAGAGGATTAACAAAAAACAAACACAAAAAAAACCCCAAAACCATCAAACTGTATTTGTTGTTTAAGCCGGCACCCACAAATGCCTCAGAAGAGGACTAAAACATGGCCCCTGTCCCCCAAGAGCTCCCCGAAGTGGTCCTGACCTCAGGTCCAAGGTCAGGCCCACGCTGAGCACATCCCAGTGAGCCTGAGCCTGGGGCAGACCCGCCTGTGTACGCGGGCACAGTGCCGCTGGCGGGCACAGCAGGTATTGGAGGAAGAGCTGTCCCCCTGACACCCCTCCTTCCCCCCTCCTCTCCGCGCAGGTGGCCCTGGGGAGCCTCTTCCACGGCCTGGACGTGGGCTTCCTGCAGCCGACCTCGCTGACGCTGCTGTACCCGCTGGCCTCGCCCTCCAACAGCACGGACGTCTCCCTGGAGCCCATGGAGGTGGCCACCTTCCGCCTCCGCCTGGGCTAGGGCTCCGTGGCCGAAGGGGAAGCCGTCCTCAGAGACGCCGCCGCCGGCATCAGGTGGGGCGGACCAGCCGCACCGGGTCCCCGTCCCGTCCCGGTCGGCCTCTCAGAACTGACAGACTGAGCCCAGCCCCGCTCCCTGTGTGCTGTTGTGGCTTCTGTGTTGCTGGGCGACCAGGGCAGACGCCTGGTGAGCCCCGGGAGAGAAGGCCCTGGTCAGAATGGGCGGGACCTGCCCCGGCTTTGGGGTGAATGGCCGCCCCGTAGGGCGCTGGCTCAAGCGCCATCCTTTTCCCGAAAGGGGATGGAGGAGGACCAGGAGAGGTGGGGGAGGCTGGAAGGGTCACCTCCAGCCTCAGGGTCGCTGGTCCTAGGGGATCCTGTGGTCGTGTAGGGACTGTGTCCCGGGGTGGCGAGCAGAGGGCTGCTGGGAGGAGGGGGTGGGGCCCGGAGCTGGCAGCGGGTGGAGGAGCAGGAGGACTCCTGCTTCCTGTGAGGGCTCCACTCTGAGTGCTCCCTGCCCGCACGCCCTGGCGAGGGGCGGGAGCGTGGCAGAAGGGCGCCCCGGAGGCCGTCATGGCCAGAGGTCAGGACTCTTCAGGTGCAGAATCCCCAGCTCAGAAGGGGTGCCTGGTCTGTGTGTGATCTGGGGAATGGGGGCCAGGGCGTGGGGGCCCTCCCCACTGGGGACTCCTCTCTGGCTCCTGTCCTCTGCACACCACAGTCCCCGCCAGCCCCTTCCTGCCCCTTCCAGCCATGGGGGGTTGTGACTCGGTGCATCTCCACGATGCCCTGTGCCTGGGTGGCGTCTCTGGAAGAATCCGGGTATCCGGGTCCTGGCCCGGGGACCAGGGACATGTGGGTGACTGGGGCCCCATGGCTGCTCAGCAGCCTTCCTCTCAGCTTCGATCAATAGAGAGCCTTTTGTGATAGTCTCCATAGATGCTGAAACGGCATTTGGCAGAATTTACCATCTCTCCCTTATTCAAACTCTTCCGACTAGAAAGAGACGGGTTTCTCTGGGCAAAGGTCTCTGAGAAACCAACAGGTTATGGCGTCCTAAAGGGGCCCACTCCAGGCGTTCCGGTTCGAGCCGGAAACTAGCCGAGGGCCCCCGCGGCTGGGGACGTCCTGGCCCGGCTGACCCTGCAGCGGGCAGACGGCGGCGAAGAGAAAGTGGCAGCTGTCCTTGGCAGACGATAGGGGGGCCGACCTGTAAAATCTGAGCGTGTCCGTGGAAGGCCCACCAGCAGCTTCCTGCAAGCTGACCCAAATGACGCACATCCATCTCCCGTATAGACTCTGGCTCTCTCCGTCCAGCCCGTTCGTTCATGCTGTCCCCGTGATTTGGGTACTTTCTGGAATGTGGCAGGCTCTAAAGTTCACTTGGAAGAGTAAATGTGTGAGAGTACGAAGCGAATCTGAGTCCTGATGAGTCTGGGGTGGGGGGGGAGGGGGGAGTTCAGCGCGTGTCACCCGGAGTGGGGAGCCGCCAATGGACTGGGGGGGACATGCGCAGACCGGATATTTGGGGATTTAGGATAAAAGGGGTATTTTAATAAAGTTAAACTATAAAATTCCTGAAGAAAATACAGGATATTTTCAAACCTCTGGTATGGAAAGGCCTGGTATAAACATGACAGGAAACCTAAGAGGGTCATAATAATAAGGGAAATGATATAATGAGGGGAAAGGAAGATTTTACCACGAAATATCCAGGGTCTCTGCATGACGGAAGATATCAGGGTTAAAATGCAAAGGACACGTTTGGGAGACAATATTTGCCCTAGCCTGTTTGGCTCAGTGGATAGAGCATCAGCCTGCAGACCAAAGGGTCCCGGGTTCAATTCCAGAGAAGGGCACGGACCTTGGTTGCAGGCTCCTCTCCAGCCGGGGCCTTGGTCAGGGCTCATGCAGGAGGCAACCAATCAATGTGTTTCTCTCACATCGATGTTTCTCTCCATCTTTCCATTCTCCCTAAAAATCAGTGGAAAAATACCCTCTAGTGAGGATTAACAAAATAAATAAGTGGGTGAGTACCATTATTTTAGGGGAAAGCTTGCTGTGGGGCCCGTAGGGAGAGCCACTGGGCCTGCTAAGCTGCTGCCTGAAGTTTCGGGAAGACAGCGAAGTTCTTCAGGCCCCCTGAAAGGTCCCAGGTTCGATTCCCGTCAAGGGCATGTATCTTGGTTGCGGGCACATCCCCAGTGGGGGGTGTGCAGGAGGCAGCTGATCGATGCTTCTAACTCTCTATCCCTCTCCCTTACTCTCTGTAAAAAATTAATAAAATATATTTAAAAAAACAAAAAAACTGGAACCAGGACCTAACTCAAAGCAGCTTCAAGCACTGGGAACGGTAGAGACCTGTTCCTCCCTGCACCTCTCCATCCACCTCCCACCATCCTGTTTCCATGAAGAAGGGAGGGCTGGCCCAGCTGGTGTGGCTCAGTGGTTGAGTGTTGACCTATGAACCAGGAGGTCAACGGTTTGATTCCCAGTCAGGGCACATGCCCAGGTGGGGCATGTAGGAGGCAGCTGATCAGGGATTCTCATCATTGATGTTTCTATCTCTTCCTCTCCCTTCCTCTTAAAATCAATGAAGACATATTAAAAAAGAAGGGAGGACCCTGACCGGTTTGGTGTGCCTGCAACCAAGGTACATGCCCTTGACTGGAACCGAACCCGGGACCCTTCAGTCTGCAGGCAAACACACTATCCACTGAGCCAAACTGATTAGAGGTGTTTAAATTTTTTTTAATTAAAAAAAAAAGTACCTTCTATATTTGCTCCGGTCCAACAGTTTATCTAAGGAGCCTTAGACACACAGTCCAAATCCACTAGCTAGTTCAGACTTGATTGTTCTGCCCAGTGGTTAGAATGACTAGGATTGAGATCACTCTTGTCTGGTTACAGGGCCCAGCACCATGGCAGACCCAGAGAGGGCTGGTCCTGATTCTGTCACTACGTGATCTTTTTAATATTTAATATTTAATTCTTCTCACATCTCTGAGCTTTTTAAAAATATATATTTTTACTGATCTCAGAGAAGAAGAGAGAGATAGAAACATCCATGATGAGAATCATTGATCAGCTGCCTCCTGCACGCCCCCTACTGGGGATCAAGCTTGCAACATGGGCATATGCCCTTAACTGGAATCGAACCCAGGACCCTTCAGTTGGAAGGCTGACGCTCTATCCACAGAGCCAAACCTGCTTGGGCATCTCTGAGCTTCTTATTCTCTAGAATGAGAGTAATCCCTGCCCTCCCCAGCCCAATCATCTGATTATTTATAAAGAACAGGACATAACACGTGATGTTTGTGAAACCTCAAGTACCTCGTGATGGTCTCTATATTTTCATTCTGAAGGAACAGAAGGGGTTTTTGTTTGTAAAATATCCTGAAACTTAATTTGAAACCACTTAAAACTGCAGAATTGTTTTTAAAATTTGGTAAATAATGTTTTATAATATTGTAATCCCATCCCCTGAAAAAACTAAAACAAAAAAACAGCTGAAACCGGTTTGGCTCAGTGGATAGAGCGTTAGCCTGCGGTCTGAAAGGTCCCAGGTTCGATTCTGGTCAAGGGCATGTACCTTGGCTGCAGGCACATCCCCAGTAGGGGGTGTGCAAGAGGCAGCTGATGGATGATTCTCTCTCATTGATGTTTCTAACTCTCTCTCCTTTCCTCTCTGTAAAAAATCAACAAAATATATTTAAAACAAACAAACAAAAAAAATCCACACGCACTACAGTCCTCAATCTCTAAAAGGTACTGCACCTGGCACTGCCTTAAGAGGTAAGAGGATTACACTGAACTTGATCGGTTTTACAGGGACTGTCCGGAAACTCATTTCCTTCTTGTTAATCCTCCCCAGAGGTTATATTTCCCCCCATTGATTTTCTTTTTTTTTAAATCCTCACCCAAGGATATTTTTCCATTAATTTTTTTTTTAAGAGGGAGTGGGGGTGGGAGAGAAATTTGATGGAAGAGAGCCACAATAATTGTTTGCCTCTCACACAAGGGATCAAACCTGCTATTTTAAAAAAATTTAATCAATTTTTTCCATTGATTTTTAGAGTGGAAGAGACAGAGAGACACCAATATGAAAGAGACATATCAGTCCTGGCTCAGTGGATAGAGCATCAGCCTGCGGACGGAAGGGTCCCAGGTTCAATTCCCAATCAGAGGCACATGCCCAGGTTGTGAGCTCGATCCCCAGTAGGGGGCGTGCAAGAAGCAGCCGACCAGTGATTCTCGCTCATCATGGATGTTTCTCTCTCCCTTTCCCTTCCTCTCTGAGATCAATAAAAATATATTTTTTTTAAAAAGAAAAAGAAATATCAATTGGTTGCCTCCAGCATACCCCTTCCCCGCCCCCCTCAACCTCCCAAATCAAGGCGGGGAGCCTGCAACCTGGGCATGTGTCCTTGATCAGAATGGAAACTGGGACCCTTCAACCAGCCAGGGCGAACCTGCCATGCTTGAACGGAATCGAACCCATTATCCTCCTGGAGGCGGATGAAGGCTCTAACCACCGCAAAACTCATTTCCTTTTAAAGTCATCATTTTGTTGCCCTTTGCACCCCACCCCCCCCCGCAGAGAGTGCACTGGGCCTGTTTTGGGTGGAAAAACATCCTGGCCCAGAAAGAAGTGGCTGTGAGCTAAGGGCCCCCCAAGTGCACCCTTCTTCCCAAGGGGCTCATAAACTTCAGCGGCTCCTTAGACCCCAAAACTCCTCGTGCGATAGGCCCGCCCCCCAACGCACCTGCCACTCACGGCGCCGCAGCCGCCAGGTCCCGCCCACCCGGGCTAGGTGGGAGGGGCCGCTTCCGGAGCAACCGAAAGTCCCTGTAGCTTAGCAACCAGGTGACAGACAGGCTGCGACGCGGGTCTATCCCGTGGCTGGGCCGGAGCTTGGAGCAAGCCGGCGGGCAATCGCCTTTCCCAAGGAGGACGATTCCCATTCGTGGAGCATCAATCAGGCTCCTTCAAACACGTCGCGCTGCGGAGCCCTGGGAATTCACCGCCTTTCTCACCGATAGGAAACCCCTCGACCCGAGGGACCAGGCTCAGGGCAGGAATCCCACCTGCGGGTTCCCCATTCCAGCGTCTGGAGAAGGAGCAGCAGCTCAGACTTGACCGGAAATGCTTTATTTTCCAAAAATGACTTTGAAACGAGCGTCCATCTAAGCCCAAGTTCCCCGGGGGGACCAGAGATCCCACTTTTGCAAAAAATGGCAAACGGACCCAAGGCCTGCAGGGCAGTGGATGCATCAGACGTGGACGGGGTGCGGCCGACCCCCACCATCCAGGCTCAGTTTACTTGGCAGGAGAACCCTCAGGGTGAGAAAGGGCAAATGTTTTTTGGGGCCCACTGGGCTGAGTGAACCGCGAAGGGCCGAGAAGGCGCCCAAAGGCTGGAGAATGAGTCCGATGAGGCTGGAATCTGCGATGCCGGCTCCGGGCTCCGGGCTGCGCTCACAGGGCCAGCCCCCGCTCCCTGAACAGCTGCTTCAGCGCCTCTTCCAGCTGCGGGTTCGTGCCCTGAAGCCCCTTCACCACCTGCGCCGCCCACTCGAAGTATTCCTGGACCCGGTGCTCCGACCAGCCTGCAAGTGAACGGACAGAGAACGGCTCGTGCAATGGCAGCACGGACAGAAAACGGACTCGTGCAACGGACAGAGAACGGACTCGTGCAACGGACAGAAAACGGACTCGTGCAACGGACAGAAAACGGCTCGTGCAATGGCTCTGCCCACTTCCTGGAGGGCTTGGTGGCGGGCCTTGTCCTGAAATTCCCCCTGGGGCCCAGCTCCTCGGTGTTTTTGCCCGATGCAAGCAGATCAGGTCGGGGATTCGCTTAGGGAAATGGACCAGAACGCCCAGGAAGCTGTCCCCTCCTCCTCACCCCCCACCCCAGGGGGACGGAGCCACCTGGGCCTCCAGAAGATGGGCCCTCCCTGTCCCCTCCGAGCAGGTGAGGGGAAGGGAGGGGAGAGGCTCCTACCCGTCGGGGTGCAGCGGTTCAGGTCCCTCAGGTTGTACAGCTTGTCCGCCAGCTTCACCAGCTTGGCCCCGGGGCTGCTGTGGGGGGCGTGCTCCACCTGCAGCCGCTTCCTCTCGGGCTTGGGCAGCGTCTTGTCGTCCGTCACCTCCTCCACCAGCCGCCGCACCCGCGCCCCGAAGCGCAGCTCCAGCTCGTCCAGGGTGGTGTCCGTGTCCTCCACCGTGTCGTGGAGCAGGGCGGCCTGGGGACAGGCCCCCGCTCAGCCCTGTGGCGCCACCCGGGGCCGGGGCCGGGGGGTGCCCAGGGCTGAATGCGGGGGCGGAGGGTTTACCTGTAACACCGCAATGTCAGTGATCCCCGCCTCGTGGGTCAGGATCCGAGCCACTCCTGCCGGGCAAAGCAGGAAATCAGACCGGATTGGGGGGAGGGAGTGCGGGGGGGTCCCAGCCCGCGGGTGCTGCTGGGGTTTTCTGGAGCCAGAGGGGGCCCCTCACTCACGAGGTGTCCTCGGACCCGTCCTGCACTCTGAGTGTCCATCGTGCACAGGGAACAGCCATGCACACCCCACACCCACACCCCACACCCCGGATTGTTGGAGGCGTCATCACCCCCAATGTGTGGTGCAGAGTGGGTGCTCCATGAGGTGCACGATCCCACCCACCCGTCCTCCCTCCCCCCGGTCCCCCGCGCCCCCCCCCCCCCCCCCGCGCGGCGAGGTTCCTCCCGGGGCTGCGCGCCCACCGATGGGGTGGTTGATGTACGGGGTCCCTTCGGGGTCCATCCGCCGCTGCCTCCGGTGCTTGTGAGCCGCGAAGTCGGCGGCTTCCAGCAGCTGCGCCACCTCCGAGCCCATCGCGCCGGTGGGGCCAGCGGCTGGGGGTTCCGAGAGAGAAGCTGACCGAGCGCCACAGCGCCCCCTGGCGCCGCGGAGGCCGCGGGGATGGCGGAATGTCGTTCAGAAGCGCTCCTCTTGGGGGTGCCGCGCTGGTGGGGTTTTGGGGGGCCGGGGGTGGGCAGCCTCCCGGTTCAAGAACACGTCCTGCGGCTCTGAGGCCACACGGTGTGCGGACTCCAGGGCTCGAAGGCACAGGTGGCCGTGACGGAGGCGGCAGGGCAGTTAGGCCTAACCAACCTCAAGGTCAGAGCCAGCTTTTCCCAGGAGGGACTTCTGACCCCGCCAGGAAGACAGTCTCCAACTTATCCATGTTCTGGAAAATTCCTAAAGCGCTCTAAAAATAACTCTCCCTGCAGGGCGGGGCCTGGTTGCTATGGGCAAGGTCCAGGAGACCGACCTTCTGGAAATGGGAGCCTTTGCTGGGAGCCCTGCTGAGATTCAGGCTCCCAGCCAGCAGTGATGACTGTCTGTCTTTTCTTTTCTTTTTTTAAAAAAAAATATATATTTATTGGTTTCAGAGAGGAAGGGAGAAGGAGAGAGATAGAACCAACAATGATGAGAGAGAATCATTGATTGGCTGCCTTCTGCACGTCCCTTACTGGGGATGTGCCCGCAACCCAGGCATGTGCCCTTGGCCAGAATCGAACCGGGGACCCTTCAGTCCGCAGGCCGACGCTCTATCCACTGAGCCACACCAACCAGGGCTCCTTTTTTTTTTTTTTTTTTTTAAGTTAGTGATTAACATTGGAGTTGCTGATTTGTTAAAAAAATATATTTTTATTTTTATTGATTTCAGAGAGGAAGAGAAAGGAAGAGAGAGATAGGAACATCCATGATGAGAGAGAATCATTGATAGGCTGCCTCCTGCACGCCTCCCCTCCCCCCCAGGGGATTTGGTCTGCAACCCAGGGCATGTGCCCTTGACCGGGAATGGAACCGTGACCTCCTGGTTCCCAGGTGGACGCTCAATCACTGAGCCATGCTGGCTATTACAGGAACTGTCTGCTTTTCTCTCGGGTGCCAGGACAACATTTGCATTTCTTGTGCCATAAGGGTTCGTGCTTCAGTCCCCGGGCACTGACTATGGGCTCTGGGGTGATGTGTGCTGCCACTGCTGTGATTCCGGTCAAGGGCATGTACCTTGGTTGCGGGCACATCCCCAATAGGGGGTGTACAAGAGGCAGCTGGTTGATATTTCTCATCAATGTTTCTAGCTCTCTATCCCTTTCTCCCTTCCTCTCTGTAAAAAATCAAATAAAAAAATTTTTTTTTTTTTTTAAAAAGGAACTCCCAAGTGTGCTCAAGCTCTCTTAAAAAAAAAAAAAAAAAAAGTATTCCTTCTCAGGGGAAGGCGGCTTTGAGGTATGAGGGGTAAGAGCACCTGCAGGCTGCAGGGGCTCCGGATGCCCCTGGGCTGACCTGTCCACTCCTCAGCCGCAGCCCATCCCCAGGTGACAACTCCAGGGGCCAGGATCTGGGACTCTAAATTCCGGGACGGGAGGCTTGTAGCTTACAAACTAGTGGAGAGACAGACAGACCTCACACCTAAAATCACGAAAACACACGGATTGCAAATTCCATTCGGTGAAGAAAAAGTTCCGGGGCCCGGAAAGCAGGTAACAGGAGCCATGCATACGTTGTGGGGGCGAGGGTCAAGGATATTACACACATGATAGCTGGGGGTTGCAATCCTGAATCTTCCCGTGGATGGCTTCAGGGCACCTGTGAGCCCCTGACTTAGTGTTGACAGCTTCTGCATTTAATCCGGGGAGGGGCCAGATTCCTCCGAACTCACACCTCTCGCCTGGCCAGTGGCTGCCCTAGCGAGAGCCAGCCTCCCGGCACTGTCTCCTCTCCCACGGGCCTCCACAGGCTGCTGCTCGTGACCTTGGTGACCGCGGACCTCCGGCACGCTGACCTTGGTCGGGGCCGGGGCCCGAACCAGGGCCGCTGCGCGTCTTTCTCCGGGTGTTCCCACGCGCGCCCCCTGCAGGTCCCGGTGGGAACAGCCGAGGCGCGCCCCCGGCTCCTCTGCGCATGCGGAGCCGGCCGGGCGCCCCGTCCCTTTCCTCCCGGCGCGCGCGCACGACGTCCCCTCTGACGTCAGGAGGGCGTCCGCCGCAGAGACCGCGACGGCGCGCGCCCCCTGCAGGTCTCGGTGGGAACAGACGAGGCGCGCTCCCGGCTTCTCTGCGCATGCGGAGCCGGCCGGGCGCCCCGCCCCTTTCCTCCCGGGGCGCGCGCGCGCACGACGTCGCCTCTGACGTCAGGAGGGCGTGGTCCCCTCACAGCGGATTCCGGAGCCTGGACTCCGCCCGCCTCAGAGTCCGCGAGACGGTGCGCGCCCCTGGGGAGCCCTCCGCGATGACGGTGAGTGGTCCAACCCCGGCCACCGTCCCGGGGACCCCCCCAAACCCGGCCACCGTCCCGGGGACCCCCCCCCAAACCCGGCCACCGTCCTGGGGGTGGTGGTGAGGGTGGGTGGGTGTGCCCATCCCCCGCGCCTGCACCCCTTCGCACCTGCTCGGACCACTCCCTTCTCACCTGACTTGGCCCTCCTTGTGGGGGGGCTGTTCCCCGACCCCCCCCAAACCCCAAGCCTCACGCTGACCTTTGCACCGCCCCCCTCCGCAGGCCAGCTCCGTGGAGCAGCTGCGGAAGGAGGGCAACGAGCTGTTCAAATGCGGGGACTACGAGGGCGCCCTGGCGGCCTACACGCAGGCCCTGGACCTGGGGGCTGCGACGCCCCAGGACCAGGCCATTCTGCACCGGAACCGGGCCGCCTGCCACCTTAAGCTGGTGAGGGAGCCCCCTTTCCCCCCCACTCTCTCTGCTCTTCCCCCCCCCCCCCCCCCCCGGGGTCTGCCGGTCCGCCTTGCATATCTCGCCGCTGCGTGGGGGGGCCCTGACTGGACATTCACCTGTGGGATGTCTTTTTTTTTTAATATATTTTATTGATTTTTTACAGAGAGGAAGGGTAAAGGATAGAGAGCTAGAAACATTTGTGAGAGAGATACATCGATCTGCTGCCTCCTGCACACCCCCTCCTGGGGATGTGCCCGCAACCAAGATACATGCCCCCAACCGGAATCGAACCTGGGACCCTTGAGTCCGCAGGCTGATGCTCTATCCACTGAGCAAAACCAGTTTCCGCTGTGGGATGTCTTTTGGGGCCTCTGGGTAGTAGGAGGCCCCGAGATTCTGGAGAACAACTCTGATCTTTTTTTTCTTTTTTGTAATATATTTTGTTGATTTTTTACAGAAAGTAAGGGAGAGGGATAGAGAGCCAGAAACATGGATGAGAAAGAAACATCGACCAGCTGCCTCCTGCACAACCAGTCCTGGGAATGTGCCTGAAACCAATGCACATGCCCCTGACCGGAATCGAACCTGGGACCCTTCAGTCTGCAGGCTGACGCTCAATCCACTGAGCCAAACCGGTTTTGGCTTATTGATTTTTTACAGAGAGGAAGGGAGAAGGAGAGAGTTAGAAACATCGATGAGAGAGAGACATCGACCAGCAGCCTCCTGCACCCCCCCCACTGGGGATGTGCCCACAACCAAGGTCCATGTCCTTGACCGAAATCGAACCTGGGACCCTTGAGTCCGCAGGCGGATGCTCTATCCGCTGAGCCACACCGGTTTCGGCTGATGCTCTTGTTTTTTTTCCTTTTGCAGGAGGATTACAGCAAAGCAGAAACCGAGGCCTCCAAAGGTCTTGTGTGTGTGGAGGGGGCCGTGGGGCTTCGGTGGCGGGACCCCTGCGCTATCACCTTCTCCTCTCTGCTCCCCCCCCACCCCCCCAAGCGCACCTGCCTTCTGTCCCACTTCCTCGGGCCTTTCCTTTTCTGCAGCTACCCTCACCTTCTCTGAGGCTGGAGTGCTGAGCCCCCCCACGCGTCCCCCCGCCACCTTCCTCTGGCCCTCGAGACCTGTCCCTCCTGCTCCCGCCTGGAGACCGGGGCCTCCCGGGCGCTGACCGGGCTCCCGTTTGTGCTCAGCCATCGCCGAGGACGGCGGGGACGTCAAGGCGCTGTTCCGGCGGAGCCAGGCCCTGGAGAAGCTGGGCCGCCTGGACCAGGCCGCCCTGGACCTGCAGCGCTGCGTGAGCCTGGAGCCCAGGAACAGAGCGTTCCAGGAGGCCCTGCGCAGCCTGGCGGGCCAGATCCAGGAGAAGGTGCGTGAGGGAGGGGCGTGGGGAGCACGGGGGCGGAGGGACCCCGGTGAAGGGGTGTGGGTCGGGGGCGGAAGGAAATAGTTCTGCACAGTCGAGGGACAGCACGCCAGCTTACAGAACGATGCTCAGCCTCGCCAGCGGGTAGGGAAATGCAAACTAAAATAAAGGCAAGGGCCAAAACCAGTGTGGCTCAGTGGATAGAGCATCGTCAGCCTGTAGACTGAAAGGTCCCGGGTTGGATTCCGGTCAAGGGCATGGACCTTGGTTGCGGGCACATCCCCAGTAGGGGGTTTGCAGGAAGCAGCTGATTGATGTTTCTAACTCTCTATCCCTCCCTGTAAAAAAAAAAATTTAAAAAAACATATTAAAAAAAAATAACATACAATACCGGCAAGGTGCTGACTTCTCGTCGGTCTGTCTGGCACTACTTATTTATCTTTATTTTTATTTTTAAAAATATATTTAATTGATTGTTCCAGAGAGGAAGGGAGAGGGATAGAGAGTTAGAAATATCAATGAAAGAGAAACATCGACCAGCTGCCTCCTGCACACCCCCCCAATGGGGATGTGCCCGCAACCAAGGTCCATGCCCTTGACCGGAATCGAACCTGGGACTCTTGAGTCCGAAGGCTGACGCCCTAACCACTGAGCAACACCGGTTTCGGCTCGGCATCGCTCTTAAAACAGTAAATAAGCAGGTGCCGTGCTCCAGTGTGTTTACCTGTCGCACCTAACGCCTTCCCCGTGTACACGAGCTGGCGTGTGTGTTTATGGCAGCCTCGTCGGGTCTCAGTGGAAACCCGGAGTTTGCCTAAATGCCCTGCGGTAGGGGGATGGCTGACTATGCCGGGCGGCGTCCTACCTGGCAGTTACCGAGAGCGGAGAGCAGGCGCATCCACATGCGTAGACACGGAAGGCTGACGCTTAAATGGAAAAAAGAAAAACATGCAATCACACAGGATGATGTCATTTGTGTTATAACCTGTTTTCCCCACATACACGCCCAAGAACATGCCATATTTTTTTTTTCTGCACGTACACTTGGGTATGTAAGTAGGGAGAAAAATGACTTTAAAAATACACGTCAAGCCGAAACCGGTGTGGCTCAGTGGATAGAGCGTCGGCCTGCGGACTGAAGGGTCCCGGGTTCGATTCCGGAAAAGGGCATGTACCTTGGTTGCGGACACATCCCCAGCAGGGGGCATGCAAGAGGCAGCTGATCAATGACTCTCATTGATGTTTCTCTCTCTCTCTCTCTCTCTCCCTTTCTCTCTGTAAAAAATCAATAAAATATGCTGAAACCAGTTTGGCTCAGTGGTAGAGCGTTGATGTGCGGACTGAAAGGTCCCGGGTTCGATTCCGGCCAAGGGCACGTAGTTTGGTTGCGGGCTCATCCCCAGTGGGGGGTGTGCAGGAGGCAGCTGATGGATGATTCTCTCTCATCGACATTTCTAGCTCTCTATCTCTCTCCCTTCCTCTCTGTAAGAAAAATCAATAAAATATATTTAAAAAATAAATACACGTCAAAATGTTACACAGAGCCCTGTGTTGAGCAGGATCAGGGAGCGCCTGGGCCGGGCGGGAGCGGGTGCTGTGACTGATGAGTCATGCTTGACGTGGGTGCCAGAGGGCAGGGAGCCAGGACCGTGGGGAGGGAGAGTCCTGGGGTGATCTTGATCGTTCAGATTATTTTATTTTATAAAATATATTTTATTGACTTTTCACAGAGAGGAGAGAGAGGGATAGAGAGTTAGAAACATCCATCAGTTGCCTCCTCCCCACTGGGGATGTGCCCGCAACCAAGGTCCATGCCCTTGACCGGAATCGAACCTGGGACCCTTCAGTCCGCAGGCCGACGCTCTATCCACTGAGCCACACCAGTAAGGGCTGTTCGGATTATTAAAAAAAACCTAAAAAACTCCAAAGGAGGACGCTCTGCCCTCACCTCCTGCTGGCTCCCAGCAGAGATGGCGCCGCTGGGAGGGGTGGGCTCTGTCTGAGAGGATGCCTCCCTCTGCGGGCACTGCCCTCCGCACTGTGCCCAAGCGGGAAGCCGCTCAGGAGGAAAATGGCCGCGGGGAGTTGGGGAGAAGCTGCCAGGCGAGTCCCTTCCTGCCCACAGGAGCGGGGTGCCAGCCCGAACCCTGGCACCCTCGCCCGGCCTCCCCCCGGCGGGAGCCAGGCCGGGGAGGGGCCGAGAGAACAGAGGGGCCGTGCGTGTGTGTGTGTGTGTGTGTGTGTGTGTGTGTTTCTCTCTGTGTGAGTGTTTCTCTGTGTGTGTGTGTCTGTGTGTCTCTGTGTGTGTGTGTGTGTGTTTCTCTCTGTGTGAGTGTCTGTGTGTGTGTGTGTCTGTGTGTGTGTGTGTCTGTGTGTTTCTCTCTGAGTGTGTGTGTGTGTGTGTGTCTGTGTGTGTGTTTCTCTGTGTGAGTGTTTCTCTGTGTGTCTCTCTGTGTGTGTCTGTGTGTTTCTCTCTGTGTGAGTGTCTCTGTGAGTGTGTGTGTGTGTGTGTCTGTCTGCCTGTCTCTGGCCCACAGCGGCGATGGCCCATGCCTGTCGCCCTGTCGCAGGTGCGGTACATGTCCTCCACGGACGCCAAGGTGGAGCAGATGTTTCAGATCCTGCTGGACCCCCAGGAGAAGGGCACCGAGAAGAAGCAGAAGGTGAGGGCCTGGGCCGAGGGAGAGCCGGACGCCGGGGGCCGAGCCTGCTGAGTGCCCTGTGCTGGGCTCCACCCCCGGACCCCTGTTCCTGCCAGGGGCTCGGGACCCCACGTTCTCTACCTACCAGCCCCGAGAGCAGGCTCTTCCCCTGCTTACAAAAAGGGGCCCGGCCAGTGTGGCTCAGTGGTTGAGATCAACCTAGGAACCAGGAGGTTAAGGTTCGATTCCCGGTCAGGGCACATGCCCAGGTTTTGGGCTCGATCCCAAGTGAGAGGCGTGCAAGAGGCAGTATATCAGTGATGCTCTCTCATCATTGATGTTTCTCTCTCTCCCCCTCTCCCTTCCTCCCTGAAATCAATGAAAATATATTTTAAAAATTCAGAGAGAAGAACAAACCAAAGAGGTGCACTGAGGTTGGTTGAGGTTCAGTGTGTAGCCAGGGTCACAGCCGGGCCCGAGTGCGGGCCTCTGCCTGCCCGGTCCTGTGTGCGTGCGTGTATGTGTATGTGTGTGTGCGTGTGCGCGCTGAGTCCGTGTCCCCACGCGCCCCCTCCCCTGCAGGCCTCCCAGAACCTGGTGGTGCTGGCCCGGGAGGAGGCCGGGGCCGAGAAGATCTTCCGGAGCAACGGCGTGCCGCTGCTGCAGCGCCTGCTGGACACGGGCGAGGCCGACCTCATGCTGGCCGCGCTGCGCACGCTGGCCGGCATCTGCTCCGAGCACCAGTCGCGGGTACGTGGCGGGGGGGGGGGGTCTGCCGACAGCCCTCTGTCCGAGCATCCGTCCCTCCGTCCATCTGTTCGTCCATCCGTTCGTCCATCCGTCCCTCCGTCCCTCCCTCCGTCTCTCTATCCATCCCGTCCCTTCCTCCGTTCCTCCATTCCTCCCTCCATCCGTCCCTCTCTCCGTCCCTCTCTCCGTCCCTCCGTCCGACCCTCCATCTGTCCCTCCATCTGTCCCTCCATCTGTCCCTCCCTCCATCTCTCTATCCACCCGTCCCTCCGTCTGTCCCTCCGTCCGTCCATCCATCCGACCCTCCATCTGTCCCTCCATCCGTCCCTCCGTCTGTCCCTCCATCCGTCCATCCCTCCGTCCGACCCTCCATCTGTCCCTCCATCCGTCCCTACGTCTGTCCCTCCCTCCATCTCTCTATCCATCCATCCCTCTATTCATTCGTCCCTCACTCCGTCCCTCCGTCCATCCGTCCCTCCATCCGTCCCTCCTTCCTTCTACCCCTCGTCGTACTCCAAAGACAGCTTGAGGCAGAGTACACGGAGGCCTGTGAGAGGAGAGGAGAGTAGGACACGGCTCAAAAAGGCCAACATGACGTGGGCCACCTGGAGCCGGGAGAGGGCAAGGCCACCCGCCGACACCGGTGCCTGCTCTGGGGCTTGGGAGCGTGGCCGGTCGCTCCTGCAGCTGCTCCCGACGAGGCCCGGTCGCCGACTCACTCGCTGTCCGTGCGGGGCGAGCAGGCTGGTCCGAGACACAGGGCACCCCTCCTCCCCCGAGCACCATCCGGCATCTCCCCGGGGGTCCTCAGGCGGGAGGTGGTCAGCGATGTCCCCACAGTGTCTCTGCCCCCCAGACAGAGACCAGATCGGAGGGGCCTGTCACTCAGCCGCCTCTCAGCGCAGACACGTCGTGGGGGACATCCTGCCCAGGCCGGGCGGGGAGGCCGGCCCCCGGGGACAGGGAGGATCCCCAGCCGGTGCTCTGTGCTCTCTCCGCAGACGGTGGCCACGCTGAGCGTGCTGGGGACGCGGCGGGTGGTCTCCGTCCTGGGCGTGGAGAGCCAGGCCGTGTCGCTGGCCGCCTGCCACCTGCTGCAGGTGATGTTTGACGCCCTCAAGGAAGGCGTCAAGAAGGGCTTCCGGGGCAAAGAGGGCGCCATCATCGTGGGTGAGTGCAGGCGGGGCTGTGGTGGCCGGGGTTGGGCATGGGGGGGCCGGGGCTGGGCCGCCAGGTCTTCTGGGAAGGTGGCCTGGTGGCTGTTTCCCTCCACGTCCTGAGCAGCCGGGGGCTAGTGGGGCAGCTGGAGCCCAGCCCAGGGGTCAGGATGGGGTCCCCTCCCTCTTTTTTAATTTAATTTAATTATATTTTAAATATATTTTATTGACTTTTTTTTACAGAGAGGATAGAGTTGTGGGTTTTTTTAAAAAATATATATATATTTTATTGATTTTTACAGAGAGGAAGGGAGAGGGATAGAGAGTTAGAAACATTGACGAGAGAGAAACATCGATCAGCTGCCTCCTGCACACCTCCACCGGGGATGTGCCCACAATCAAGGTACATGCCCTTGACTGGAATTGAACTTGGGACCTTTCAGTCTGCAGGCCGATGCTCCAACACTGAGCCAAACCGGCTTTGGCCAAGATATTTTGATTGATTTCAGAGAGGAAGGGAGAGAGAGAGAAGCATAAATGATGAGAGCATCATGGACCGGCTGCCTCCTGCACGCCCCACACTGGGGATGGAGCCCACCACCCGGGCCTGTGCCCTGACCGGGAATCGAACCCTGACCTCCTGGTTCACAGGTCAATGCTCAACCCCTGAGCCACGCCGGCCGGGCCCCCTTGCTCTTTGTCTCTGGCCTCTTGGGAAAGTTCAGAGGTCACTCAGGGCTGGGCCGCCCGGTAACCTCAGGTCTTCTCGCTGGCAGACCCCGGCCGGGAGCTGAAGGTCCTCGTCGGCAGCCTGCTGGAGCTGCTGGCCGAGGCGGGCGTCTCGGCACAGGGCCGGGACCACGCACTGGGCCTGCTCATCAAGGCCGTGCCCCGCGCGTCTCCCAAGGACCCCGACAACAGCCTGGCCCTCTGGGTCATCGACCAAGGTAGGCTGCTTCAGAGAGCGCTGGGACCGCGCCCACGGGGCCTCTCGCCTGGAGGGGCCGAGCACAGCCCGGGGCCTGTGCCCGGCCTTCGGGCACCCTGAGGCAGACCCTCCAGCTGGCACTGTGCCCACGCACGCACCCCGGGCAGGCCCGCCAGCAGGTTTCGGGGAGGCGGGATCCACCCTCTGTGTCTGAAGGCTGTTCAGGGATCGAGTATTGCTTCTGTACCCGGGGAGGAGGACAGAGGGAGTGAGAGAGAGAAGCAGCAATGATGAGAGAGAACCATGGAGCGGCTGCCTCCTGCACGCCCCACACTGGAGACGGAGCCTGCAACCCAGGCCTGTGCCCTGACCGGGAATCGAACCCAGGACCCTTCAATTTGCAGGCCAACGCTCTATCCACTGAGCCAACCAGCTAGGGCCGTGATTGCCATTTTTCCCTTCAGTTTTTATTTTTTAAATACATATATATATATAATATATATTAATAATTTTTAATATACATATATTTTAGCCGAAACCGGTGTGGCTCAGTGGCTAGAGCATCTGCCTGCAGACTGAAGGGTCCCAGATTCGATTCTGGTCGGGGGCATGTACCTTGGTTGCGGGCACATCCCCGGTGGGAGGTGTGCAGGAGGCAGCTGGTCGATGATTCCCTCTCTCCGATATTTCTAGCTCTCTGTCCCTCTCCCTTCCTCTCTGTATTTTAAAAAAACAATAAATAGATAAATAAATAAATACGTGGGGTGTCTTCTCAGGCCTGAAGAAGATCCTGGCGGTGGGGGGCGCCGTGCAGGAGGCGCCCGGGGAGCTCGCGGTGACCGCCAACAGCCGCATGAGCGCCTCCATCCTGCTCAGCAAGCTCTTCGACGACCTCAAGTGCGACGCCGAGAGAGAGAACTTCCACCGCCTGTGCGAGAACTACATCAGGTGAGCGGGCGAGCGAGCGAGCGAGGCGCCCTCTCCACCGGCCCGCCCGGCCCGGCCCGGCCCTGGCTCCTTAGGAGGCGGGCTGGGGTGCGGGGAAGCAATGAAAGGCTTTCCACTCGGGCAGTGGCTTGGGGAGGCCCCACAGGGGCCACGGGTCCAGGCCCACGCCTGTCCCCACGGGGATCCTCTTCCTCAGTTCTCCGTGAAGCCGCCTCACGCCCAGACTCAGCGTTCACTGGGCACTTGCTGTCTCTGAACACAGCAGTGCCACATGCCAGTTCTCTCTCTCTCTCTCTCTCTCTCTCTCTCTCTCTCTCTCTCTCTTTTTTTTTTTTTTAATATATTTTATTGATTTTACACAGAGAGGAATTGAGAGGGATAGAGAATTAGAAACGTCCATGAGAGAGATACATCGACCAGCTGCCTCCTGCACACCCCCCACTGGGGATGTGCCCGCGACCAAGGTCCATGCCCTTGACCGGAATCAAACCCGGGACCTTTCAGTCCGCAGACCGACGCTCTGTCCACTGAGCCAAACTGGTTTTGGCTCTCTCTCTCTCTCTCTCTCTTTTTTTTTTTAATAATTAAGAAAAATATATTTGGCCCTAGCCAGATTGGCTCAGTGGATAGAGCGTCGGCCTGCGGACTGAAGGGTCCCAGGTTCAATTCCGGTCAAGGGCATGTACCTTGGTTGCGGGCACGTCCCCGGTAGGGGGTGTGCAGGAGGCAGCTGAATCGATGTTTCTAGCGCTCTTGTCTCTCTCCCTTCCTCTCTGTAAAAAGTCAATAAAATATATTAAAGAAAAAAAAGAAAAGAAAAATATGTTTGTATCGATGTCAGAGAGAAGGCAGAGGGAGAGAGAGAGAGAGAAACATCCATGATGAGAGAGACTCATGGATCGGCTGCCTCCTGCAGGCCCCTCACGGGGATGGAGCCGGCAACCCGGGCCCTGCCCTCGGCTGGGATCAAACCTGGGACCTTCTAGACCGAGTCTCTATCCACTGAGCCAAACGGTTAGGGCTGTCCTGCTCTTAAGGAGCTTACAGCTGAGAAGACTCTGGACAGATGATGAAAGAGGGACAGTTTCAGCCAAAACCGGTGTGGCTCAGTGGTAGAGCGTCGGTCTGCGGACTGAAAGGTCCCGGGTTCGATTCCGGTCAAGGGCATGAACCTTGGTTGCGGGCATATCCCCAGTAGGGGGTGTGCAAGAGGCAGCTGGTCGATGTTTCTCTCTCATCGATGTTTCTAGCTCTCTATCTCTCTCCCTTCCTCTCTGTAAAAAAGTCAATAAAATATATATTTAAAAAAAGAATGAAGCCAAAACCGGTTTAGCTCAGTGGATAGAGCGTCGGTCTGCGGACTGAAGGGTCCCGGGTTCGATTCCGGTTAAGAGCATGAACCTTGGTTGCGGGCATATCCCCAGTAGGGGGTGTGCAAGAGGCAGCTGGTCGATGTTTCTCTCTCATCGATGTTTCTAGCTCTCTATCTCTCTCCCTTCCTCTCTGTAAAAAAGTCAATAAAATATATATTTAAAAAAAGAATGAAAAAAAAGAAAGAAAGAGGGACAGTTTCAGATCTCACCGGGCACAGGAGACAGGCCGGGCGGCGTGGGCAGAAGGCGGGAAATGGCCACCGTCCCTGCCCCGGCTGGAGGGAGGGAGGGAGGGTCCCCGTGCGGGGGGCCCGGTGTGACGGCCGCCCCTGTGCCCGCAGAAGCTGGTTCGAGGACCACGGGCTGGCCGGGAAGCTGCGGGCCATCCAGACGGTGAGCTGCCTCCTGCAGGGCCCCTGCGACGCGGGCAACCGGGCGCTGGAGCTGGGCGGCGTGATGGAGAGCGTGATCGCCCTGTGCGCCTCGGAGCGGGAGGAGGAGCAGCTGGTGGCCGTGGAGGCGCTGATCCACGCGGCCGGCAAGGCCAAGCGCGCCTCCTTCATCACGGCCAACGGCGTCTCGCTGCTCAAGGACCTGTACAAGCGCAGCGACAAGGACAGCATCCGCATCCGGGCGCTGGTGGTGAGACGGGGGCCGCCGGGCAGGGTCCCCCCCCCCCATCCCAGCTCCCGCTAGGGGAGCTGCAGGGCATGTCAGGCCAGAGGCACGGGCCCTGCCTCCTTCCCAGTGTGTCCGCCTCTCTCTACCCAGGTGTGTGTCCTGTGGCCACCCAGTCTCACCTCCTGCTGCCCCAGAGGGCGGCCTGGCGGGGGGCATGGCCTCCAAGAGCCTGGCAGGGGCCAGGGGTGGTCCACCCCGGGGGTGCAGCTGCCCAGCTCTGCCTCCGTCCCCCAGAGGCCCACTGGCCCCTGCCTCTCTCCCCAGGGACTCTGCAAGCTCGGCTCGGCCGGGGGGACGGACTCCAGCATGAAGCAGTTTGCTGAAGGCTCCACCCTCAGGCTGGCTAAGCAGTGTCGCAAGTGAGTGGTGTGGCTCCGCCTATCGGCCTGCCCTCAGGAGGGGCCTGGGAGGGGGTGGGGTCTCCCCCTGGAACCCCCCTGGTTTTGCCCTGTGAGCTGCTTCCTGGCTTTTTTTTTATTTTTTATTTTTTATTTTTTAAAATATATTTTTATTGATTTTGTACAGAGAGGAAGGGAGAGAGATAGAGAGCTAGAAACATCAATGAGAGAGAGTCATCGACCAGCTGCCTCTTGCACACCCCCTACTGGGGAAATGCCCGCAACCAAGGTACATGCCCTTGACCGGAATCGAACCTGGGACCTTTCAGTCCCCAAGCCGACGCTCTATCCATTGAGCCAAACCGGTCTCGGCTATTTTTTATATTTTATTGATTTTTGTACAGAGAGGAAGGGAGAGAGGCAGAGAGTTAGAAACATCAATGAGAGAGAGTCATCGACCAGCTGCCTCTTGCACACCCCCCACTGGGGATGTGTCCGCAACCAAGGTACATGCCCCTGACTGGAATCAAACCCGGGGCCCTTCAGTCCCCAAGCCGATGCTCTATCCACTGAGCCAAACTGGTCCCGGCTGCTTCCTGGCTTTGTTTGTTTGTTTGTTTTTAATATATTGATTTTTTACAGAGAGGAAGAGAGAGGGATAGAGAGTTAGAAACATCGATGAGAGAGAATCATCGATCAGCTGCCTCTAGCACACCCCCCACTGGGGATGTGCCCGCAGCCAAGGTACATGCCCTTGTCCAGAATCGAACCCGGGACCTTTCAGTCCACAGCCTGACGCTCTATCCACTGAGCCAGTCCAGTTTCGGCTGCTTCCTGTCTTGAGCAGGTGCCCCAGCCCCTGGCGTCCCCCTCCCTCCCATCCTGGTTGTCTGACGGTTGTCCCCTGCCTGGCCCGTCCCCAGGTGGCTGTGCAACGACCAGATTGACGCGGGCACGCGGCGCTGGGCCGTGGAGGGCCTGGCCTACCTCACCTTCGACGCCGACGTGAAGGAGGAGTTCGTGGAGGACAAGGCGGCCCTGAAGGCTCTGTTCCAGCTCAGCCAGGTAGCCCCGGCTCCTGGTCACCGGGCGCCCAGCAGGCTTCCCGATGCTCGTGGCCCAGGGAGGGAGGGCTGGTAGCTGGAGTGATCCCACTGCGTGGCGCCCGGGGTGGTCTCGCTGCATGGCGTCCGGGGTGGTCCCACTGTGTGGCGTCCGGGGTGGTCCCACTGCGTGGCGCCCGGGGTGGTCCCGCTGCATGGCGCCCGGGGTGGTCCCACTGTGAGGCGCATGGGGTGGTCCCACTGCGTGGCGCCCGGGGTGGTCCCGCTGCATGGCGCCCGGGGTGGTCCCACTGCATGGCGTCCGGGGTGGTCCCGCTGCGTGGCGCCCGGGGTGGTCCCACTATGTGGCGCCCGGGGTGGTCCCACTGTGAGGCGTCCGGGGTGGTCCCACTGTGAGGCGTCCGGGGTGGTCCCGCTGCATGGCGTCCGGGGTGGTCCCACTGTGAGGCGTCCGGGGTGGTCCCAGTGTGTGGCGTCCGGGGTGGTCCCACTGTGAGGCGTCCGGGGTGGTCCCACTGTGAGGCGTCCGGGGTGGTCCCACTGTGTGGCGCACGGGGTGGTCCCACTGTGAGGCGCACGGGGTGGTCCCACTGTGAGGCGCACGGGGTGGTCCCACTGTGAGGCGCACGGGGTGGTCCCACTGTGTGGTGTCCGGGGTGGTCCCACTGTGTGGCGTCCGGGGTGGTCCCCCTGCGTGGCGTCCGGAGTGTCCCACTGTGTGGCGTCCGGGGTGGTCCCGCTGTGTGGCGTGCGGGGTGGTCCCACTGTGAGGCGTCCGGGGTGGTCCCACTGTGAGGCGTCCGGGGTGGTCCCAGTGTGAGGCGTCCGGAGTGGTCCCACTGTGAGGCGTCCGGAGTGGCCCACTGTGTGGCGTCCGGGGTGGTCCCACTGCGTGGCGTCCGGGGTGAGGCGCCCGGGGTGGTCCCACTGTGAGGTGTCCGGGGTGGTCCCAGTGTGTGGCGTCCGGGGTGGTCCCACTGTGTGGCATGGACATGCTGGCTGCCCCACGGTGTGGAAATGATGAACACTCCAGAGGAGGTGGGGTCACGTGCTGGAGCTCCCAATCTGGAGCCAGGCTGGGCCTGGGCACGTCCCCAGATTCATGCTGGTGCCATGCGGTGCGCCAGGGGCCGAGCTGGGGTCCTGGGCGCGGGCGGCACTGGCGTCAGTGCCGCGCTCCCCCCTCCTCCCCTCCCCGCAGTCCGAGGAGCGCTCGGTGCTCTTCGCCGTGGCCTCGGCGCTGGTGAACTGCACCAACAGCTACGACTACGAGGAGCCAGACCCCAAGATGGTGGAGCTGGCCAAGTACGCCAAGCAGCATGTGCCGGAGCAGCACCCCAAGGTGAGGCCCGGGAGGAGCAGGGAGAAGGCGCTTCCCGGGACCCTTGGCCCGGGGCACCCACAGCAGACCAGCCTCTCGTTAAGGGGGTTTCTCCCCCTTTGTTTCCATGTCCGCCCATCCGTGCTGTGAGGTCCCCTCTCCCTGGCTACTGAGCCCACCTCCTTTTGTTTTCTTTTAATATATTTTATTGATTTTTTCACAGAGGAAGGGAGAGAGATAGAGAGTTAGAAACATCGATGAGAGAGAAACATCCATCCGCTGCCTCTTGCACACCCACTACCGAGGATGTGCCCGCAACCAAGGTCCATGCCCTTGACCGGAATCGAACCTGGGACCCTTCAGTCCGCAGGCCGACGCTTTACCCACTGAGCCACACCGGTTTCGCCTGAGCCGAGCCTCTTGCTAAGCCGCCTCCTTCCGCAGGACAAGCCGAGCTTCGTGCGGGCCCGGGTGAAGAAGCTGCTGGCCGCGGGCGTGGTGTCCGCCATGACGTGCATGGTGAAGACCGAGAGCCCCGTGATGACCAGCTCCTGCCGGGAGCTGCTGTCCAGGTGAGCTGGCGCCGGCCGAGGGAGCGGGGCCCGGGGCCGTGGCCTCTGGGGCAGGGGCGCTGCCCGGCCGCCCCCTCCCCTGAGCCCGCCCCCCACCGCCGCCTTCTCCCCGCAGGGTCTTCCTGGCTCTGGTGGAGGAGGCGGAGGACCGCGGCACGGTGGTGGCCCAGGGCGGGGGCAAGGTGAGCCGTCCTCCCTCCCTCCCTCCCTCCCTCCCTCCCTCCCTCCCTCCCTCCCTCCCTCCCTCCCGGTCTCCCCTGCAGAACCCGACTCCGGGGCTGCTGCACCAGCAGCCAGTGTCAGATGTGGAGCAAAAAGCATTATAACGGGCCCTGGCCCAACCTGGCTCAGTGGACAGAGCGTCGGCCTGCGGACTGAAGGGTCCCGGGTTCGATTCCCGTCAAGGGCACATGCCCGGGTTGTGGGCTCGGTCCCCAGCAGGGGGCGTGCAGGAGGCCGCCAATCAGTGATTCTCTCATCATTGATGTTTCTTTCTCTCTCCCCCTCTCCCTTTTTCTCAGAAATTAAAAAAAAAAAGAGCATTATAAATGGGAGTGGGGTGTGGGGGGTAGGGAGGAAGGCCCTGCTGTTGAGTGGGTGATGCTAAGGGGCTGGGTCTCCTGTTAAGATGCTGAGTTAGCTTTTCCCTGTGGCCTGGACCTCCTTAGTCCCCTGCCATGGCACAGCCATGTCCAGCCCTTACATGGTGTTTCAGGAAGTGCTTGGGTGGCCTAATGGGACCTCAGAGGCGACGGACGAGGGTCTGAGCCCCGTGATCGGCAAGCCTTGGTGGGGTGCAGAGCGGGGAGGGGGGCGGGGAGAACAGGGAGGGCGCACAGTCGGGGCCTCGGGGCCTGGCAGCGTGGGCCTCACGCCCGGGCTCGCCGTGACCCCCGAGGGCCTGTCCCCGCAGGCTCTGCTCCCGCTGGCCCTGGAGGGCACGGACGTGGGGCAGACGAAGGCGGCCCAGGCCCTCGCCAAGCTCACCATCACCTCCAACCCCGAGATGACCTTTCCCGGAGAGCGGGTGCGTTCCCTCCTCCCGGCCTGGCCCCCCCCCTCCTCCTCTCACTGGGCCTCTGACCTGCGGTGGCTCCTCCTCAGGACCCACAGGAAGTGGGACGGGGCGGGCATGCTGGGGTGTGTGTGTGTGTGTGTGTGTGTGTGTGTGTGTCCATGGGCTGGCGGGGGCTGGGCCGGAAGCCCTGACAGCGGGGGCCCCGTCGCAGGTCTATGAGGTGATCCGGCCCCTCGTGTCCTTGCTGCACCTCAACTGCTCAGGCCTGCAGAACTTCGAGGCGCTCATGGCTCTCACCAACCTGGCGGGGATCAGCGAGAGGCTGCGGTAAGGGGGCTTCTCCTCGGGGTGCGGCCTGGGCGGGGCTTCAGGGCTCAGGTTACCCCCAAGGAAGCACCTCACTGTTCGGAAAGCAGTCTTTTTATTTATTATTTTATTTTTATTTTTATTTTTTACAGAGAGGAAGGGAGAGAGAGAGTTAGAAACATCGATGAGAGAAACATCGATCAGCTGCCTCCTGCACACCCCCTACCGGGGATGTGCCCGCAACCAAGGTCCATGCCCTTGACCGGAATCGAACCTGGGACCTTTTAGTCTGCAGGTTGACGCTCTATCCACTGAGTCACACTGGTCAGGACTGGAAAGCAGTCTTTGTCCTTGTATGTGAGAGCCCTTTTCCATGCAGCTGAGGGGATAGTTCCATGAGGTGAGGGTTCTCGGCCGTGGACTGGCCTGTTGGGTGCAGTGGATGGAGTGTCAGCCTGCAGCCCGGAGGGTCCCGGGGTTTGATTCCGGTCAAGGGCACGCACTTCAGTCGCAGGCTTGTTCCCGGCCCCCGTCAGGGCACGTGTGGGAGGCAAACAATCGATGTGTCTCTCTTACATCGATGTTTCTCTCTCTGTCTCTCCCTCTCCTTTCCACTCTCTCTAAAAAAAAAACCAAAAAAAAAAAACACCCGAAATATCTTTGGGTGAGGATTAATGAAAAGAAGCAGAAGAAAAAAGGGTATTGGCCATAACGGCAGGCTCCAGAGTCAACTGCCTGGGTTCGAATCCTGGTTTCTCTGGTTACCGGCGTGTAACCTCAACCAAGTTACTCAATCACCCCATGCCTCGGTTTCCCCTCTGTGAAACGGGATGGTTGTAGTGCCTGCCTCGTCGAATCGTGGTGAAAAGAATCCAATGAGAAAGAACATCTAAAAGCTCTTAACACGAAGGCGCCTGGCTCCCAGCGATGTGCCCGGTGCACACGTCTTAGCCTTGGTTTTCTCTTCCGCAAAGTAGTCGTGCCCAGTCACACCAGCAGGGGGCGTGGGGAGGCTGAGGTCAGACAGCCTGATTGCCAGGTCCGGGCTAGGGCTCGGTGGCCGTGCCAGCAGCGCCATCACCCCCACCCTTGGCCCCGAATTCCTCATCCAGAGCCTTTCCCACGGTCCCACGTGAGCTCCCAGGCCTGGGGAGACGGTTGGAAGCCACTGCCGTTCACACCTGGTGCCGGAGGGCCCGTGGACATGGCCCAGGCGGGCCCAGGGCCGGATGCCCCAGGGACACGGTGGCGGGGGCTCTGACGGCGCCAACCCGCCCGCCCGCCCTCGACCCCGCAGGCAGAAGATCCTGAAGGAGAAGGCCGTGCCCATGATCGAGGGCTACATGTTTGAGGACCACGAGCTGATCCGCCGCGCGGCCACGGAGTGCATGTGCAACTTGGCCATGAGCAAGGAGGTGAGGCGCGCCCCCCGGGGGCAGGGAGGGGTGCAGACGGGCCCGAGCCGAGCGGGCATCGCCCTCCCCCCCCCCCCCCCCGCCCTGTTCTGGCTGCAGGTTCAGGACCTCTTCGAGGCCGAGGGCAACGACCGCCTGAAGCTGCTGGTGCTGTACAGCGGGGAGGACGACGAGCTGCTGCGACGGGCGGCGGCCGGGGGCCTGGCCATGCTCACCTCCCTGCGGCCCTCCCTGTGCAGCCGCATCCCCCAGGTGGTCAGTGCCTCTCCCGGGGGGGGGCGCGGGAGGCGGGCACGGCCCCGGCTCGGCATCGGTGGGCGGCTGTGCCCCCGGCCGGGCGGGCTCTGCCTGTGGCTCGGAGCTCACCCGACTGTCCCCCGCAGACCACGCACTGGCTGGAGATCCTGCAGGCCCTGCTCCTGAGCCCCAGCCAGGAGCTGCAGCACCGGGGCGCCGTGGTGGTGCTCAACATGGTGGAGGCCTCGCGGGAGGCGGCCGCCGCCCTGATGGAGAGCGAGGTGCTGGAGATCCTGTCCGTGCTGGCCAAGGGCGCCGAGGGCCCCGTCTCCAAGGCGGCCGCGGCGTGCCTGGGGAAAGCCGTGGAATACGGGCTCATCAAGCCCAACCAGGACGGGGAGTGAGGGGCTGTGGGCACCACCGCGCTTCGCAGCCCAGGGGACCAGCACCTGCAGCCGTGGCCAGGGGGCTGGGCTGCCCTCTGAAGTCCCCTGTCCTGAGTCAGGGGCCACACTCCACAGCCCTGCTGCACCAGCACTACCTCCGGCCTCACGCAGACACTGGCACAGACCAGGGGGGGGCACTGCTCACCCAGCCAGGGCTCCCACAGCCAGCGAGCATCACCGAGCCGCTAGCAGGACTGCCCGCCCCAAATAAAAGCGTGTGGAACTCAAGCGTGTGCCCTGTCCGTGGCCTGGAGGAAGGCCGGCTGTGAGTCTGGCTCTGGAGCAGGAGCTGGTGGGCCCAGTGCCCGCGGGAGCCACTCTGCCAAGGAACCCCATGGATTCCCCATCCCGGGCCAGTGGGTCGCTGCTTAATCCCGTTGGAGGCTCAGGGGCTAAGCCTGGAATCGAACCAATAAACAAAGGAATGGGTTTGGGGTACAGACTCCCGGATGCTGGCCTAGACTCAGCGGCCACGCTCAGTGCTGGGGCTCGGGTGGGCGTGTCCCTGGGCTGTTCCTCCCGCCCCTGGGCCGGCGGGCCACGCCCAGCCGTAGCTCATTGGCGCCTGGGCAGGCGGGCTACGCCCAAACGAAGCTCATTGGCTCATCGGGATAGATGACAAGTCTCGGAGCCAATGGGAGGTTTGGCGGCGGAGGCGCCCGCCTACTGCAGCTGCTTCCGGTCGGGCAGCAGTCCAGCCGGCGTGAGGGAGCCTGGGCGGTGGGGTGCTCCCTCCCTCGGGGTGCTCCCTCCCTCGGGTCGCTGCTCGCCACCTTTCATCTCGGTCCTTAGGGAGCCCCCTCCTGGGCTTCTAGTCTGTGCTCCGCGGCGGCCGGGACCCACGCCCACCGGAGGTTCGCCCACTTAGCAGCTTGGGACCGACCGCAGGCACCGAGGTGAGCACCGCCTGGGCGCTGACGTCACAGCCGTGCGACAGCCAATGGGCGCCTCGCCTGGCGCGGGCTTTCCAAGCTGCACCCCCAGCGCCGTCCGCAGGCCCTGGGCAGGTGACCCCTTCCTGGGTGCCCCCCCGCCCTGGATTCTGCCCCCCGGGGGGATGCCTGAGGGGATGGAGGGCACCGGGTCAAGGTCAGTCATCCCGTGCGCCGGGGTGGACCCGGAAGGGGTTAGGGACCCAGGTCCGAGGCTAGGAGCTTTGGTCTCAGGGGAGACCCAGGATCCGATCCCAAAATTCTGATCACGCTGCACGGAAAAAGCGGGGTGCTGCTGTAAACCCTGGATGCCTGTCTTCTCCACCGATGTGTGGGCTCCTTGGGACAGACAGCCGTCCCTCTCGGGCCAGAGTAAAAGGATCAATACATGGGTGCGGAATGAATAAAAGACTAGATGAGGTCCAGTTGAGAATGTGCTTTTAGAGGTCCCTGGAAACCCTACAAGCACCCGGTCATTTTAATCTATTCGAAGGACTGGATGGGATGGTTGTGGCAGCCTCCGAACCCTTTATTTGCATCCAGTCCACAAAAGGGGTACAAATACCCCCCCCCCCACCTCCGCCTTTGCCAAACCAAAGAAACGGAATTGAGCCCAGAAGCTTAAGCATAGCTGAGGACACAGGCCCTGCCAGCTGCAGAAGCGAACATGTGAACCCCGGGATTGAGGGGGGAGGGAGGAGGGGAGAACTGACTGTCTCCCTGTGGCTTACAGCTCAGATCCTCGTCCAAGGCAGGAGGAAGAGGGCGCTTAAAGCCCGTGGGCCCATTTTGTGGGACGCTGAGCTTGCTTGAGCCAAAAGGGAGGACAGGGACATGGCCCCACTCCACGCAGCTCAGAGTCCTCCTGAGCCTGGTGGGTCCTGAGCCGAGGCTCGGCTCCGCGGACGTGTGGAATGGCCGCCGTCCCGCTCTGTGGTCAGGGGGGTGTGCTCTCCCCTCTCACAGGTCCAGCCAGGGGCCGCCTGCGAGCGAGGTTCCAGTCCCGGCGCCTGCCCAACCGGGTGGCGGCCAGCAGAGGGCGCCCGCGGGCATGGCCGAGGAGCGCCCCGGGTCCTGGTTCGGCTTCGGTTTCTGCGGCTTCGGGCAGGCGCTGGGCTCGGGCCGCGGGCGCCAGGTGCTCAGCCCCGAGCTGCTGCGCGTGCCGGACGCGGGCACCGACATCTGCGACATCGGCAGCGTGAGCGCCGCCTGGAGCTACACCGCCATCGTGAGCCGTGAGCGCCCCGTCCCTTTCCCGGCCTGCCCCCTCCAGGCCCCGCCCACCCACACATCAGGCTCCGCCCCCGCTATGTGTCCCCGCCTTCTGTCCAACCCGGCCCCTTCAAGGCCCCCTAAAGCCCCCGCCGCTGTACGTGTCCCCGCCTCCTGTTCACCGGCTCTCCTTCCGGCCCCGTCCCCTCTCTTGGCCCCGCCCCCGTTTTGTGTCCCCGCCTCTTGTCCAATCCGTTTCTCTCGGCCCCGCCCCTCCATCCAGGTCCCGCCCCTAGGGCTCCGCCTCCTGCTCCCCTCCACGCCCCGCTTCCTCCCTCCAGGCCCCGCCCCTGCTCGTGTCCCCGCCTCCTTACCTGCCCGGGCGCTGACGTCGGCCCAGTTCAGCCAATCCGTTCCCCTCCAGGCCTAGCCCCTCCCTCCAGGCCCCGCCCCCGCACGTGTCCCCGCCTCCTCAGCCCGCCTCTCCCTCAGGTGCGGGCCGGCTGCTGCTGTCGGGCTCGGCGCGGGGCGCGGCGGACGGCTGCCGGGACGCGTGGGCCTCGGAGACGCTGCTCGCGGTGCTGCGCGACGGGCCGGGGGGGCCCGGGGCCGAGCTGCAGGCCTGGGCGCCCGGCGCGGCGCTGCGCGGGGAGCCCCTGTGGGCCCGGCCCGCGGGGCCGGAGGAGGCCGGGCGGGAAGACGGGGCGGCCTGTGAGCGCCGGGCCGGGCCGCTGCCGCTGCTGCCCGGCGCGCGCGCCCACCTGAGCCCGCGGCCGCCGCTCTGCCGGCCTCTGTGCCCGGCGCTGCGGGCGCGGCGGCTGGCGCTGGGCGCGGAGCACGCGCTGCTGCTGGACGCGGCGGGCCAGGTGCTGTCCTGGGGCGGCGGCAGGTGAGTGGCCGCGGCCGGGCGGGGGGCGGGGGGCGGGGGGCGGGGGCCCGGGTGCGGCGGCGCTGACGGCCCCTCGCGCAGGCACGGGCAGCTCGGCCACGGGACGCTGGAGGCGGAGCCGGCGCCGCGGCTGCTGGAGGCGCTGCAGGGCCTGCGCGTGGCCGCCGTGGCCGCGGGCGGCTGGCACTCCGTGTGTGTGGGCGGTGAGTGACGGGGGCCTCGCTTGCTCCCTGCCAGCTCATCCCACCCCCTCCTCTCCCAGGTTTTTGGGGGGCCCAGCCAGTGCTCTTTGCAGGCTCATCCCACACCCTCCTCTCCCAGGTTTTTGGGGGGCCCAGCCAGTGCTCTTTGCAGGCTCATCCCACACCCTCCTCTCCCAGGTTTTGGGGGGGGCCCAGCCAGTCCTCCCTGCAAGCTCATCCCGCGTTCCCCTCTCCCAGGTTTTTGGGGTGCCCAGCCAGTGCTCCTTGCAGGCTCATCCCGCGTCCTCCTCTCCTAGGTTTTGGGGGGCCCAGCCAGTGCTCCTTGCAGGCTCATCCCGCGTCCTCCTCTCCTAGGTTTTGGGGGGCCCAGCCAGTGCTCCTTGCAGGCTCATCCCACCCCCTCCTCTCCCAGGTTTTGGGGGGCCCAGCCAGTGCTCCCTGCAAGCTCACCCCACGTCGTCCTCTCCCAGGTCTTTTTGGGGGCCCTAGCTAGTCCTCCCTGCAAGCTCATCCCACGCACTCCTCTCCCAGGTTTTGGGGGGCCTAGCCAGTCCTTCTTGCAGGCTCATCCCTCGTCCCCCTCTCCCAGGTTTTTGGGGGGCCTAGCCAGTCCTTCTTGCAGGCTCATCCTGCGTCCTCCTCTCGCAGGGTTTTGGGGGGCCTGGCCAGTCCTCCCTGCCAGCTCACCCCACGTCAGTCGGCTGGGTCATTAATGACCCCAAAGCCTCTCGAACTGAGCTCCTCGGCCACCGCCGTCGCCCGCTCCCACTTCCGGCTTCTGTCGGGGTGCCACCACCCTGTCCGTCCGCCTCCAGCTGGGGCTTCTTTCTGAAACGCCCCCTCAGGGTGGCCGGCTGGTGTGGCTCAGTGGTTGAGTGCCGACCTGTGAACCAGAAGGTCATGATTAGATTACGTAGGTTCCCCTGTCCCGGCACATACCCACCTGGGTTGTGGGCCCGAACGCCATTCCCGGTGTGGGGTGTGCAGGAGGCAGCCAATCAGTGATTTTTTTTCTGTCTCTCTCCCTTCCTCTCTGAAAAAAAAGAAAAAAAAAGAAAGAAAAAAAATAGGGTACGGTAATTAAAAAAAAAAGATTAAGTGGAAAAATATCCTTGGGTGAAGATTAACAACAACAATAATAATAAAAATAAAAACCAAAGGAGGTGAGGATTAACAAAAAAAAACAACCCAACAAAAAATAAAGAAGAAAGAACAGTGTCACCTGCAGGCACTTTAGGGGGAGGGACCCTGTTAAGACAAGCTGTTGCCCTAGCCCCGTGGTCGGCAAACTGCGGCTCTCGAGCCACATAAGGCTCTTTGGCCCCTTGAGTGTGGCCCTTCCACAAAAGACCACGGCCTGGGCGAGTCTATATTTTGAAGAAGTGGCGTTAGGAGACCTTTAAATTTTAAAAACGTGGCTCTCCAAAGACATTTCAGTCGTCGTGCTGTTGCTATTTGGCTCTGTGGACGAATGAGTTTGCCAACCACCGGGCTAGTGGATAGAGCGTCGGCCTGGGGACTGAAGGGTCCCAGGTTCGGTTCCGGCCAAGGACACATGCCCGTGTTGCAGGCTCGATCCCCAGTAGGGGGCGTGCAGGAGGCAGCCGATCCATGATTCTCATCATGGCTGTTTCTGTAAATTAATAAAATAAAAAAATATTTCAAATAAAAAAAGATAGACACTGCGGATCCTGGGCTGCTGACTGGGGCAGGGCTGGCCTCAGTCGTCCCCAGAGAGCTAGTGGGGTGGAGGGGGGTGTGGAGAGAGGCCAGGGGCTGAGGAGGCGGAGGGATCCACAGCCTGTCTAACGGCCCCTTTCCTCTCTCAGAGACGGGAGACATCTACGCCTGGGGCTGGAATGAGTCGGGGCAGCTGGCCCTGCCCGCCAGGGGCCTGGCGGAGGACAGACAGACAGATGCAGGGGAAGGTGAGTCTCGGCTATTTTTTTTTTAATGATTGATTGATTGATTTTAGAGGAAGGGGGAGAGAAACATCGTTTTGTTCTGTTTACTTATGCATTTATTGATTGATTCTTTTTTTTTAAATATTATTTTATTGATTTTGTACAGAGAGGAAGGGAGAGAGATAGCAAGTTAGAAACATCGATGAGAGAGAGTCATCGATCAGCTGCCTCTTGCACACCCCCTACTGGGGATGTGCCCGCAACCAAGGTACATGCCCTTAACCGGAATCAAATCCGGGACCTTTCAGTCCGCAGACCGAAACTCTACCACAGCCAAACCGGTTTCGGCGAGGTGGACACTCTTGGTGCAGCCCTTTGTGGTCTGTGTGTACAGCCTTGGTGTAGTTAAGCCTTGATTGTTGTTGGTATCACTGGGAGGAATTGACCTCTAGCTCAATGTCTATGTGTATCGGCTGTGTCTACACCGGGAGACCTTCTGTATTGGAGACAGCCTTATAGGACCAGACTTGCAAAATTGCAAAAGCCCCTGTGCTCAGCTTGGATGGGGCGGAGTCTCAGGGCTGAGCAGACAGTCTTGGCTTCCCGTCAGCCCCGCCCTTGTGTGCACGCCTCCAAACCTTTGCCTTCTGTGGCTCTCCTGAGTTTTTGCCTGATAGTCCAGATTCCCCCAGGCTCGCCCGGAACTGGGGTTCAGTGCATTTGGAACTGGGGTTCAGTGCATTTGGAACTGGGGTTCAGTGCAGTCGGGGGCTTCCTTCTCTCTCCTGCCAGAGAAAGCCAGCCAGGCACTCAGCCGTCCTTCCTCTCTGCACGTGTCTCCCCATACCTCAGTCCTTTGCGGCTCTGATTCTCCGTGAGCTTTCCTCTTTCCTTCTGGCTGTAGAATTCCCACCCAGCCGGCTTCCCTGTGGTTCCGGACGATGTCCGTCTGCCTTTTGGTTGTAGTTTTGAAACTGTTGTGCGAGGCAGCAGTGCAGGTGCTTACCTACGCCGCCATCTTGGTTTCTCTTCCCCATCGGTGGATTCTTGTGTGTGCCCTGTCTCGGCCAGGGAACAAACCCTCTAACCTTGGCGTTTGGGGACGATGCTCTGACAGTCTAACCAGCTGAGCTACCTTACCCGGCCAGGGGAGTCTCAATTCCTGGCTCCCACACGTCTCTGTCCTTCCCGGCTCCTGGCCACAGGCTGGCCTGAGAGCTCACGGTGCTCGGAAGGGACACGTGACATCCTGGGGGCCCAGGACACACGGGACCGAGTCCCTTAGGGGAGGGCGCACAGCAAGGCCGAGGCCCAGGCCCCGCGCTCGGCAGCACTTCCTGGGGGCGCGATAGACCCGGTGTCAGCCCTCGCTCTCCCCTCTCCAAGCCCCTGCGCTGAAGGAAGCCGGTGCTGGGCTGAAGGGGCCAGCGGGGCCTGAGGACGCAGCCGCCGCCCCCTTCATCGCTGTGCAGCCCTTCCCGGCCCTCCTGGACCTGCCCCTGGGTGCCGACGCGGCCGCGGCCAGCTGCGGGTCCCGGCACACGGCCGTGGTGACGCGTGAGTGCCCCGAGGGCGGGTCAGGTGTCAGCCCGCCTCGTCTAGTGGCTGCGGGGGCTGGTGTCCCCTAAGAGACCTCCGTCCGTCTTACCGGCCGTCTGCAGAGGTCTCTGGAGGCTGGGCTGGCGGCCTCTGCAGGCGCAGACCGTCCCGGCCTCCGGTCAGCGCCCGCCCCTTCCGCTGCGAGAGGCCTGGGCTCAGGAGCTGGGCGGGGCCTGGGCTCAGGAGCTGGGCGGGGCCTGGGCTCAGGAGCTGGGCGGGGCCTGGGCTCAGGGGCTGGGCGGGGCCTGGGCTCAGGAGCTGGGCGGGGCCTGGGCTCAGGAGCTGGGCGGGGCCTGGGCTCAGGAGCTGGGCGGGGCCTGGGCTCAGGAGCTGGGCGGGGCCTGGGCTCAGGAGCTGGGCGGGGCCTGGGCTCAGGAGCTGGGCGGGGCCTGGGCTCAGGAGCTGGGCGGGGCCTGGGCTCAGGAGCTGGGCGGGGCCTGGGCTCAGGAGCTGGGCGGGGCCTGGGCTCAGGAGCTGGGCGGGGCCTGGGCTCAGGAGCTGGGCGGGGCCTGGGCTCAGGAGCTGGGAGGGGCGGCCGCGGGGGGCATGGGGGAGGTGACCGTTCTCGGGGCAGGTCCCTGGCCAGCGAGGGGGGGTTGGCTGGTGAGAAAGAGCCGAGCCGTGCCGAGCGGTGCTCTGTCCACCCCCCGATGGGCGTGGTGGGGTCAGGCTGCTGGCCGGCCGGTTGACGCCCCGGAGCCGGGCAGCAGGTGACCGCCCGTCCTTCCGGTTGCAGGGACCGGGGAGCTCTACACCTGGGGCTGGGGTAAGTCCGCTCGGCCCGGGGGCGGGGGCCGGGGGCGGGGGCCGCGCCCGGGGAGGAGCCGTGTCTGGAACAGGCTGGGCACTAGGCTCAGACGCCGTCTGCTTCCCATCGGCCTTTCTTTTTCTTCTTCCCACGTGTTTCCTGCTTATGTGTACGCCGGAGGCCGGTGCAGGGAGTTAGTGCAGAGGGGGGGGATCGCGGGGGGGGGCGCCCCCTCGCCAGGCCTGGGCCCTCACTCCTTACGCCGCCGCTGGCTGGCCATGAGGGAGGACACTGTCTTGAATGTCTGCCCCCTGGTGGTCTGTGCACGTCACAGCAACCAGTCGTTCCACCATTGGGTCGATTTGCACATTAGGTTTTTATTATATAGGATATAGACATTTTCCCGTTGATTTTCAGAGAGTGGGAGAGAGAGGGGAAGCCAGAGAGGAACACATGGATGGGCTGCCTCCTGCACGAGCCCTGACCGGGGCCCGGGCCAGGGAGAAGCCTGCAATGGAGGTCCGTGCCCTTGACTGGAATCGCACCCGGGACGCTTCAGTCCGCAGGCTGATGGCCTACCCACTGAGCCACCCCGGCCAGGGCCCCATGTGCCTTTCTGGAGAGCCGTTTGTCTCAGGGGACACCTTGTAGCCTGGCACCGGGCTCGGAGCCCCCGGGGACCCGAGAGGCAGCTGGCCGGAGGCTGGCCTCCTGGACCCACAGCGGAGGCCGCGGGAGCTGGCGGGGGGCGGCCCGGGGGGGGGGGAGCCCGGAGGGGACGGCCACGGGTCCCGTCTCCCGCAGGCAAGTACGGCCAGCTCGGCCACGGGGACACGGCCAGCCGGGACCGGCCCCGCCGGGTGGAGCACTTTGTGGCCGAGCAGCTCCGGGTCACGGCGGTGAGCTGCGGGCCCTGGAACACGTATGTGCACGCGGTGGAGCAGGGGAGGAGCTGACGCGGGCGGGCAGCACAGCAGAGTCAGAGCCGACGCCTCCGCCTCGCCCGTCTCTGCCTTTCCCGGCTCCCCTCCGACCAGAGTTCTCAGCCTGGTCCTCGGGTGGGAAGCACGCGGAGAGCTTTGGACCCGGGGCCCAGGCCAGCACCAAGGCCCTGAGACCAGCCCGGCCGGCCGGCATGGCGCAGCGGCTTAGGTGACTGTGAACCAGGAGGTGACGGTTCCATTCCGGCTGGGAATGTGCCCAAGCTGTGAACTCCATCCCCAGTGGGGGCGTGCAGGGGCAGCCGATCCGTGGATCTCGTCCTGGATGTTTCTGTCTCTCACTTCCGCTGTGAAAGCAATAAAAATATGCCAACAAACAAACGTGTGCCGAAACCGGTGTGGCTCAGTGGATAGAGCGTCGGCCTGTGGACTGAGGGGTCCCGGGTTCGATTCCGGTCAAGGGCATGGACCTTCGTTGCGGGCACATCCCCAGTGTGGGATGTGCAAGAGGCAGCTGATCGATGCTTCTCTCTCATTGATGTTTCTAACACTGTATCCCTTCCCTTCCTCTCTGTACAAAATCAATAAAATATATTTTTTTAAAAACACAATGTTAATTCTTCCTCTCCATGAACACAGTATATGCTTCTATTTGTGTCTTCTTCAATTTATAAAAACAAAAAACAAACAAACGAACGTGAAATCAGAACCTCGAGTCCCGTGTCACCGTCGTCTGCCCCCCCCTCTCCGCCCCGGTGGTTTCCGGCAGCGCAGGATTGGACCCACTGGGTCCTCTCCGTGCCAGGCGCCTGCTTTTACTGAGAACGTGCCCCCTGTGTGCGCCTGTACCACACCGTGCATTTCGTCTGATCTCGGACTCGAGGTAAATGCATTCATTCCTGTGTGTGCGCTCCTGTGTCTCATATTTTTATTCAGCAACATCCGGCCTCCCATTGAGGAGTGTGCCTCAGTTACGTCTTTGGTTGATGGTCATTTCAACCTATTGTTTTTCGGTTAGTCTTATATGCACGCACACAAGTCCTTTGGTGGATCTCTCCCCCTTATCCCCACCCTCCCCTGCCTTCCCTCTGAGGCTTGAGAGTCTGATCGCTGCTTCTCTGTCTCTGGGTCTGTTTTTGGTTCATCAGTGTATGTTGTTCATTATTTCCTCTAACTGTGTGAGATCATGTGATCCAAGAAAGACCCTTGAAAGAACCTAAACTGAGACAAGCCATATGGTTATGCTGAGAGGCCAGTGAATCAGTCTGTAGCGAGTTCCTTTCTGGGCCAACAGTTCTTCGGAGTCCCCATTTCCATGTCAAGCAGTTCCTTCTGTGTCCATGTCAGCCGTGCTATTTCAGATCTGGTGGGTGGACACATGGTGCTGATGCAGGTCTGACCGCCTCTGGTTTGGTCCTGGCCATCCCTCAGCGACACGCAGCTGCTGTCTGCTGGTCTGGCGAGGTGTGGTCAGCGCCTTCCATCTCTGAATTCTCTTCTGTCTTCATGGCTGGAGCACTCCTGTCAATTCCTCTCTTGCAGGAATCCAGATGGTCTCAGAGTAGTTTTCTGGAAATATACAAACATATTCTCGACCGAAAGTTAATAAATATTTTCTATAAATTTGAACCAGGCTGGCCCAGTGTGGTCTCGTGTGCGCACTTAGAATCAGGGACCCTGCCCGCACCACACCGTTGGCGTGTGCCGAAAACGAGTCCCCTAGTGCCTGCCAGGAGATAGTTTCCCTGTGTCTGCACCGAGAACCGAGTGTCGGTCTCTGTCGCCTCGTGCGGCTTCTCGCTGAGAATCCGTCCCTGCGTGCGGGCAACACCAAGAATGGGAGTCACCGGCTCTTCGTGTGAGTGTCCCGCGCCCCAAATTCCCCCAAGGGGAGCTGGGTCCTGTGCACCCTCTCAGGTCCCCATTTTTAAGTGCGCAGTTCAGGGGCGTTAAATGGCATTCGCACTGTTGTGTGATCACCAGCACCGCCATCCCATCTCTCGTAAACTGGAGACAACCAATAACTCCCCCTCCCTCCTCCCTCCTCCCTCTTCCCTCCTCTCCCCTCCCTCCTCCCCAACCTCTGGCAGCCACCACTGTACTTGTCTTTATGCCTTGACTACTCAATCCGGAGGGGTGAGTGAGGGACACAGTCAGTGTGTCTCACATCGATGTTTCACTCTCCTTTCCTCCCTCCCCCTTCCACTCTCTCCAGAACTCAGTGGAAAAATATCCTCAGCCCAGCTGGGGTGGCTCAGTGGGGGGAGCATTGACCCATACACCACGAGGTCCCTGGTTTGATTCCTGCTCAGGGCACATGCGCGGGTTGTGGGCTCCATCCCCAGTGGGGAGCATGCAGATCGATGTTGATGATTCTCTCAATGATGCTTCTATTTCTCTCCCTTTCCCTCCCTCTCTCTCTAAAATCAATAAAAATGAAGTTAAAAAAAAAAAAAGAAGAAAAGGCTTAAAAACATCCTTGGGTGAGGAGTAACCAAAAAGAGTCCGCCTGCTTTGATTACTCTAGCTTTGTAGAAAGTTTTGAAGTCCAAGTGTGAATCTTCCAACTTTGCTTTTCCAAGATTGTTGGGATCCCTTGCAATTCCATATCAACCTGATGACCTGCTTTTAACTTTTTTGGGGGGAAAAAGAGAAAAGAAAAAGCAAGTCAGTTGGATGCGGATAGAGATTTTATTGAATCTACAGGTCAGTTTGGGGAGTATTACCACCTTAATTAAATTACGTCTTCCACTCTGTGACAATGTCAGTTTATTTAGGTCTTTAATTTCTTCAAGCAATTATGTGTAGTTTTCCGTGTACAGGTCTTTTATTGTCTCCTTGGTTAAATTTATTCCTAAGTGTTTATTCTTTCGGACACCCATTGTAAATGGAATTGTTCCCTTAATTTCATTTTTGATCATTATTACTAACATATAGAAATACAATTGATTTTGTGTGTGTGTTGATCTTGTATCCTATAACTTTGCTGAATTTATTAGCTCAAATAGTTTTTCTTGGTAGATTCATTAGGATTTTCTATAGGGTGTCCTCTAAAAAAAGGTATACATACTTTGAGTGATTATAAAATCAGTGTTTATTAACATACAGTTCATTTTCAAAATTTAAAAGAATTTACAGAAATGAATAACTTACTCTCCCTGTGTATCCCCATAAAAGAAGTCTAATGACACTTCAGGATAAATGGTCTTTGTTCAGAGTTTTGGTATCAGTCTGGCTCCCCCCGTTATTCCAAATCAGTTGAACCTGAAAACTAGTACAAATTGAGTTATCAGCTGTTATGGAGTGTATACATTTTTTAAATATATATATATATATATATATATATATTATTGATTTTGTACAGAGAGGAAGGGAGATAGTTAGAAACATAGATGAGAGAGAGTCATCGATCAGCTGCCTCTTGCACACCCCCTACTGGGGATGTGCCCACAACCAAGGTACATGCCCTTGACCAGAATCGAACCCGGGACCCTTCAGTCCGCAGACCGACGCTCTACCACTGAGCCAAACCAGTCTTGGCTGGAGTGTCTACATTTTTGGAGAACACCCTCTATAAAATCACTACAGGCCGCAGGCAGGAAATTCGTGAAAGGGGCTCGGCCCTCACGGCCCTGGCTGCGTCCGGAAGGACATCGGGAAGGCCGTTCGGCTGTCCGGTCTAATTAGCATATCATCTTTTATTAGCGTAGATGTCTGTGTGAATAGACATAGCTCTCCCTGTCTCATTGGGATGCCTGTGTTTATCTGTGTTGCATAACTGGGCTGGCAGACCTTCCAGTGCAGGGCTGGATGGACACGGGACAGTGGGCCCCCTTGCCTTGTTTCTGATCTCGGGGGGCCAAGCCCCAGGACGAGGTTAGCTGTGGGCTTTTGAAAATACCTTTTGTCGGGTTGAGGGAGTTTCTTCTCCTGCTGGTTTGTGAGCGTTTTCACCATGAGAGGGCGCTGGCGTCTGTCCCTCCCTCTGTCCTATGAGAGGGTAATGGGTTCCGGCAGGTTGAGCCATCCTTGCATCTCTAGGGTGGGTCCCACTTGGTCGGGGCCTGTATCCTTTGAATGCTCTGCTGGACTCTGTTTGCTGGTGTTTTGTTGAGGCTTTTGCCTTTCTATAAGGGTTATTGTTCTGTTTTCTTGGGATATCTTTGTCAAGTTATGGCATCAAGATAATGCTGGCCTCTGAGAACAAATTAGGGAGTGTTCCCTCTTCAATTTTTAAAAATGTACATACTTTGTTCTTTTGCTTTTTATTTTAGTTATTTTTAAAATATATTTTTATTGACTTCAGAGAGGAAGGGAGGAGGAGAAATAGAAACAATGATGAGAATCATTGATCAGCTGCCTCCAACACACCCCCTATTGGGAACTACCAAGCCATACCAGCCAGGCTTCAGTGTTTTGGGAGAATTTGAAAAGTATTGGTGTTATTTTTTTTTTTTAAATGTTTGGTAAAATTCACTTGGGAAGCCATCTGGTCCTGGGTTATTTTTGTTGTGAGGGTTTGAGTACTGACTTAAGCTTGTTACAGTTCTATTCAGATTTCCTTTTATTATCATCACTCTTATGGATTTTAGAGAAACATCTACTTTGTTATAACAGTTATTTTATTTTTTAAATGGCTTAGTGTTTAAGTGACTATATATCAATAACAGATCACATAGTGATTCATCACTTCACACACTGGGCAGAAAAGTGTGGAGTATTTCTGTTATACACCGGGATGGGACAGGGAGAATGAAAATCTAGCCTTTAGATGGTTGAAGAAATTCTCATTTAAAGTTTGGGCATGTCTAAAAAGACAATCAGCACCTTATTTATGTGGTTCTGGATCGAAAGGAAAGACTATTTCAACGTGTGTTATAATTTCAGATATAAGTATTCCTACCCCTGCTGACAGGGGGGCTGTGTTAACGCATGGCGGACCAGTAGTTTTATTGCTGGCTTTCCCCAGTGGCCAGGTGAGTGTCTGTTGCCCAAACGTTTACATAAATGTTAGA